AAACTACCAAAACTAACCATAATATCCCTTTTTCAAAAAATTGCAACACTATTTGAATAAATTGGAAGATTGCTGTTTGAGTCGATTTTCTTTTTAAAAACCCATATTGATTATTCCGTAGTAACTTACAACTTACACTTTAATGTCCGTAACCACGGAGATCGTACGAAATTAGGTCGGTTCGAGCCGATCATTGGCCGAATCGAAGACAAATTGACTGTTAGTACGTAATTCATCTCCAAAAAGTTTTGTTTTACATAGAACTTTGAAACGTCGACTGTGGCGTGTCACAGATAACAAAAGTCGATCGATCGGATGCACAGAGCACAGAACTTTCGGCTTGAAGCTTCACGAGGAACACGCCGGCCCCGGCTTTACCGGGATCGCGTCCTAAGCCCCTCGGCGAAGCTCCGCGGCGCTACAGCTTATCCGAGAAAAGCCACAGCTGAATATTAAAGCTCCCTCGTAGGCGAACTCTGCGATACCATCGTCGTCGTCGTCGTCAGGGAGCCGCTTCGGCAATTATTTTTTTAATGGGGCGAGGACGTGACTTTTCCGCGGGTCTTAATCGCGCGCCGCTAATTGCTGCTTCAGATTTCCTCCCCCCACTCCAACGGATCGATGATCCTCCTTCGAAAATTCGAGCGACCTTCATTGTGCGAGTCTATGAAAGATGGCTTCATATTACGACCGTTAAATCCGCCCGGCGCTATTAATTAAGTCCCTCCACACTGCCGAGTCCCGGGGTTAATCTTGAGAAAGGGGAACCGTAAGTCTGGACCACGTTATTAACCGTTTCTGCTCTGATCCAGCGCACTGCTCGGCTGGTTTGCATTCCTTGACGGGTTTTAGCGTGGATACTGATACTCCATTTGCTTCGCAACTTCAAGAAGGTAACTATCACAAATTTCCAGATGCATTGACAGAATGCACAAAAACCGTTAGAGGACTTCGCTTACGTCACAAGCGACCACGTGCGATCGATAAATTTGGCGAACGTACGTCTTATGGGATCGGGCAATCCTATTTGGTTTACGATTCTTGACTTGCTTCTAAAGCCTAAGACGCTACAGCCAAAGTCTGTTCTGTGTTACCTCACCTCTTCTTCTTTTCCGGTATTGGGCCGAAAGTTAACATGATCAGAGAATACATCTGTGATGTATGCAAATGATGCAAATTAAAATTTAGAAAATCCTACAACCTTCAACGGGCTAACATTTCCCAGAAGTCGAGAAAAGTACCGCGTGTACGGAAAAGAAATTCACCAGTTGTTGGATTTTTTAAATTTTACTGTTAAAACTATCAAATAAAATTGTCTATTGCATGTCATCGATAAGACAATATATTTTTCATAAAATTTTGAAAAAATTCAATCACAAACCGCCTGCGCGTTTTCTTCTTCTTTTATACTTTTACCGTCAAAGTCTGCTAGGATCATTGGGCCAGTTGACTATTTGCAGTTAAAGCAGAGATCCACTTCTTGTTCTTTACTTTGTATGGCCATCGCAGCATAGACGTAATCCGTAAAGATCTACGAGTCGAAGAAATATTTAAGTACACGCAGCTTGTCGAATAATGCGGTCTCGTCGTTCGAGCGGGATCAAATTTCACGTAATTCCCGCGAAATTCCCGCTACCGATCTTTTAATTAGGCCGCCGACGAACAAGAATCCGGGACATTTACAAATTTTTCGCGTTTTTCATCGAACGGAAGGTGGAGGGGCTGTTATATAATTGAGTGCACGCGCGCCGCTGCCGTCCTAGAGGGCGCGCGATAATCGCTTGCCCGTAGCCTATTATTACGAGGTTAGCGCCAAAATTTCCCCCCTAATTTTAAATATATATCTTAGTATTGACAGCATTTTAAACAAGACGTGTCCGAAAAAATGTCGCAAATAATGGAAATTGAGTATAGAGCAGACATAAAATTTTTGACAAAAGAAGGGTTAGCACCGAAACTTATTAAAGAAAGGCTGGATGGTGTGTGTAAAGTCCTCCTTCGTAATCTGTAGTGAAAGAATGGGCAAAACGTTTTCGAATGGGGCAGGAGTCCCTTGAAGATGATTCAAGAACTGGTCGACCAGTGGAGGTCAAAACGGAAGATATTGTTGTGATTGTGGAAGAGGTGTGTGTGAGTGATCGACGTTTAAAGGTCTGAAGTTTTCTGATACAAGTGTTCGTCGAATCCTGCATGATCATTTAAGTATCCATAAGGTTAGTGCAAGATGGGTTCCTAAAAACCTTTCGACTAAAAGAATATTTTTTTAAGAGATTGAGTTGTTAAAAGAGAGATGTAATAAGTGTATTGAAGTTAAGGGGGATTATATTGAAAAATAATAAAAAATTGTTACTCTACTTTGTTTCTTTCATATTCAAACCGGGAAGTTTTGGCGCTGCCCTCGTATGTTGTCCCATCGATTCGGGCTTATAGCATCGGGAAAAAGTACTGGACGCGTGCCCGGCGATAAATAGAGAGCGCCAGGGGCGTGCGCGGCCTCGAAAAGTTCGTCAAAATTAATAAGTTTCTCAAGTGGTTATTAACAGTTTGTTTTGTTTAATTTTGCCCGTCCGGCACTTTTTTTCTTATAATATCGCGTTGTTCAGTGTTATTTTACGTCGAAAGGTTTTTTATTTGGGGACCAAAATAATACGTTTAAACACACTGGATCTAAGTTAAAATATCCATCGACAGCAGTTTACGATAACGCGACAAAGTGTCGTCTTTTTCGCTGTTTCAAATGGAGCATTTTTCTATCGCATCTATTTCCGACGGATAATGGAGTTGGGATGCGAAATTATTCACGGGTCGGGGGGCCCGGGCGGATAACGGGGGCGAACGCGAATGTGGGTTAAGGGAAATCGATCGTTCGGCGCCACCCCCCTCCCCCCTCTTTTTTTCTATAATTAACGCGATTTATTTTTAAGTTTTCGCCGCACGGAATACGGTACAAGCGGAAAGCACTCACCGAGCGTTCCATTTCTAGGTTAGATTTTGTTGTCGCAGTAATCGGCGCGGAACCAGCAACTTTACGCGAAACCTTGGCAATTTTTCGCATTCGGAACGAACGAAATTTAAACGCGGCAAACACGACGAAGCATAGCACAGCAAACCGGCGAAATCGACCGTTTCAAACGGACCAATGACGTCTTCGACGTGCAACAATCAAGATGGCCGCTGACAAGTCGTCTATTCCGTGGTTTTAGACGCGTAATGCCGACCGCCTTACCATTGGTCGCATTCACCGGACGTAGCAAAGCGCTGCGAACTTGTCATGTCATTTGCCGTTTTTGACAAATGTTGAGGTTATGGTTTTATTTTTATTTGGATGTTGATTTCGGGATTTAGATTTTTTCGAAGGTATATGCTGTTCAGTGTTTATAATAATAATAATAATATACTTTATTCAGGTAATTTCGAGAAGAAAAATTGCAAGAAAAGGCAAGAGTGCAGCGCCCAGACGTATCTGCTTGCTGATTTCTACACTTATCCTTACACATAACATGGTTTTAATTAATGTTTACAATTTACAATACGTTAAGTACCCACTTAATTATTTCAGGACCTCCTTTTGCTTTCTCCCCGTTAAATAGTTTTTTAATTAAATTTACGGATGCCTCCCCAAAACCTGTTTGTGCGTATAATGAGACAACGTCTATGTACTCTAGTATCTACTACTTCAGAAATTAGTAGAAATTTTAATTTAAAACGAAATGACGGAGGATAATTTGGTCAAATGGCTTTGGAATTTTCAGAAGCAATTCGGATATTTGAGGAACTTAGTCTTAGAATATTTTCGAGGCCTACATTTGTAATTTTATTTTAAGAGGTCTATTTTAGAATTTATCACAACATATAGCACACCAGGAAGTAGATATTGCAGATAAGGGTGGAACCAAATAGCAAATATGCTAATATAAAAAATATAAAATGTTTTTGAATTAATGCTCTTTTTTTTGTAATTCACATAAGTGCAAAATTTTATTTCTTTCCTCCTTGATTTTCTTGCTTCTTCCAGTGGCGTTCAACCTACGGGCTGGATGCAAGTGTTGCTCTGACAAAGAAATTAATCTGTTTATGTCAAATGTCAACTGGGATTGTATTTTTAAGTGTGCGGATGTGGATATGATGGTTTCGCAGTTCTATGATGTTCTGTTTTGTGCTATTGAGTTATTTACACCTATCGCTCCCTTCTATTTTTTGACATCTCTACATTGTACAATGTCCTTAATAACTTGATGGATGCACCAGATTTTTTGGAATCTGTTGGTTTTCTTATTTCTCTTATTAATGCAAGAAATAAGGCCCTTTTTAATATCGATTTTCGTAGGACCAACTATGGCGTGTGAATCGAATGTGCAAGCTGACAAATATTTTACTCTCAAATAACAACCGTATTGATTCATTTTCTGATTGATTGATTCAATTCAGCACAAAATAAACTCGCCACTAAAACTGTACCACTGAATGCGACCATTGTCATAGGATCAATTTTAAACTAATTTTTGAATAGCGCCATCTAACGTGCGCACGTTTAAACAGTTATTGCATTAATTTGGTTCATTTTACGGTGTAACGCCAGAGGGCAGGGAACTAGGAATTTTCATGACAAAGTTTAGGAGGTTGGTTGATCTTTTGGTGGCTTTTGGGACTCTCCAACTAAACATTGCGGTTTAAATTCATTGTCGGGATTTAATGCAGTGAGCTCAAATACTAAATACCCGGTTGAGAGGTGGATCGAGTCGAAATCCAGCGCGGAATTATCGGATTTCTTTAACCGAGTGGGGCGGAATTGACTGACGTATTAATATCCGTCCGCAATTTCGGGGATCGCGCGGCGGGCGCCGGCGCCGCCCCCCAATTTCCGGGGCAGTTATTAATTATTCGCCGCCCGCGTTATTGCACCGCCGCCGCCGCGAAATCTAATTAAATTCGTAAAAACTCGCGCGCGGGTCGAAAGTTAAATCCGCAAATGAATTTGATAGGCTTCTTTCTTTCTGCAGAACGCCGGCTCCCAGAGACGCCACCGCGAGTCCGGGTCCACCGCGTCGCCGCCGGAGGGCGCCACCCGTACTCTTTTGGAGAACGGTAAGTACCCGAGAATCGTAAACCGAATTGTCACATGAGGAAGGGGTTTTAGTCAACTGTCTACTGTGATTGTCCATTACAATGACGTTACTAGGAGGAATGTTTGGAACTAGTTTGTTTTTAAACCAACTTTCAAATAAATCAGCGGTGGTGTCTTCATGGTAATCCATGGCGCGTTTATTTTACACTTATCAGTTGAGTCAACCCAACCCTTTTCCGGGGTATAATAAGTGTCGAACCAGGTTTCATCCAAGTAAATAATTGACCTTTGTTCTCTGTATGGTGTTTTCTACATTTGGGCGGGAGCATCTCCTGAGATACACTAGACTCGCACATATTTTGCATAATTCGCACGCGATTCAACACACACTCTGTATTACACACGAAATAAGCATGATTACTAATTAACTTAAACTAAGTAGTACACCAAACCAAAGAATATTAAACACAGGTAGGTATAAAATTATTTTCTATTACGGACTACAATTTTATCTGAATCTGGTTGCGTTGTATGTTAATGACCACCCTTGGATAATCCGATTCAAAAGCAATTGGCCGCTTTCTTATATCTATGAACAGACTATACGACTTCGACAACCGGCAACAGTAGCGATACAGGCCTAGCAGCCCGGAAAATCTCACAGATTAGTCATCTTAGGTTTGAAGGTTTGAAAATTCTGAGTTAAACGGGTGCTTCCAGAAATTAATACAGAAAAATCGTTTGCTTCAAAGCACGTATTATTTAAGTTAGGAGTAAGTTGATCTATATTAAGGTCGCCCGTTATAATAACGTGATCATATTGGGGCACCGCGTAAGACAATATTACAAACGTTCAGATGTTATCAGTGTGCGTTACCATGGAACATGGGACAGTTTGTTTCAAACCTGGATATTTGGAAAAGCATCCGTTCAAATTTTTCTCTAGATATTTAAAACCGACGGGTTGTCCCGACGACAAGAAAAAATAGGTTTTCGGTTTTCTCCAAAAAACCCAATATGACCGCGTTTTCCAGATCCGTGCCTCGTGCAGTACTGCGCGAAGGGCCGGGAGTGCGTCGTTCAAGACGGCGCGCCGCGGTGCGTGTGCGCAACGCATTGCCCCCCGCATCGCAGACCGGTCTGCGCATCCAACGGCAAAGTGTTCGGCAGTCATTGCGAGATGCACGCGCACGCGTGCCGCGTTCAGAAGAAGATCACCCAAATGCCGGGCACTTTCTGCGCCGGCGCCGCCAAGGCCCCGCCGAACGTCACCGTCACTAGGGCGTCGGAGACGACGCCGCCCCCGGGCCCCGTAATCGGCTCGCCGGACCTGGTGAACGAGATCGAGGACCACTACTACGGACGGGACGAGTGCTCGATGCAAGAGTACGAGGTGATGAAGGACAACCTGCTGCTTTACCATCACGCGCGACTCATGGCCGACGATAACCAGAGCAAGGACTACCTTCTGTCGATGATGTTCGCGCACTACGACAAGAACAGCGACGGCCAGCTGGAGGCGACCGAGCTGAACGAGATCGCCGCCGATGAGCACATGGAGAGCATCATCAGCCTGACCAGCGGCTGCTCCCTGGCCAGCATGGTGCAATTCGACGACGGCGACGGAGACGGAAAGCTCAACATCAACGAGTTCTCGATGGCTTTCAGCAAGCTGTACAGTGAGTGTTGACGTTACATAGAATGGGTCGTTTTTTTTATTCATTTTTGAAAATTGTGCCTTGGAGGCTGTGACCATCATAAATACTATTTACGGGTCACCTGATGATGGGAGAAATTGTACACGAAACTTTTCTTTACTTTAGCATTTAACGTAATCAACTATAATTTTTTTAATTTTATTCCCAAATAATAACATCTGCGTGTTAGTCGTATTCGATAAGAAATAATGAACCGCAGACAACTCCGAAATTACTATTAAATCCAAATTATTTATTTACTTATTTATTAACCGTCAATATAAACCAAGATTCGCATAAACAAAAACACTTGAAAACGAAATAAGATAAAATACAACAGAATGAAATAGGTAGGTGAAGACCCGACCCTAGTATGACAAACATTGGTTTTCCAAAATATTGATGGCCCAAGAAAGTGAGAACACTCTGTAACTTTTAAATGGCTTCAGACGGCGACGAATGTTCATTTTTTTGACGATATGAGCGGAAAGGACAGCAACTCTCAAATTTATGTTTTTTTTTGTATTTTTAAATTTTTATTTAATTTTTGAAAATTGTGTCTTGGGGGCTGTGACCATCATAAATACTATTTACCGGGTCACCCATTAGCTAGATAAAAATTGACAGGACAGGAAATCAAAGAAAGGGCTCAAACCAAATATTTAGGTATAATTATATAGGAAAATCATATATGTTATCTACTTAAGAAAATAATTAAGTTGAACTTTTTTTTATTAAATAAGGCAGATTATGTCTAATATATAGATCGCTAGTGTAGGATGGATTGTATAGTAATGCCTTATAGAAAGTAAAAAATACATCATATAAATCATACACTATCAAGAAAAACTATACCAGTAGATAAACAAAGGGGGTTCTGCGACGACATAACCTCAACTCACTTACTATTTGACAGAGACATATGTAATACTGGAACTCTGTACCTTATTAATATTTGCACCTTTGCACATAAACCTGAATAGCTACGAATAGTTGTCTGCTATTATCAAGGCCAAAACCCAAAGGTTTCCAATCTAACTCTCCCAAAGTCTATAATGTTTGCCCCTGGGGTATAACTAACCATGGACGGTTTACTTGCACTCAAGGAGTTCATCGATACAAATTTCTTTTAACCGTCTCGCTATTATAGAATTAGGAGAAATGGACCAGAGGCGCACGGTCACTATTGACACTGATCCAGATATTAAAAAAAAACTGTTTTTCTGTGTTTTAATGTCAAGTACCCCATTTATTACACATCAGACTGCCCAGACAACTAGGATAAGTTCCACCAAAAGCAACTGTTCCCTAGGCGATGATGCCATGGAAGAATGCACAGTAAAGCAGCAGGCTGTTTCTGTATTCATTATTTTCGAGAACAGCTTGTGAAATATTAAAAATTAAGCATTTAGTTTCATCCAGAACAAACTCTTTTTAACAGTTGTTCCCTTCACCCACCAAGATTTAAAGACAGTTTACTTAAGGCTAGTCAATTGCTAACGTCGTCGATAATCCAGTCTAAATAAACATTTGATCTAGCCAAAATTCGCATAGAGCTAAAAATTGGCAGAAAAGTTAAATATACCGTTCTACAAGAAATGTCAAAAATCCCCTTCAATTCGACTTGTGCAAAAGAAATTAATTCAAAGTCAAACGTGCAAAATTGAGTTTTTTTACATTTCTCGCGAAAACGATAAGTTTTATCGTAAAAATAGGTCAGACAAAAGTTATAGATCGTACAGTCCTCTACAATAATTGTTCAGGCACTTTTTTTTTCACGACTCTTCATTCGTGAGATATCGCTGCTTCCACTATTAAAAAGTTCGTATTTTACATAATATGTACACATTTCCGCTCCACCTACGACATAATCTATTCTAATGAAGAAAATTTGATCAGATCGTATCCTATTGATTGAAAGTACGGTAATATTGATAATTTTCATAGTGGAATAAGTTGTTACTTGAGTTGTCCCAGGTTTCAGAAAGTAAAGTATCAACAACCAACAACGACGATTATATTTGAACATTTGCATTGTTCTATTACTCTTTCAATTATATGGACATCGGCGTCATTATCAGCTTGTTTTATTGAAATACCAGCAGCTGTAAATTCTTCACATAACATTGAAATGAGGCGAGACTTATTGTCAGTATTTGCAAGAAATTGTTGTTGGTTTGTTTGAACTTTCATAGATCGATCGAAAATGACAGTCCGACGACGTTGTTCTGCAGCTTTAATATTTTTCATATGATTCGTATAACCATCAAATACAATCGCACTGTTACGACCAAAATGTCCGTAGCTTTTTATTTTAATTTATATTGAACGTCAGATGACGTGTATAAGCTGCGTTGTCACCGTCATCCGTCCACAGGCTACCGTAATACTACCTACAAATCTTCTGTTGGCTTTTTCGGAGCTTAATTGAAACCATTTCGGTGGAGTTCTGAAGAAGATTTCCAGTTTCTTTCTTCGGTCATAGGCGTCTCCGTCGTGTCCCTCGACAAGGCCCTCGAGGTGAACCGCCTCTCCGCCAAGGTCGGCGACAACGTCGAGATCAAGTGCGACGTCACGGGGTCGCCGGTGCCTCCCGTTCAGTGGCGGCGCCACGGGCTGGACCTCGCGTCCCTCGACGAAGAAGAGGTGCGGGTCTTTGGCGACGGCAGCCTTTACCTGACCCGCGTGCAGCTCCAGCACGCGGGCAACTACACGTGCCACGCCCAACGTAACCGGGACGTGGTGCAAACGCACGTGTTGACCGTTCACAGTGAGTAGGGCGGGGCCTTGGGAGGCGGGGCTTCGTATATCGTGCGTTTCGCAGCCGCGCCCGAGGTCCACGTGATGCCGCGGATCCAGTCCAAGAGGCCCGGCGAGGAGGCGACCATGTTCTGTCACGTGACCGGCGAGCCGTTCCCCAAGGTCGAATGGCTGAAGAACGACGAACCCCTGAAGCCGGACAACCCGAGGAAGTACCAGATCGTCGGCAACGGCACCGCTCTCCAGGTGCGCGACATCGATTTCGCGGACACCGGCGCGTACATGTGCCAGGCGACGAGCATAGGTGAGTGCCCCGCCCCCAGGTTAATAATCGGACCAAAAGGACGTTGCTCGCAGGCGGTCTGACGCGGGACATCAGCTCGCTGGTGGTGCAGGAGCAGCCGACGTCGCAGGGTGAGTCGCGACAGCAAAGTTTGCAGAATTAAAATATAAGTTGCCCCACTCTCTCGACGTCCAGCAGGTGCAGTCGTTCGTTATCCTACGCGGTTGCGAGGGACAAGATTGCTTTCGAAAAATCGTCATTGAGCGGGGAAAATTCGGAGAGTGTAGCGCGGACCAGATTTTAATTTCAAAAGGAAGGCAATTCGGGGATTTTGTCCTTGAGGGACGCTTTGATTTTCTATCGTGCTCTTGCGGACCACTATGGAACTTTCGCACATTCGATGTCATTTTATTGTGAATACACCCTGTGTTAAATGTCCTTCACATCTCTTTGAACTTCAAGGTTACGGCAATCTTCGGTAAATATTAAAATTTGTACAAATAATAGCGTTGTCGAATACTATTTTTTCAAATATCTCGTGCGCCCTATATAGTTGACAAAACCTAAAACTCTCTCTCGACACAGTTTACGATACTGTTCAAATCAAATTATCCCATCTTTGGCAGTTTTTCATTTATCGCGGAAATTTTAAGGAACTTTTAGATTTTCTGTCAATAATCGACACTCTGTATATTATTCAAACAATGTTCGAAATAGGGGTGATAGCCCTGGATCTCCCACGTTTCCTGCTGTATGATTTTTTCCAATAGAGTAAGTGATTTTCAAGAAAATACTTGTTTTACAGTACGCCGTAATAATCAATGACGTCATCGCGTCTCGATTGAAGGCGAGAAATTGTGATTTTCATTTGGATTTTTTCAAATATCACGAAAAGCGTATGCGATAGACGAAAACCGTAAATACGAAAATTGTAGCTCTCGATGTGGCTTATCACACTGTTTAAACCAATTGGCCATATTTTTCATCAATTTTGATCTACGGCTAATAATTTTCATGGTCTTTTAGATTTTTGTCCATAATTCAAAAACCCCCGTATACAATCGAAAAAATGTCTGAAATAAAGGTCATAGCCCTCGATCTCTCGTATTTTCCTGGTTCAAAAATTTTTCTGATCGGTTGAATAGTTTTTGAGAAAATCATGTTTTTCTGGAAGCCAAAATATTGAAAGAAAATTTTCCAAAATTTTTAAAAAAATATTTGGTGATACTTGATTACGCTCAAATTCTACTGCTTAGATGTGGGTATGGACTTTTACTCCCTTGCCAAATTTAAAATCGATAGCTACATATTTGGGTCACTTATGACGTTTTTGAATATAGTACGGAATATCCCGTTCACCCTGTACAGTATGTGAAAACTTTAAATGCAAAAGTTTTAGCTGTCCATACGGGCTCTATAGTTATTTAAAAAAAAACTGGAACAGAATCACAGCCTTCTTGTTATGATCAATTATCATTACAGCACCCAGCACATTTTTAAAAAATCATCAAGAATAAGAGGTTTTTTTGATCCGAATCTTGCGCGTCGTTTGGTTAAAGAATTTTTTCAATCGTATATACCGTCTTGAAGAAATGATTTTTTTTTCCCGATACCATGCAAGTGCGGTTTTTAATTTTTAAAAAATACTTCTCGACCCCCAGATCCCCCAGTTTTAATAGGAACTATACTCTATATATGTGTCAAATTTCAAGTGGATGGCTTTAAATTTCGGATACTTGTCGTGTTTCATAGCGAAGTCCAAAAAACAGATGAAAATCGAAAAAAAAAAGATGGACGCCTTAGTTTGATCGACCCATTTTTTACTGGTTTGTGTACCTCGTGCACGGCTTAAAAGGAGCCAAATTTGAAGATCGTGCTGGAAACCGTTCAAAAGATATAGCCAATTAATGCCAGGTCTACAGGGAAACGGATAACGGAGAACAGGAAAAAAAATTTTTTTTCGACGCTGATCATTTCTGTATCAATGGCGGTCCCCTGGGACCTACCGATGCCGAGATGTAAGTTTCGTTGCCGAGCGCGTATACTTTCGATTTCATCGATTTTTCGAAAGTAACAAGGGTCTAAAAATGTATTATTGGTAAAATACTAATTTGTTTAGAGCATAGACTCTTGTGATTCCAATAAGTGAACGTTAAATTTTATCCTAAACACTAGAACCGAGAACAAAGAAAAAGAACGAAAGTAGAAAATATGGTAATACAGTCCAAACAAGCAAAACCAATCAAAACCTTTTCTACAGAGTGCTGGTCTGCGAGCCAATAAAAAAATAGATGTGAACTAGTAATAACGGAAACAGATATAATGGAGCGCTGGAGAGAATGTTTTGAAAGATTGCTCAAAAAGACTGGCAAAAGGACAGAATACCAAGGTAAACAAATGGTAGAGCAAGAAGAGGCAGCTCAAAAACGGCAAGTCGCCAGCTGAGATGGTAAAAAACATGGAAGAAAAGGCGACCACAATATTATTAAAAGTGCGATAGATCGGGAGTGCAAAAAGTTAATTTTATTTTTGCATAGTTTAAAATGAAAAATCTTAAACAAATATACTAGTATTCGCTTCTTGGGCAAAAATATTGATTATTTAAATATATTTTCATAAGACTTATTGTAAAAAAGAACAAGGCTTGAAGGGTTTAACAATAAAAAACTTCTATTTTTATCAGCAAATTCCACAGAGTGATTCAAATGTGCACTTCATTAAATTCGTTTTTTTTTTCAATGTATAGTACCACTATTGATTGATTTGAGAATGGAAAATTTCAAAGGAGTTATTTAGCTTTATAGCATAGTGTGATTACATTAAGAATGATGATGATTTACATTTTGAAGAAAGCTGCACGAAAGAACAACTTCTGGGACAATTAAAAATAAAATATTTTAATAAAGACTAGAAAATAGATTTGATAGCATAAAGAAACGGACGTGAAGTCTTGAGATTACCACTGTATCGTTATTTATACAGTATGTAATAAGTATATAAAAAAGTAATAACAATAGGTAGAGTTAATCGCGGGGTCGGTTGTATAGGCACTATATTTCTGGTCGAAGTATAACAAATAAACACACGCTATCTGCCCACAGATGTTCTAGTCAAGCATAACCTCATCGAGGTAGATACGTACGGACCCGCTAAAGTAACCAGAAGGCGCTGGTCTGAGGGCAAGAAGATGGCCGTTGGCCAGTTTTGATACGCGTGAAATGTGGTTTTACGATTTTTTTTTGTACCCACTTCATTTGTAGCAAATTGTTTAAGTTCGATTTCGTGTGTTTAATTACGCTCTCGGATTGCTACAAATGTTTTATTTTCCAAAGGAAAACAATTTTTAGCCCTGGATTTTGCGGGAAATCCTATCAAATTTACGGAAGCCGAAAATGAATCTGCAATATCTGTTTTGAATTTTTTGCAATCTATATTTATTAATACTATCCAGACGTTGATAATAGAGGACTAAACCATAGTTCATAATCGAAAGGAAAAGTATCTGTTTGCCTTATATCTAGATCAGTATCAGTGGTCGTTGTGAATACGCTCCCCTGCTCCATTTCTCTTAATTCTATGATCAACTATCAGCTAAAAAATGTACGCTTAGGTCTGCCTACTGCCAATCTACCGAGAGTTAAGCGGCAACTTATATTTTAATTCCGTAAACTTTGACGAGGGGGCGGGGCGCAAATATCCAACTCGGCAGGCGCCTCGAACGAGGAGAGGCGTTTCTTCGCGTTCCACGACTGGGGCGTTTCGGTGTACGAGCCGTCCACGTGCCGTCTCCACCACAACATCAAGGGCACGGACATCATCCCCGGGACCCAAGAGTACGTGTGCGGCGACAAGGGGGTGAGGTGCGAGTGGGGCCGCGCGGTGGGCGTGGCCAATCGGTACGTGTACGCGAGCCAGCCGACGCTCGACCGCGTCGTCATCGTGTCCACGGTGCAGATGGTCGTCGTCGACGTCGTCAGCGCCGACAAGTACCCGGTGGAACTGTTCCACGTGCCCCACCTCGACCAGGTGTGGCTGTTGAACTGGAGGAGCGGCAACGACTCCGGCGTCAAGACCGTCCAGGTGATTCGGGACGCTGGCCAGAAGAGGAAGCACCACGCGGTGCACCCGGAACCGATCGACGGCCAATACGACATGGTGACGAGGATGTTCGTGCCGTCGCCGCTCCAGGAGCTGTCGCACTATAGCTTCAAGTACGGCTACGTGACGCACACGAACCAGCGGGGCCTCTACAAACTCGACCTCGTCAACCTGCGTTACACCAGGTCCGTGGACCTGACGCCCTACAACTGCGTACCGGTCGAGATTAAATTTTCCGCTCTGTGTAAGTGCGCCCCGCCCCCAGGGAACCACTTCCTCCCTAATTCCCGTCACCGCAGATGGGATGGTATTCATGCAATGCCTCGAGCCCGTCACCCGCAGGCCCACCGGGCAGCTGGTGCTCGACTATTTGACGGACAGCGTGATCTCGACCGCCCCCACCCTGTTCGGCACGCCCCATATATCCCCCGACTCCCGCAAACTAGTCACCTTCGACAAGAGCGCGACGGGCACCGCCCTCGTCGTCCAAGAGATCCACGGCGACGGTCTCGAGTTCCTGTTCGACGTCAAGACGAGCCTCGACGTATCCGACTTAACGTTCTACCCGAGCCAGACGAGCCACGGCTACGACCTCTACGCCAGCGGGCAGAACAAGCAGGACCTCCTCTACGTCAACCTGGATACAGGTACGACAGCGGGATCTTATAATTAAATATATTATTTTTACGGGTGGCGATTGTTTTGAGGTTATGTTCTTCCGAACTCTCTTTGCTTATCTACTTACACGAGTCAATATTTTGAGTGGGATTTTTTTTCTTGTGTTCATAATAAAAACGAGTTGATTTTAACGGTTCGATTCCGGTTGTTTCTTATGACTTGGCAACAATGACGTCGATGTAGAATTGCACAAAAACGTTGCCAACGAAACACCACAAATCAAAAAAGACTTGGTATTTTCCGTCTCGGTTGTCCAAAATTTAACTTTTTAGGCTTGTCTGACAACACCGTTTTGAACAAAACTTGCTGATATTTTTTTCAGTTTTTTTTTCCTTTTTTCTATTCTCATGTTCCCATTATGGCGCAAAGGGATATCCTCAGGCTGTCCATTCAGACGATATCCCTGGGTTGTATTTTACGGTATAACATTAGTATACCGGGTGACACAAGAAAGTGGGAACACTCTATAACTTTTAAACGGCTCGAGATAGCGATTTGAAATTTGGAAGGGTTAATATAGGTGTAATGTCCATTTTTTTGACAATATGTAGTCAATGGTTGCCCTTCCGGTTTGAGCGGAAACGACTTTCGAATTTTAAACAGTACGCATTCTACTTAGAATAGGACTTTCATAGAATGTTTTAAAAATGACAGTTCCTCCTTCTTGTCTCCCTGACTCTAGAAATTACATTCGCTGTCACGCCAAGAGATAAATCATCCGAATTTTCAATTTCATTTCATAGGAATTGTAAATATCGTGCACCAGTTAAGGCACCATGAAAAAAAAACAGGTTGTTCTGTCTTCTGCATTATTTGAGAATCGAACGAAATTATTATTATTATTCTTGCCAATACAAGTCTTCTTACAAAGTCAGCTTCATAAAGATGTTGATGAACGTGATAATTAAAAGAATGATAGCCGTGTTTTTTTTTAATGCTCACAGATTCGCTTGAGATGTCTGTACGTATTCCACAACATTGATTTCCATTTCTACACTTAAATTGATTATTGTTTGTACAAAATGTACAAACTGTCAGAATTTTCGATAATGCCCACTTGATAATGGGTAGAAGCAAAGCCACCTAAGTAATATTTTGTTTTTATAAAAATGCATTTACTTGTCTGGTTTTTTCCCTTCCCGTGAGCTTACTTTTTTAACGGATTTTGAAAATGTTGATGTCAAAATATTGCGAAAAAAGTACCGATTTTATATAGTTTTTGTTCCCACTAGAGTGATACTTGAAAAACTAGGCTAATTAGGTCAATAATATTTATGATGGTCACAGCCTAATTGACACAATTTTCAAAATTAAATAAATTTAAAAAAAAAACGAGAAAACCTATCCTATCCTACGTAGAATGATCTCTGGTACCCGGGGTGAAGGGGGCGTGTCCGTCAGGGTGTAAAAACGCCCTTTCCGCAGGCAAGGTGGAAGTGATAACGGGAGTGGGAGAGGCCAGTCCGCCCCGCCTCAGCCACTGGGGCAGCCCGAACCGCCCGATCAGCGCGTCCGGCCTGTTCGGCCAGTTCATGGTGACGCCGGCCAGCGAGGCCATCTTCGTGGTCAACGGAAGGTCGAGGACGGTCAATTGCGAGATCGGCAACGTGCACCACCCGAGCCAGGTGGTGTGGACCACCTTCAAGTACCACTAAAAGCGTCGCGGGGGACGGGGGGCGGCGCCGTCGGCGAGACAATAAACCGGGGGTTCGAGACAAGCCGGGTCTCGTCGCCCCCTTTCGACGGCGTATCTTATTATCACCACTTGTACATAATTAAACGGTTACCACACACAGAACAACATGTCTAGTGAATATCGACGTTAATTCTAAGGGTTAAACACTTTTTTTTACGGGCACGCGCCGTTTCGTTACCGCGCGGGCGGCTCTGGCCGTGGTCCGTCGCGCGCCACGGAACACGGAAACGTTTCCGCCCCGTTGACCTCGGCATTCCGTGGTCCGTGGTTCCCGGAGCGTCTCCACAGATAAAAGATGTAAATAGACTGGTTAACGCGACAAAAGAACAAAGATAACATGTCCATAACAAATATCTGATATTAGTATTCATCAATTGCTAAAAAGACATACACAAAAATATACTTACGACGTTGTCCAAACGTTTTAACCACCTTAACATCATTTTGACCAAAACAAGTTTCACCGACGATGCTTAATAAAATTTTCATGGATTCAGACCACCTCAAAATATCGTTAACACCATCATCAACACGACGCGCGACAGTTACAACTGTCATTTTGCTGCGACGCCAGCGACAAGCGGTTGTCGTCAGAACCACAACCGTCCATTTCTTCCCGTTATCTGTGGGCGTCCCCCGCGCGAGCTTAGTGGCATGAGCGTATTTCTGTGACTTGTATAAACAAAGCTATATAAATATTGCCGTTCGCGTTCGTCGTTGTTGTACCGGCAAAAGCCGGCAGCTGATTTTAAGGATCGCGTTTCCGGATTAAGGAACCGCGCGATCGATCAACGCCGCCTCGGATAATCCCGCCTCGTGTCTCTAATCGCGGGCCCCCGGCGGGATTATTTTTATTGTAAAGACAAACTCGGGCGGCGCGTGTAAGTACTTTGTTCCCATTGAAATATAAACTAAAAATCGCAGCCTTGGTTTTTGTTCGTTCCCCGCGTTTTACCGTTGCCCACAAGGAATGGAAAGCTCCATTGTTTGTGCCCACCCTCAAGCGATTTTCGCCACCCATTTTGAGGCTAAATGGGTGTATGAATATCTTTTAAGGCATCCATTGCGAACGCGAAGACGTCAAGTGGGCCATGCGGTAGCACTTTTCACAGGAATTTATGAAGCAACATGGCCGCTGACAGGTCCTCAACTAGCTTGAATGCTGCATTTTTAAGGGTATATTTTGTCAAATGTTTTCGGCAAACCATTGAAGTGTGTGACAATCGCTGTTCAGAAAGAAAATGCCGCCTGCGACGCATCAATTTTCACGGGGTGAAATCTAGTCCGCTACACAATATTGTGTGAAATCTTTGTTATCGGTGGCATCCGTGGAATATTCGTGAGATCGTAACGTATTTCGTTGCAATGTTGAGCAATTGCTATTAATTGAACCATCTTTAAGTAATAAAAAAATTAAAATTAAAGTAGATCGACGTCTAACAAACTGTCACAAATATCATTGTTAAATTATACGGTCATCGGTGGAATCTGTGGTTCAAATTAAATAATTTCCGACCTTGATTATAATTTTTTCATGGCCATATATTGATAATTATCAAAATCGTTTACTTAATGCTATAAACGTAGCTTTTTCTATAAAGTATCAATTCCGATAATGCGGCATAACCTCAAATTTTCAAGTTCGTGTTATGGTTGCTATAAATCTGATCGACGTTGTCATTGAAGAAAAAGAGAGATTTATTAAAAGAAAATTTCTGTATTTAATTATTAGTTTAGCCATTTCATAATTTATATAATTATTTTTTATTGTAATACACATAGAAAACTCAGGGTATTTTTAGAAGAGGTTTGTCAAATTCTTGTGGTGTGAAATGTACCGTACCAGTTTTGGGATGGTGGTTTGCCCCATTGCCATTTCATCCTTAAACGGTAAGTAGAATAGAAAGCAAACTATTTGACAACTTACCAGTCAAATGTTAGAATACAAACAAAAAAGTATTAATAGCTAGTTTTGGATAAGGGAGCTTTCCATTTCCTAGCCGAGTTTGGCAGCAAGCTGTCGTCACCGAAAAATGCCTCTCGGGTGATAAAAAACGAGGCGCCGTCCACCCGACAACGTTTTATTGCTAAACTTTTTGATAACGCACGTCGAGCGCGTGACGGCGCTCCATGTCGAGCTGTTTGATCCTCGCGTAGGCGGCGCTCCCGATTAAAACTATGGCGTTCGAGCACCACCACAGCGCGGACTTGAGCTCGCCGTACCAATAAGCGGCCATCACGGTCTGGGCGCAGGCCTTGGCCGTGCCGGAAATGTTGTGCGTCAACGCGGACGTGTACTTGATCTGCAGCGCCGTAAAGAAACCTATGAGGAAGCCGCACACTCCGCCCCCGGTTAAAATTAACAAGAAACTCGGACGGGTGAGGTTAGTGTAGCTCCAGAGCGCTGGCAATTCGCCGTTGCTAACGATCATGGGCACGAATAATACCGAGGCGTACACGTTATTCGCGTACGAGAGGGCCCACACTTCACCGTTCACCACCGGCAGTACCTTCTTGGTCCAGATGGAATAGGCGGACAAGGAGAGCGAGCCCAGGATTCCGAACGCGGTGCCCGCCACGGAGAGGCTTCCCGCCAGGTTCTCCTGGTCGACTCCGAGCCAGAAACCAAACACGATCACGGCGCAACACGCGACGCAGCTCTTGGACGTTTTCTCGCCCAAAATGAAATAGGTTAGGAGTACGTTAAACACGGTGGTCAGCGACCGTCCGATGTAGTAAAACGAGACGGAGACGTATTTCAAGCACAGGTTGTTGGTCGCTATCATGCTCGTAAACATAATCGACAGCGGCAGAATGGACCTGACGGTGCATGGATCCGTCACGTCTATGTCCGGGAAGCTGACCCTGTCGGGGCACGAGCGGCTCGCTAGTTTCTTGCCGTAGCATATTAGCGCCGTGATGACCGTTTGGCTGAATGCTATGAATAGCGGCGCCTCCAAGTCGATGTGGCTCAGCAGCGCTTTGTTTACAAACACCGTCGAGATCGACACTACCCAATAGCCGCACACCACGAGGAATATTACCACGTACCGCCGCAGGAGCGTTTTTTTCGCGTCCATGGAGATTCGAAAACTGCCGCTTATCGATGTTTAATCGCCTGCATCGTCGTTATCTGCTGCCACTCGAAAATTGCGGTTATGTCGTGAGTTTTCGGTGATACTTTTACTATACTACCGGCGCGCGTTTGACATTTCAATCCGTGGCGTAAACCGACCAATATGATTTTTGTCTGTGCGTGGTGTTTCGTATTCGTGTCGTCGGTATCGATGATTTGATAATGTGATCGTTGTGTGGCGAAATGACCGTCGACTTGAGTAAAAACAACGCGGCGCTGAAAGCGGCGTGGCGCGACGTGCTCGACGACAAAACCGCCACCAACTGGGCCCTGTTCGGCTACGAGGGCCAGACGAACGCGCTGAAGGTGGTGTCGACGGGCGAAGCCGGCATCGACGAGCTGAAGGATGACCTAAACAGCGGCAAAATCATGTACGCGTTCGTCAAAGTCAACGACCCGAAGACGTCGCTCGACAAGTACGTGCTGATCCACTGGCAGGGCGAGGGGGCCAACACCGTCAGGAAGGGCATATGCGCTAATCACCTGCGGGATGTCGAGCGGTTTTTCCCGGGGGCCCACCTCACGTACACCGCGCGCAACGAAGAGGAGATCGAGGAGGAACTGGTCGTCGACAAACTCAAAAAGGTCGGCTCCGAGTACAGGTTCAAGGCGAAGGTGACCCCGATGGAACCGGCCGCGCCCGTCGGCACCGTCTACCACAAGGTGAACGCCGTGAAGGAGATCGACTCGCAGGAACGGGACCGCTTCTGGAAGCGGGAGGAGGAGCTAGAGCGGAAGCGCGTGGAGGAGGAGAAGAGGAGGCGGCGGGAGGAGATCCTGAGGTTGGAGACGGAAACGGCGCGCAGGGAAGAGATCGACACCAAGAAACGGGAGGACGAGGCCCGGAACAGGGACGACGAGCGGGAACAGCAGAAGAAAGCGCCGCAGAAGCCAATCAGGGCGTCGGCGGTGAAGGCGGGGGCGGAGTCGCCGGTGAGCGACGACGACTCCGATCAGTTCGCAACGATCAAAAGGTCCCCGCGGGACGTTGTCAAGGACGCGACGCCCCAGGAAGAGAAGACCGTGGTGGGCATTACGGAGCAGGACTTTGTCGACGAGTTCGTGTACGGAATCGACAAGGAGGGGGGCCAGAAAGCCCGCGCCATCTACGATTATCAGGCGGGTAAGGTGGGCGCGGCCGGCGCAAGGGGACCGTTTTTGTTTTTCCTGTTTTTTTTTTATACATTGGTAGCCGACGACACCGAGATTTCGTTCGATCCCGGCGACGTCATCACCAACATTGAGAAAGTGGACGACGGGTGGTGGCAGGGCCTCGCCCCCGACGGCATCACCTACGGCCTATTCCCCGCGAACTACGTCGAGCCGCTCGACGAGTGACATTTGGGCGGCGGTAGTTCAAATGTACCGGGATGCGGTGGGGGTGTGAGACGGCCAGTTTTCGCGGACGTTAAAGGTGGCGACGCGCTTTTTATTTTGTAGGTTTTATACGACGCCTGTCAAATAAAGTCCTTGAACTATTCGAAAAAATATATATATACATATATATTTAACAGTAATAATTACATAACAGGGTGTTTAAAAAAATAGACGCTATCTACATTTAAAACAATATCATCGAGGGAGTATCAGATCCGTGGGGGGAGTGGCCGCGTCTCACGCGGGCCTCTCGAGGCACCTCTTCTGCTTCACCTCCAGCAGCTGCGGGTGGTTCTCGACGATGTTCAGCAGGATCCCGTCGATGTACGCCCGCAGCTGGCGGTTCACCTCCTGCTGCTCCCGGAGCGCCTGTTGCGCCTGCGGCGTTCAGTTTTTTCACTTGTTTATACCCGGGTTCTCGATGCGAGAGAGTTAAGGAATGGGGGACAAACTACACACTTTGAATCGAATCAATATAGACGAACCCTATCCGTCAGGGCCCAAAGAAATAATAATGTTCTACGGTATTTTCTAGGAGATAATTAACAATGAAATTAAAATCAAAAGGAAAGAAACTGGATGTAAGGTGAATTTAAAAATCCAATAAGAAGTGCTTAGACCAAATATATTGTCTTACTCAATAATTTTTTTTTATCCAGTTTCTAAATCTGCTTTCATTGGTGATAACTCTAACGAAGTCTGGAAAGTGATTATAAATTTTAATAGATTGTTGAACTTGCAAGTTATTAAATGACCTAGTTAGATAATTGTTCACTTTATTTGCAAATTTTTTAAATGTGATAATAAATTTGACAGTGTACCCAATAAAAGAATAACATAACCTGTCTATTTCCAAAATTTCATAGTTTCCACAACCTAAAAAAACACTTATTCTTTTTGCAAGTATCTAAGTTTATGACCAAAAATTTTACTCATTTAGAAAAGAACCGACTTTTTCATCGAGGAAGGACTACTGTCTTTTTATGTCAACAATAAAAATTGCAAAACAGAACGGCACCAATAAGCGGCTCTCGACTACGCGCCACTCTGAGTGACGTCTCTTCCTCAGAGTCATTTTCTCAGAATCTTTCCCTCCATTATGCGACTTACCATTACAAATGGTTGTGATTAGTCGGAAAACATGCCAGTTTGAGCATTCATTTGGTTGCCGAACTGACCCTCGAATAAGTCGTCTAAGCTTTGTTGTAAATTTTAGAAAAAAAAAAAAAAAACAAGAGCAAATTCACTGGCCCACAACTGTCCAACTTGCCTTTCGTCAAAAGGATTTTTTAAAGCTCTGTTTTAAATTCACCAACTACAATTCAAATTTGAAACGCTCAGATAGGTCTCAACCCTCTCGCATTCGGAAACGGGGCGTAGAAGAAAAAGAAACAAAAAAGGATCTAAAGGGTGGAGGAAGACTGACCTCGTCCTGCGACATGACGTCGAGCTCGCGGGCGAGGCTCGCCTCCTCGTCCGCGAGTCTCCGGCCCGTCTCCAGGCCGGCGTGGAGCAGGCTCGCCTGCAGCTCCTCGTTGGAGTCGCGGAGCTGCGTGTTTCGTTCGCGCAGCTGCTCCATCTCTCGTTGCAGCTCCTCGAGGCGGATGCCCTCCGGCGAGGTGGTGGGCAGGGCGGGGGTGCGCGCCTCCGCCCGCAGCCGCTCCACCTCACGCGAGAACTCGCGCAGCAGTTCCTCCTGCGCGTCCCGGTCCCCGGTCAGTCTGTTCTCTCGGTCGCGGCAGCGCTTCGCCTCGTCCCTCGCGTCCGCCGCCTCCTGCCCCGCTTCCTGGAGCTGCGCGACGAGCTCGTCCCGCTGCGCCTCCAGTTTGTCGCACTTGGAGCGGCACCTGGCCAACTCCTCCGCCAGTTTCGCGCACTGCGTCTCCGCGTTCTGGAGGCGGATGCTCGCGTTCTCCAGCTGGAGCTGCTTCTCGCGTTCGAGTCGCGCGACCGCCTCCCGGCACCTCTTCTGCTCGTCCTGGAGCCTGTCCTCGTAGCGGAGCTCGGTGTCGCGCAGCTGCTCCTCGAGCATGAGAACGCGAGCGTGCAGGGCCGCGTTCTCCGCCTTTGCCCGCGTGTATCGCTCGTCGTTTTGATGCGCGTTGTCCTGCAGCACGCCCACCTGTTGCTGCAGCACCTGAAACTGCGTCGCGGCCGCCTTAGATCGCGCGAAAAAAAAAAGAAAAACACCGGACGCAACGCCTACTTCGTCGTGGTTTTTGACGGGGCCGCCGCCCATAAACTCGAACTGGCCCTGCCACAGGTCGAAGTCCAGTTCGGCGACGTCGTCGTCGTCGGCACGCGCCATCTCCGCCCGAATTTATGCGGCACGTCGACGCACGACTTTGCACCCCGCGGGCGCGAACTAACCTCAAATTCCGGTCGCGGCTAAAATGGCCGCCGCGCGCGTGTCCACGTTACGTTATCGCGCGATTAAACGGAAACGGCGGGATGCTCATGCATATTCACCGCCCGTGACGCGCTCGGTATCGGAACGCATGGGCGGAGGCGGCGGGCGGGGCGTGGGTTCGTTCGATCGCGTCAGCGCTCACCTTATGGTGCAGGTCGTGGACGTCCTCTTCGAGGGACGCGTCCGAGTACATGTCGTCGGTGGTGTCGCACGTGCTGCTGCGGCCCGACGAGTTGAAACTGGAACTGCGGTACAGCTGGCTGCGGGATTCGCGAGCGTTAAATACCGAATAGGACGGCCGTTGCGTTTTTTTTACCTGGCGAGCGCGTTCGATCCCAAGTTTTGGCGTCTCGCGGTGCTGCAATCGCAATTTTATTATGACAAATCAACGAGCCGGCAAGTCTACTTACTGCCGGAACGATCCCCATCGCCTGTTGGGTAGACTGTCGGGATTGCTAAAGCAAAAAAATAACCGCGTTTAATCGCAACCGAAAATTCGTCAACAAACCCGCGGCATACGAATATAAACGCCAAAACCCACAGGTAAACCCCTGTACCGTCCCTCGATCGGGTAAAATGCGGCAGGGCCGGTCGCCCAAACGGGGAAACAAAAATCTATTGATCTCGACGCGCAGTAGGCGAGTGCAAGCATTCCATATAGTCACTAGAAACCGTGGATTATTCCCATAACGATAACTATTTTATTTTATTTAGACTTATGCAATGTCTGAAGCGGATTTCTTGATGTAGAAAGATTCTTATAAACAGTAAATAATAATAGTATAGCCACTACAATAGCCCCCGAACTACGAAAAATACTTTACGCGTTCGCGAGAATTGAAACTTCTGGCCACAGATTGTCAATAAGTTGGGACACGGCCATTAAATTACGAATTAACCATGCCGACGTGGCTGTTCACAAAGAAAAGAACCCATGGCGCAGGTTCAACGACTTCATAGGTGATTATGTAAATTTGAATGTGACAAATTTTTTTTTTCTGTCAGAGCATTTCTGCAGTTACGTCATAGCATGACATCTTCAACTAGGTCAAATGATGTCGTCGATACTTCGTTTTTTAGAACTGAAATTTAAAATCTAAAAGCGCTGTGTGTAAAAGCGTTCATTTCCCTTTCACGAATTAAATATATAAGAAAAAAATAGGTTTTTGCTGAAATCGCTCCTTATCGGTAGCCCGGCAACGCTGTAACGCCGAACGCAAAATACGCTCTCATTAGTGCACATATCACTTTATAAGTTAAAAAAAGGAAAAAACGCTCATCGACCTACTCGCGTGATTAATAACCGTCAACAAACCTTGAATCGCGCTAAACACCTATCGCGTGACCTCACCCGGGAAATTAGCACACAGCAGAAGGTAAACTCACCTAGGGGACGACCTGCGCAGGCTGGTGCGCAGCCATGTGTTGCGGTTGATGCCCGACGGGCTAGACCCCGCGACGACCAGGCTAAAACGACGAAACGTCGACACCTTTTACCGTCTCCCAACTTCAAACTCACTTGTTGTTGTTCCGGGCGAGGGCGACGTTGCCGTTAGTTTCTTCCGCGACGCCGGACCACTCGAAGTTCTCGCCGTCCGACAAGGATGAGCACTGGCTGGCGTTTTGGTCGCCGTTCGGCGACGCGGCGGTCAACTCGAAGTGGGGACGCAACGTGCCGCTTCCGAGAGGCGAATCCTCGGCGTTAGTCACCGTCGGCGACATCATCACTCGCTGAAACGTCCAACCGTTCGCTATTCTGTGTCAACACGCGGTCGGCCGACACGGAGAAAGAAAGAGACCGACGCGCGCCGCTATACTGTGCCTGACGGGTCGAGTTACGACATGCGCGCGTTACCCAATTTTAAAACAAAATTTATACGTTCGTGCCGTATTGAGGCAACAAAACTTCAAAACAACGGTAAATTGAAAGTGAGGTTATTGCAGGGTTTATTAAAATAATTCCGATCATTCGGCATCATTCTGTGTTTTTCTACTAGAGCAACAGACCAGTTGAGAATGTTCATTTATTGCGGATTGTGTCGACGAGAGAGAGCGAGAGAGAGAGAGCACGTTCTAAATAAACGTGGGCTAGAGTGAAGATTAAAATTATTGTTTGCGAAACGCTTCACTAATAAGGTTACATTGTTAATAACAATTTCAATTATGTAAACTGGCATTGACTAGAACAAATCATTAGTCCGTTGTATGCGTTACAAAGTCGTTTCAAACGTTCAAATAAATAATATTTTTATTCCCGTGTCGTTTACTTCATCCGATTGCGAAATGTCCACGGATCAAAACCTCAAAAACGTTAAAATTTATGATCGTATTCCAATACTACACTCTACACTGCTTGAAATCAAGGTTATGTTATTATTTAACCCGTACCTAAACGTATTTTATAAAATCTTTCTTTCGAAAACCTCCATAATTGTTTACAATGTTCATCGACCGAATAAGGGCTATAAAATTCGAAATACCACAAGTTAAAAGAAATTTGGCAAATCTAATGGGACGCGACGATACGCCACTGGCCGGCGGGACGAATGCACGCGCCAATATTATTGGAAAGCGGTCGGTGGTCCGCCCGATTTACGCAACGTCGACTCCGAGGCGCCATTTTTAATAATTACGCCTGATTTTCAACTTTCTCCGCGGGCAACGCGAAAGTGCAGATTTTCCGGACAATTGCAGCCGTCACAACCGGCGACTCCGCCATTAACCGAAAAGGTATAATTCCACGAAGCCGCGCGACGATAAATAGGGCACGACGCCGCATTCCTCCGGTTACCGACAGGTTCTTTGCGTCAATGACTCATCGCGGCGTTGCCGCGTCCTCTCGCGGCGGCCCACGCGATTTAACGCCGGCAATGCCGCGCGGGACAATCGGTACCTTCGCTCGCGGAATCCTCGCTGGTACCGAATGGTACCGCGTTTCGTACTTTTACTTTTCGGGTATCGACCGCGTATTCGGGGGGCGTTATCGGATTTCCTTACTCGCAGATCGGGCGTAAAGCAATTAGGTGTCGAATAACGCAGAGAATCGAAAAAAACAGCGCCTGACGAATGCGGGTCACTGGAAGACGCGGAATTTTACCTCAGGTCCGCGGTATTTTCGGCAAATTCCCGTAGACGGTCACCGGGGCACTCGATTGAGGCCGTTGGCGACGACCCGCGCCTAAAATTACACGCACAGCGTCGAGTATTTCGCGAACGAGGTTTCCTTCGAGCCGGGACACGCTCCGCAACGAACCCCGCGACGAGCGGAGGGAGACTGACGTTGTTACGGATGCGGACCGTGAGAAAAGGAGAGGATCGAGCTCGGCGCGCCTGCGCGCAGGTAGAGCCACCTGCGTTCGAGCGCAATGCCACCTTCCATGGAAAGGTCAAATCCGTGAGGAATCGCGTACTTCGGCGCAAATAAACAAACCGTGAGACGAGTGACGTCACGCGCCCACCACAGAACACATTATTAAATCGCGTAAGGAGCATCGCACGCTTTTCGAAATGAATCCGCCGCGTTCTGTGCCCGCATACGTCATTTTCACGGCTGCGCGGTCAGGACAGAAAAACGGTTTTATAGTCTTAAAATGTCAGCGCGACATAAAGTAGAAGCGTTTATTTTAACGTCAGGTGATATGTATCGTTCTTAAGAGTTTAATATAAATTGAAATATGTTCGTACATATATTACTAAGGTATTTGAATATGATCCTTCCGGTAGGTACGTATTTATGTACCCTATTATTGAAAATTGGCAATAATTTCAAATCTGTGTTTGAGATGTCACTTTCTTTTACATGACGATATAGCCCATATAGACAACTTAAACTTTTGTATTTACTTTATACAGGGCGTATTCACAATCAAATTACATCGATCTTGCGAAAGTTTCATAGTGGTCCGCAGGAGCGTCCCTCTAGGACAAGAATGAGCGAAGCGCCTTCTTTTTAAAATAAAAAGCTGATTCCGCGCTATTTGCGACGAACTTGCCTCGCTCACCGACGATTTTTCGAAAGCAATCTTGTTAGCACTTCCGTGTTTCTCACTTTCTGTGCCCAGGGAATACGAAGACGCCTATAAATGTACATGTGACCTAACTCCACTCGAAAATAAAAAGTCAGATTTTATAAAGACACACCAAAAATTGTTCTCCCAACGACTATCACCGGTCGCATTTTGTTTTTATTTCGGAGATTTTTTTTATTGTTTTCGTATGTACAATTTACGCCACACCAACAGCTAATACGAGCCCTAACAACTAAATGTTCGGACGATGTAAGAAATGGTAAAAAAGACATTTTTATATCTATTTAATTTTTTTTTTTTGCTTTGTCAATTGAATAATCAATTTAGTGCTATCGTAATGAATTATTTTTTATTTCGCATGAATTACATAGCAAAACAACGGAAACATACCAAATTTGCTGACAAATAAATATTCGGGCGCGAATGTTTATTGACCAAGAAATCCAACCATGCCATGCATTGATGGTAAAATGTAGTGTGCTTAGATAAATGAGATGTCGTTCGGGTTGTATCTTTCAGTTTGTATAATAGTTGATAAGAAAATGACACGTGGTAAAAATTATTAATATGCCAAAACGCATAAAAGCTGTTATTGCCGCGAAAGGTGATGTTACTTCTTATTAATGTTCGATTTAAAGTAAAAGATTTAAATGCGCCCGAATATTTATTTCTCAGCAAAATCGGTACGTTTTTGATATTTTGTTATGTAATTTATGTGAAATAAAAAAAATAATTCATTACGATAGCACTTTTTGGTATAAAAATAAGTGTGATTTCATTTTTCAATCGAAAAGGCAAAAAAAATCAATTTAAAATAAGTATAAATAGGTTTTCGTATTAGGGCTCGTATATTAATAATGACACCATGTAAAAATACTAATTTTTCCATGTACATCTTTCAAAAATTGCTCGGCGATAAAGATTGAAAACATAGGTATAGTCTGTTCATAGATATAAGAATGTGACTAACTGATACGAATTAAGGAAAGACCCGGGCAAGCTGTAAGAATGAAATATGGCCGAACAGGTCCGTACTTTGCTTAGAATTTAATTATTTCGGGTTTTGTTAGGAGAGATACTAAACAATATTTATTTATTTATGTATGTATTTATGTTTACATCTACAATAAAATTACAAATTATTTTTATTACCTACCTAAATCGACCGTCCATTGTAATTATTATTTGGTCTATATTATTTGAAATATGGATATACGATTGTTCTGCTTTTTCTATATGTTTAATAGAATTTGGCCAACTTTGTGGAGGGATGTTAAAAACTTCGGTTTCTATAAGTTTGAGGACGTTGGAGTTAACACGGGGAAAAACATTGTTACGACGAATGGCAGATTTCAGTTGGTGCCAAACATGTTGTAACATGTGTAAGGTGGAAGCCTTAAAACTGTATGCCCTAGATTTTTTGCATAATTATCACAGACGTATTCCTTTTGTTGATTCAAGCTTTGTAGAACATCATTTAATTGATTTTTGGTATAATCTTCGTGAAAATAAATATCGTTATTATACATGAAGTTTTGGATTGTTGCTTTTGTCACACGAGGAAGGGGTTTTAGTCAACTGTCTACTGTGATAACTTGCATTGTCCATTACAATGACGCTATTAGGAGGAATGTTTAGAAGTAGTTTGTTTGTTTGTTCTTAAACCAACTTTCAAATAAATCAGCGGTGGTGTCTTCATGGTAGCCCAGAGAAGAATCTTTAATATTATTATATAATTATTCCCAAAACATAGTATTTCCGCCGTAACTTTCTTCCATTCGCATTTCCTTGTATTTGACGTACAATCCACAGTGCCTCGTCCAAGTAAAAGCCTATAATAATAACATTATAGATTTTTATGACAAAGGTATAGTCTGTTCATAGATATAAGAATGTGACTAACTGATAAGAATTAAGGAAAGGCCCGGGCAAGCTGTAAGAATGAACAGAAGAACAGGTCTGTTTTGCTTGGAATTTAATCATGTGGGGTTTTGTTAGGAAAGATACCAAACAATATTTATTTATTTATGTATGTATTTATGTTTAAATCTAAAATAAAATTACAAATCATTTTTATCACCTACTCAAATTACTTAAAATTATTCACTATCTCTATTGTTATCATTGCCTGTTCTAATTATTTGCGATATGGATATACGATTGTTCTGCTTTTTCTATATGTTTAACAGAATTTGCCCAACTTTGTGGAGGGATGTTAAGAACTTCGGTTTCTATAAGTTTGGGAACGTTGGAGTTAACACGGGGAAAAACATTGTTACGACGAATGGCAGATTTCAGTTGGTGCCAAACATGTTCAATGGGATGAAATATACAGTGGTAAGGTGGAAGCCTTAAAACTGTATGGCCTAGATTTTTTGCATAATTATCACAGACGTATTCCTTTTGTAGGTTCCAGCTTTGTAGAACATCAATTAATTGATTGTTGCTTTTGTGTCACATGAGGAAGGGGTTTTGGTCAACTGTCTACTGTGATAACTTGCATTGTCCATTACAATGACGCTATTAGGAGGAATGTTTGGAACTAGTTTGTTTTTAAACCAACTTAATCCAGAGAAGAAACTTTAATATTTTTCGCAGACAGAGAAAATCCATTTGGAATCCAACCATCTTTAGAGCCAGCATGCAAAATAGTTATTCTTTTACCTCTTGTAATCCTAACCTCTTTGTAAATCCTAATTTTTTCTAGATATTCCAGTCGCCATTTCCGAATTCCAAAAGATTCCATTAAAACTTGCCTTTTGTCAATTTTTTAAAATCTAAAACCCATTTGTTGAATACACTTCCATAAGGTAGTTCTGCCACATTTAACACCGGTTTCATCTTTTTCAAGCCTCCTAATTAAGATATCTAATGTAGGCACGCTTTGTTCCTCGTATAACTGGCCGTATTATATCTCGATCACTTTCGTCTACACTCGAGAAAATGTCAGCATCGCTTCTTTTTTTCCTTGCTGAAACTTTCACAATTTTCCATACAGTTGATGTTGGAATTTTCATCAATGTGGCCGTTTCTGCTAAAGATGCTTGCTCGCTGGCACCACGTTCAATGAGAGCAAATAAACATTGTTTATAACCTCCTTAGACTCAATAGAATGGTGTTTTCTACATTTGGGCGGGAGCATCTCCTGAGATACGCTAGACTCGCACATATTTTGCATAATTCGCACACGATTCGACACACGCAGGAATGATTACTAACAAACTAACTAAATAGTATACCAAACCAAAGAATATTAAACGCATTAATAAACAGTAGGCAAAGTTAAGCGCGGGGCCGGCTGTAAAAGCACTATATTTCTGGTGGAAGTACACCTCGGAGCTTGGACCAAAGATTGATTAAAGGTATTAGAGGCATTAAAGGGCTCGGGATCGAATGAAACGCGATTTTAATTATGAGCAGTTTAATCAAGACTTGGAAACGGTACAACGTAGACGTGGACGCCGCGTCGGCGCACGCGCGGTGCCGCTTAAATATTGTACAAGGTGCGGAAGCAAAGGCGCCCTCCCCCCGCGGCCTACGTAACCTACAAACAATAAATATGTATAGTCGCGACGCGATAGCGATACTTAGTCGCGCGAGCTGCCTATAATGGCCAGGATGTACATGAAGATGTTGATGATGTCGAGGTAGAGGTTCAACGCGGCGAAGACGTACTCCTCGGGCGAGATCGAGTACTTGTGTTTGCCGCCCATCATCAGTTGGGTGTCGTAGATCAGGTAGATGGAGAAGATGAGGGCGCCCAGTGACGCGTATACCAGCTGGACTATGCGGTTGCGCACGAATATGGCGACGATGCCGAACACGAGCAGGATGACGACGGCGACGAGCAGGATGCCGCCCATCATCGTAAAGTCCCACTTGGTCTGGAACGCGAACAGGGTGAGGGCGAGACAGACGGCGGCCGTGATGCCGACCGCCATCATGACAGCGTCGGGGGCGTAGGTGGACGCGCTCACGCCCAACAGGAACGACTCGGCGATGGTGAACAGGAACAGCATGACGAAGTTCATGGGCGCTTTGCGTCGCACCTCGCCGCAACACGCCAACGTGATCATGCAGACGATCATGACGACGAGGGCGACTATGAAGAGGGACGGGGTGCGGTGCACGAACTCCTTGGTCGGCTGGTGGTAGCAGAACAGCGCGATGAATGCCAGCGTGATGCTCAGCTGGCTGAGCAGGATCGCGTACACCTTGCGGATGAAGCCGCGCCTGATCGACGCGTCGTTGAAGTCGAAACCCTTGACCTCGGGGTCCTCGCCCCCGGCCCCGTACCCGCCGTAATGGCCGCCTGGAACGCGAGAGGCACAGGATTATTCGCAAATCTTCTGGACGGGTCGCTTGTTCGCACATCAAACTCGCTGTTGGCTCGGTCGAAGTATGGGGAAACCCAGCCAACAGCGACCGAAAGAAGAAAAAGTGTCATTCGTCATTGGTTATTGGCCATTCGTCATACGTATTTCATTCGACTTCTTTCTGTTCTATCTAAATCCTAGACATTGTCCACATTTTCCTTTACACTAAATATTCTAGATAAAATACAAATCGTCTCTTCGTTTCGCGGTTTCATGTTCAAGTTTTTTTGATCGATTGACGAGGCACAGAATTATTTACAAATCTCCAGCCAACAGCAACGGAAAAAAGTGAATCATTTGAAAGCTGTTGCCGAGGGTCCTCTCCGAAAATGGAGTGTTATTCGTTATTGGTCGTTCGTCATTGGTCATTGGACATTTGTTACTGGCCATGGGCCATTGGTCATTTATTTCTAATTCATTTCATTCGATATACGTCATTGGTCGTACTTCTTTCTGTTCTATCCCAGAGATTGTCCACATTTTCCTTTACACTAAATTACACTACATTCGTCATTGAAACATTTTCACTGGGTTCTCCTATGTACGTAATTGTTTTAAATTGTTCGTGTTCTATATTAGGTTTCAGATAAATAGAGTTTACTGTTGTCTGGATTTGTTTTTTATTTATAATTTTATCGATCCCATTCGAGTAAGTCCTCCAACTTTTTCCAAATAAATATAGTATTGTGAGACGTAAAAGTGAAAGACAAAGTATAGACAAATAAATCCAACAACATACAGGGTGCCCCATTAAAATTAAAAAAACCCTGATTAATTTTTTTTTATCATAAAATAGACAATCGAAGTTGAACAAGGAATTAACAATTATTTATTTTAAATAAATGATAATTTGAAGAATTGCATTTTGGACAAACTCGGTTTCATTCAGATATTTGCTCTATCTACTCAGCTGTTTTACTGCTTGAGTGTCAGCGAGTGTCAAATGTGCAATATGAATTTCTTGCTTTAACTCAGAACAAAAAAGAATAAGAAAATTCTTGTGAAGTTTCGAAACCTTTCGCCTCAAACGGCTCAAAACAACGATACGCCACTGATCAATTTACGGTGCACGCCCACATTTTTTTTCCTTAAAAAACTGTCAAATTGACATCTGTGAACGGCCATGTTGGCTATCTCTATACGGCATCTTCAACAGATAAACTAAAAAGGGCAATTTTGTTTCGATTTGATCAAATGTATTAATAAAATTGCAATAAATCATTGCCGCACTGCATTTTTTATTTACTCTAATTAAAACCGTCTCACAGGAGTCATTGGTTAAACAAAAACAATTTTATCTATGTTGTAAAAGTGGCACCGATTTTATAGTATTTTTTGGCCGAACAATTCTTTGAAAAAAAAAACGTGCTACACCGACCCTGTGCGTTATTAAGCGGCAAACTTTCACCTGGGGCTGGATTGTAGGGGTCCGCACCGGGCCCATAGTTAGGCTGAAACCCCGGCTGCGGCGCCGAAGGGTACCCGCCCGCGCCGTAAGCCGGGTACCCGCCCGGCTGGGGATACGCCCCCGGCGGAGGCGGGTAGGCGCCGGGCGGCGGCCCGTAGCCCTGCTGCTGGCCCCCGTACGGGTTGGGTCCTGCAATCCCGAAAGAACACCTTTTAGGAACTCACGAACGACACTGGGTTCCGCGCCGGCGGGGAAAACGACGCGCGTAAACCACGAAAATGTCGACCAAATTGTGACTCACCTTGGTTGTATGGATAGGACATGTCGTCTGATCTGCGAAGGAAAAAAAACTGATAACGATTGCACAAAATTCCACGTAAACCGTCGATTTATTATCGTTTGTCAAACGAATCGCGTTTTTTTGACGTTAAATCGATGAATCAAATTGTTTTTCCAGCGTACAAACTCGTTGGCGAGCCGAGGCCGAATGAGTAATGGCTCTAGCGACTCCCACACTAAGCAAACGATTCGATTGCGATCGCGTTTCCTTCACAATACAATAAACTACGTTTTTCGAACGCTTACCTGGAAACCGTAAACGGTGGATTATTGCTCAACGCACTTTCGGAAACGACAAGAAACGCAGTCTGTTTTGATAACAATCAATCGTTAAGTTCTAGATTTGTCAAAAGCAGAGTTCCGGAAAAACCGGGCATGCGTCACCGAGCCAACCAAAGATTAGGAGTCGGTCGATATACGGTGGGTGCCAGGTTTCTCGATGTTTGTATAAACGGCAACGACGCGATGTAATAGTTTACAAGGCGAAGTTGAGTGTAAAATTAAGAATGACCGAAATCAAATGCCGATGGGTTAACCCAACCAGCTCCGCGAGCGGCCCGACCGCCTCGCGAACCGTGCTACGCGCGGCGTACTGTCAGACGAACTTCGTTTGATGATTTACATAACTGTCAAAGTCAAACGTCGATTTATTTATCCGAAATGGCAAAGAAGACGTACGACCTGCTGTTCAAATTGCTCCTGATCGGCGACTCGGGAGTCGGCAAAACTTGCATCCTGTTTAGGTTCTCGGACGACGCGTTCACGACGACGTTCATATCGACGATAGGTAAAATTCGCATGGAGGATCGCCCGCCGTTCTCGAGACGCGTCTAATTTTAGGCATAGACTTTAAAATAAAAACGATAGAGCTGCGCGGCAAGAAGATCAAGCTGCAGATATGGGACACTGCGGGCCAGGAGCGCTTCCATACCATCACCACGTCGTATTACAGGGGTGCGATGGGTATCATGCTCGTCTACGACATAACGAACGAGAAGAGCTTCGAAAACATCGTCAAATGGCTGCGGAACATCGACGAGGTAAACTTTGCCGGTTAGTTGACTCGGTTATTAACCGGTGTTCGTAGCACGCCAACGAGGACGTGGAGAAAATGATCCTGGGCAACAAGTGCGACATGTCAGACAAGCGGACCGTCGGCAAGGAAAGGGGCGAGACGGTAAGACGTGGGCGGGGGCGCGGGCCCTAGTGAACGGGTTTTTTTTTGCAGATCGCCCGCGAACACGGCATCAGGTTCATGGAGACTTCGGCGAAGGCGAACATCAATATTGAGCGGGCGTTTAACGAACTCGCGGAGGCCATTTTGGATAAGACGGCGGGCAAAGAGCCCGGGGACCACGTGGACCGCGTGCTGGTCGACAGGAGGCAGCAGGCCGCCAGCTCAAAGTCCTGCTGCAACTAGTCTTAGTCCGGTTTTTAGGTTAAGTCAAACGCCATCTGTTAGCATGTGATTTTTTTTCGTTCGACACTGTGCGAGAATGCTCATCGTCGCGAGGGGGGAGGGGGAGCCCGGAAATTCGTCATACTCAAACCTTTGTGCCAGTTTTCTTTTAGGATTCGCGCGAAGAAACTTTAAAAGCAATACGTGTCCGTGTAATAAGGGATAGAGGTCTCCGGTTTATCCCCGGTGTAATTTTGCTTGTGTAACTATTTTTTTTTCTTTTCCTCGTCGGTCAGTGTATTATCGTCTGTAAAGATTGTTAATTAAAATTAAATATTACGGACGCGGCGTTTTTATTTAACGTTTCGTGCCCAAATACATCATAAAACGCGCTCTTATTGGGCGTGACGTCACCGCTCATATCGACACCTTCCTGTCGACCAACATAATCACACAGAATGCAATGCAATTAGTGGTCTGTGACGATGGTGGACCGTGAAGCTCGGGCTTTAAATTGTGTTCGCGGAAGATGCAACAAACTCAAAAATTATTCAAATTCAAATAAATCTGAATCGGTCGTTTGGACTGTTCGGATTTAGTGACAAATTGCCACTTATGCAGTTAAGCCCCATAACAATAAATTAAATGAACCCATAGTACATTTCGTACAATGAAAGTTTTCCTTATCACAGACTAATTAAATACGCCATAAAACGTCAACAATAATTTTGTAACGTCTGTTGTCAGTGTCACTTTGAGAATGTTTTATTTATACAATTTTCCGTGTGACAAAATTCAAAATACAGGACGGCAGTAAAGGTAAGTTTTGAGACTAATTTTATACCAAGTAAATTACTCTAAAAATCGAATAAATTATCCTTAAAAAATTATACATTCTTTTGAGTCATAAAAAAATATCCCAAAAAAGTATGTTTGTAATTTATGTATGTTACAATTTTAGCACAATTTAGGGATGCTGTTGATACTGTGTATTAAAGTAACATGTTGTGGTGTTACACCGGCTCCATTTTATAAAAATAATTTTTAAAGAACTTACCGGGTTTCGTTTTTTCGTTATAAGTTTTGACATAAAAATATATAATTTTTTTTCTTTTTATAGAGCCATAGTATAATTTAAGTTTGATTCATGTAAGACATTATTATTTTTGGCATTTCAGTGAAAAGTATTGTCATAATTTTTGTTTACTATGGGTTGTCATGCTCTTTTTACACAAAGACTAACTATAAATCAAAACCTTAAGTGAACCCTTTTATTGCAAAGCAATGGTTAACTTTGTCAGAGCTATGACTAATGCAAAAATTATCACAAAAAAAGACCAAAGTGCTTAACTGAATGATACTTTAGATGTATAAAAACCCTGTTTTTGTTTAATTTCGTTTCTTTCAAGCAAACAAACATATTTCAAAAATCCCGATAACAATATTTGGTTCCAATCTACATTAAATAACTTTTTGTTAAATTGTTACTTTTGGAACACCGTATTATTTTTTAATTAAATTATCAGTTTCAAAATGTTTTTGTAATTTGTGTCTTTTGTAAACCGTTTTTAGATTTAATTAAAAACTGTTTTTATATTGTATCAAAATTTAATGTTCCTTATAATTTTTTCCCGGACGGTCTGAACGGCAAAAATCGGCCGGGATGTGTCGGTATCAACGGTTTTGGCAATTTGTTGGAACCAAAAAGCAACGTTTCGATGTTACGATAACCAAAATAATTTTATCGAGGGACTGGCAATTTTTGTTTCATAAAAAATGTATTAATTAGTAATATGACGCCATTAAAGGTTAGAAAAAAAAAGACAAAACATTCATTCCTGTGCTACGTCGTCAGCGGCTCCTCGCGGCTCACCTCGCCCTCGTCTTCCAACGTTTCCGCGCGCAGCCTCATCAGCTCCGGATCGGAACCCTGCGGGAAAACTCGCTGGAGACGAACCCCACTTGCGTCAAAATAATCATACCGCGCGTTCCAAGGAGTGCGACGGGGCGATTCCGTCGCCCTCTGCCGCGCACAGCACGCACCTGTCCCGCTTCAGCGTCCCGTACAGCGACGTCCTCTCCTTGGACAGCGCCAGCTTGTCCTCGGTCAGCTTCTTCTCCCGCGCCGTCAGCGTCACCGCCCGCGACCGCACCTCCGCCAGTTTCTCGCGATACCTACGGATCGTCTCCGAAAAAATGGCGGATGCGCCGGGCATACTCACATGTTCTCCAACCGTCCGGCCTCGCCGATAAATTTACCGCCGGGGGCGGCCGCCCCACCGTGCCACCTCCTACTCGCCTCCCGCTCCAGGTCCGCCTCCCTGTCGAGCAGCTCACGTTCCTTCTCCGCGAGCGTCCTCGCGACGCGGTCCAGGTCCGCCTTCTGCCGTCGCACCAGGTCCCGTTCGCGGTTCAGCCGGTCCGACAGCTCCCTGGCGACGTCGACCGCCGCCTCCGCCTCCGCCTTGATCTTTTCGATCTCGTAGCCGCGCGTCAACCTGTCCGAGACGTCGGCGCGCGACCTCTCCGCCGCTAAACGAAGCCGCTCTTCGGTGAGCTGTGCGAGCGCGCTTTCGCGCTCCTCCAGCAGCGTCTCCTTGAGCGTCTTCAGCTGGTCCCGTTCCCGTTCGATCGACGCGCGGCTAAACTCCAGCTCCCTGTCCATGGCGGACGACCTCGCGGCCAACGTGGCGGCCGCCTGCCGCAACGCCCACCTCTCCTCCTGCGCGGCGAGGCTCTGCTCGGCGATCTTGCCCTCCAGGCCACGGATCAGCCCCAACAGCTGCGCCCTCTCGGTCTCGGCCGTCTCACGACACTTGTCAAGCGTCCGCCTCATTACTGAAACACGTAAACGTTGCCGAGCGACGCACCTGGACGTCGTCGCCGTCGCTCCCTACATTCGAGCTCCTCCTCCTTGGCGTCGAGCGATTTCTCCCGCGCGGCTCCCAGCACGTCGTGATCCGCGGCGACCTTGTCGTGAAGATTTCGTAGGAGGATCGCGTTCGCGGCCAATGCGCCGACGCCGGCGTCCAGCTTCCGTTCCAGTTCCGACCCGCGCGACGTCAAATCAGCCTCCCGCTCTTTGGTCTCTTTCAGGCGCTCGATTTGCGCGGAATACTCCTCGTGGAGCTCCGCCACGAGCTTCGAGTGGCGGGCCTTAGCCCGTTCCGCGTCCTCCAGGTGTTTTTCTTCGGTCGCTTTCAGTTTCCGCTCCCAAAACTCGACCTCGTCCCGGTGACGCTTCCGCGCGGCTTCCGTTTTGGCCTCGAAGTCGGCGGCGAGGTCGGCGAGGGCGCGATTCAGCCGCTCCTCCACCGCCTCCGCAGACTTCTCCGCGAGGCTCAGCCGTTTCCTTGAACGGGATCGCGATCATAGAGCGGGAGACGACTAGCGATATTACTCACTTGTATGACTCCTCCAAGAGGAAGAGTTCCTCCTGGTGCCTCTGCGTCGACGACCCCGACCCTTCCGCCACCTCGTCGGGAGGTTTGCTAGCGCCGACTAGAAGGCCGATATGGTCATTGATCCTCCTCTGTTGGTCCAACATGCGGGCCTCGAGCTCCTGCTGCTTGGCCACGTACGCGCCGAGGAAAGTTTCGAATTGGTCTTCTTGCTTGCTCAAGATCTTCTCCTGCTGTCTCCGTATGCCCTCCAGGTTGTCCTCGTGCTTTTTCAGCTGTAACGACACCAGAAGCAGAGATTCCTGCTGCTGCAGCGCGGAGAGCGCCGTCCGGGTGTCTTCGGCGGAGTCTTTGGTATCCGCGGGGGCAGCATCAATAGCGGCGGGAGCCGGCGGCGGGTCCGCCTTTTGGTCGACGGCGCCGCCGCCTCCAAGCCAGTCTGGAACGTCCTTCGTGGCGGGAGTCGGCGCCCGCGGGGCGCTTTCGGCCCCAAACAGGCCCAGGACGTCCTCCACTCCAGCCGCCCTCCCGCCGCGTCTCTTGGGAGGCGCGACGCTCGACGTCGGCCTGCCGCCATCCCCGAGGAGGTTCGGGTTCTTGGTCGCGCGCGGCAGGAGCTCGTCCAGCAGGTCCGACGATCTCTTCTCCTGCGCCGCGGGGACGTCGAAGCGTGTCTTCGGCGGCTTCGCGTCGCCCAGCGCTTCGAACAGGTCGTCGACGGACTTTTTCTCGGCCGGCCTCGCTCTCCTGCCGGCCCTCGGCTCGTCGAAGAAGCTGTCGTCGCTATCCGCCTGCTCGTCCATCACCCGGACGCTCGTCGTTTACGTTGACGCGTTGCCGGGGAAACGCCGGACAATAAGGGTGCGTTTACGACGTACGTTATGCAATTTGCATGACGTTAGACAAGTCTACTAGGGGCAGTCGCCCATAGCGCTTCCATGTGTACTGTAAATTGAAAAACAAACAACTAAAGTCTGGTTACAACTTAAATTTTGGCTCGTTTTATGGAAGTAAGAGGGTGGGGAGATGGTGAAAGATGGAGGAAGAGGATCTTCCTAATTTCTCAGTTCTTTCCAGTTTGATAGATATCAGACTTGTTAGTAGAAGAAATTCGTATTTGTGGCCCCATTTAACTTTGCTGTAGAAACAAATTGTTCATTTTGTGGTTTTGTAGCCGCTGTCATAAAAATATGCCGTGGTACTCTCTCACTGGCCTGCGTACGCTAAGCTAACGACATAACTTGTATTTCGTCCTTTTCAAATAAAAGTGCCCAAAACGTCGTGAGTTACTTTATTGCCGACATAATCTATGATCCCCTAGTACGCGTTAGAACCCAAAGTTGTTTAAGGCTGTTAAAAGTGCACGTTACATTTTTTTTTGAACGACATAAGCATTTAGCCTTAACCAAAGAGTATAAGATAGTGGGGAAGGCAATGTTAAAAACCGTACATGAGTTTCAACGCCCTCTAGTGACTATGTCCAGTCATGAAAACGGAAAACGCGTGGGACGTGCGGTTTAATTGAATTTAAAGTTTGAAAGGTAAAATCTGAAAAAAAAAATTATGTCCAAATAGCTTTTACATTTTTTTTATTTTAGAAATAAAGTGCTGTTATCTGTTACAAGCTACTGTAGTATTTTCAGTGTGACGCATTACTTTAAACCATATAGCTATAAGATAATGTAGAGGTACATCGAACTATCCACTCGTTCCGAATAGTTCGGGATACTAGATCTTCCCCGATGAAAACTACATTTTCGAGAACTTGCTTTTTCATCAATATAGTCGTTATTGCACCCATACATAGCACATCTCCTTCCAGGCATACCTAACTATTTTTAATACGCTTTCAAATGCATCGACAGAATACACAAAAACCGTCAGAGGACTTCGCTTACGTCACAAGCGATCACGTGCGATCGATAATTTTGGCGAACGTATGTCTTAACGGATTGGGCAATCCTATTAGGCTTACGATTCTTGCGCCTCTATATGTCTAGTAGCTGTATGCTTTAAACCGCCATGACAGTACTTTAGTACGTGGATACAAATAATAGATGGCATTCGTAACAGTATACGCGACCTTCTCTATTTTATACTCTTTGGGTTCAACTATCATTTACGTCATTTTCAGTTATATTCAGTCAACGGTTTTCGGATACCCAAAGGTTATAAAATTGCCCCAATCTGCATTCGGATGCAACTAGTTGTGGTTCGAGCAAGGGTTATTATGCGAGTGCACGTTTGCCGACTTTGGGCCACCCTGTACGGGTCGTTTTTTTTATCGCTCCTCGGCGACAAAGACAGACTCGAGAGAGGTCGGCGCGGCTCGCCTCGGCGAATTTAGTCCGTATTCGGCAGTGAAACGTGACGGTCGTTATAGGCGCAGCGAGGTTCAGAACCGGTCTCGAGGAACCATCATCAAACGACTTCTGACCGATCGTAATACACCCCAAACATTCCGCAATGGCTACCAACAGGGCGACCAAGAGCGGATTCGCCGCCGAGGCCCAACGAAAAGTGAGTGTTTTTTTGTCCGCATTCTTTGCCGATCGGGTTGGGCAGCGGTTAAGTTTTTGCGCGCGGAGGTCCGGCGGGATGCTGCGTTTAACTAGGTCACGACTGCGATCGATAGACAAGGGTCGTCGGCAATGTGGGTCAGGGTGAGCCGTCGTGTCGGCCCGTGTTTATCCACAATTCTCGGGGTGTCATAAATGCAATGGTCGATTTTACTAGACTGTCGGCACTCCCAAAAGTCTCGAATATCGTTAAACCCGCCCCCCTACGCGTCTAAATTCCGATCTACGGTCCCGCACCGACGGAGTTCGATCTTCGGATTCCTCGTTAACATCGATCGGACAATTGAAGTTTTATCGCGGTGGCCGTGGAAATGCCTGACGTAATTTTTAATTACCGGCGTCCGAGCGCGCGTTCGGCAAAGTTCGACGGATTCCGGCACCGGACGCGGGTACAGCGCGGGCCGAAAAACGCGAAGATCGGCCGCCTTGTACGGCACGTGACCAAATACGGCGCGTCCATAAACGGACGCAAAAGTCGGCCGTTACGGTTACGTAAGCGCTGGACCGCCATATGTTCGATCGATTACGATAACTCGGACGGGGGTATTAAGATAGCGCGCCGTTTTACGACACCCGGAGTCGTAAATCGCGCGCCGATCGAAGTCCGACGACGTGACCTCCGATGCCCCGATAGGTCGGAGGTGGCTTTGCTTCGGAAACACCTGTGGGCGCGCGTGCGCGTCGCGCCACGGACCACAGTACAGAAGCGAAACGTAACGGCATCTCTGATGTCAATATTTGAACCACTGAAGCTTTTTCTCATGAAAACACAAGTAAAAGTACCTGTTTTTCCCTTTGCGAAAGCGAAATAAATTGCTCCTACAATATAAGCACGTCTTTCCGTCATATCGTGGACAGTCGAGACTGTTAACGAGAAAACTATGGTTACGCTAGCTGCGAAAAAATCCAAAACTTCACGATTCGCAGTGTTACAGGAAACCCCGTGTCGCGAAAAAACCGTTCTATTCGGCAACGTCGCGTAACTGCCACGGAACATGTTTGTGATATGGTTAGTTAGGTTTTTTCCACCCGTTTATTAATCATTTACGATTTATGCGATTCTTTTGGGGGTATTCGACAGGTGAATGCAAAGTACAACGAGGAGCTCGCGTCCGAGAGCCTGGAATGGATCGGCAGGGTGACGGGCGACAACGTCAACACCGCCGGCGACATGGACAACTTCTACGAGACGCTCAAAGACGGCACGCTGCTATGCAAGTAGGTATATATCGGCGATGACTCACCGCTCCTTATACGGCCTCAGGTTTTCGCGGTGATGTCAGCGCTTCGTCGATAAGTCGGCCGCGCTTACGAAATAAGACAAACAGACGTATCATCGATTAAAAATACTTCGATGATTTTGTTGACACGATATCAGGTTGGTGAACTCGATCAAGCCCGGCATCGTTAAAAAGGTGAACCAATCGACGATGGCCTTCAAGTGCATGGAGAACATCAACGCGTTCCTGCAGGCGGCCAGAGACTTGGGCGTGCCTGCGCAGGAAACGTTCCAGACGGTCGACCTGTGGGAGCGCCAAAACCTTAACTCCGTGGTCATCTGCCTTCAGTCGCTGGGCAGGAAGGCGCACAACTTCGGTAAACCGGGCATCGGGCCCAAGGAGGCTGAGAAGAACGAGCGCGTCTTCTCCGAGGAGAAACTCAAGGCCGGCCAGACCATCATCGGTCTCCAAATGGGCAGCAACAAGGGCGCGAATCAGTCCGGCATCAACTTTGGCAACACCAGACACATGTAGACGGGCAACCGGACGGAAGCTGTTGCGAATGACACGCCCGCCATCTATCGCCTACTCTCTAAGAAACGTTTTTGTATCCGAGGCATTCCAATTATTATTATTCAATTTCGACTGACAACGTATGCGTTACGTTAAGTCGCGTCAATTGTATCATCGAGTAATATATTGCCTATTTTTTCACTACCGTTTTTTATTGCACCCTTCGATATGGCGCGCCATCTAGGCAAATGTAGTTAATTCGAGTCATCCATTTTTATGATGTAACCCCTCGCTCATAGATGGCGCCGATCCGTAAAGACCGACCAAAATTAACTGTCAACCACCAATTTTTATATCCGCACACAGGTTTTGTTTATAACAGAAACTTGCAAAAAACAAATGCGATGTCCGACGCTAAGCTCGAGGCCGCGATAGCGGCCGTGCAAAAGCCTCAGGAGCGCGGGGGGCTGGTGAGAGCCCTGATCGCGCTGCGGAAGGAGGTCGAGTGGCCCAAGAACCGCAATGGGATCGGCAAGCTGCGCGAAAGTGGTTGCCTCAAACTGCTGACGGACATCTTGCGGAGCTCCGGCGTCGGCCACTGCCTCAACTTGGCTCTGAGCATACTCGGCAATTGCCTGATGGACAGGGCGTGCAGCAGGGAGGTGGTGGTGCAGTACAACATACTCACGACGATCAAGCAGCTACTGAAAAAGCACCCGAAGGAAGACAGCGTCAACGGCAGGCTGTTCCGGATCGTGGCGAACTTGTGCCAACACCGCGACCTCTGGGCCAACATTATCATAGACCGCAAGCCCCAGATCGTTAACCACATTGTGCGGACGTTGGAGAGAACGTGCGACGCCGTTTGCGAGAAAATGTCGGACGCTACCATCTCGATGGCGTTGAAGGCGTTAAGGGAACTGTTGAACAGCCAAACGGTGATGCGGTTAGTGAAGGATTTTGGGGTGCTGAGAGTGGTCGGCCGGTTGCTGATCAAGTGCAGCTTGGAGTTGGACGAGAAGAGAGGAAACGAGAGGCTCTTGCTCGACGTGCTCAAGGTGGTGCAAGAGTACTCGCGGTACAAGTGTCCCTTGTCGATTCCCGAGCTGCGCGGCACGGGCCGGGGCGACGCCCTCGCGCGTCTCGGCAGCGCGGTCGAGGTGGCGCCGCGGCGCGTCGTCAAAATCGTCATGAACTTTCTCCAACTGTCGCAGCACCAGTCCGAGTTGCCCGTGCCCGAGATATGCGGCTACCTCATCCGAGCACTCAAGAGCTATTCCGTTACCGCGTCGACTTTTACAGAGTTCGACGCCCACAACGAGTACCTGCGTTGTCTGTGTCTGCTACTAGACGACCCGGCCAACCGGACTAACGGACGGTGCGGCCAGAGCGTGCCCGTGCTCGTCAAAGTGCTGCGGGATTACGAGGAGCCGTCGAACGCGGTGGTGAGTGCGACGGGTTCGGGATTCGCGGCGTCGCCGGTAACGGGGGCCCCCCATTTTTTCAGCTCGACAATTGCGTGCTGCTCGTCGCGACGCTCGCCAAGTTCCGATACGACGAGCGTCTACTGTGGGCCCAGATCAGATGCGGCGTCGTCGACGTCCTCGTCGAGAAGCTGCGCTGGCTCGTGGGGTCCTCGTCCGAGCTCGATTTGCGGCACGAGATCGAATTGCCGCGGGACGCGAGGAAACCGAGGCCCGCCTCCCTCCATTGCTACCGCGAATCCGACGACGACGTCAGTGATTCGCGCCTCGTGTCCTTTTCGACGTCAACCGCCTCGTCTCTTTTCGCAGAGCGCCGACGAGGCGGAGATGTCGAGCTGCAGCGACGACGACACGTTCAGGTGGTTCGAGCCGTTGCCCGATCGCAAAATGAGCCCCTGCTCGAGCCCGGACAGTTTACGGACGACGTCGTGGTCGTCGCCGGGCACGAGCACCGACGACGACGACGTCGACGACTCGGACGAGTACTCGCCGGTGTGCAGCGAGGCGGGCGGGTCGCCGAGGCCCGAGGCCAGCGCCGAGGACGACGACTTGCCGCTTCTGGAGAAGTTCGAGGCGACCGAGGCCGGCGACGTACCGGCGAACGGTGAGCGAGACGCGCGTCGTCGCCGTCGGCCGATTAACCGGGCCCGCCATTTGCAGCCTCCACGTCCGACAGGACCCTCAGGAAGAAGCTCTTCGTCGTGATCGGGAGCCTGCTCAGGTCTTACGCGAAACTGGCGCTCCCCGCGTCCGACCTCGTGGGCGAGCAGCTGCTGCTCGCGTTGCTCGAGTGCGCGAGACTCGACGACTACGCCGCCGCGGTCGGCTTAATATGCAGCATTTTTAGGTATGTCCATTCGGTACAATTTTATTTAGGTTGGGGGCTCGCTTTATTCAGGTTTGCTGCCCCTGTTTCTTAGGTTTGTTTGTTTTTTAATTACGCCTTATTTGGCCACTGTTTCATAACACAATTATTCGGTCTGCTTACAACCACGTCTTTAAAACTTAAACAAATCTATAATGGTCACAACACCCAAGACTTTCGTTTCGTTTAGGTTGGGTGTTTATTTTATTTAGGTTGGCGAAAAATGTTATTTAGGTTGGGCGTTAATTTTATTCATAGTGGTAAAAAATATAAATAACTTAAATTACACGCCAATATTATTTAGGACCGCGAAGAATGTTATTTAGGTAGGGAGCTCATTTTATTAGGTTAAACGATCGTTGTTACTATTGCTGCTCCTTATTTTTATTTAGGTTGGCCATCGGCGTTTCATAGGTTTGTTTGTTTTTTTTTAATTACGCCTTATTTGGCCACTGTTTCGTAAGAGAATTATTGGGTCAACTTACAACCACGTTTTTAAAACACCAAAGGCTTGGTGTCAATTTTATTTAGGTTCACGAAGAATATTATTTAGGTTAGGCGTTAATTTTATGTTAATTAGCTTGGGAACTAATTTTATTCAGGTTAACGTTGTTACTTTGGCCGATCCCCATTTTCATTTAAATCGGCGTTGCTTAGGTTGAGCATTAATTTTATTTATGTTGACGAAGAATGTTATGTAGATTCAGTGATTTTATTTAGGTTGACGACCGATTTTATTGAGATTGGACGTTAATTTCATATTATTTAACCTGGGAACTAATTTTGTTTAGGGTAACGGCAAATATTATTTATGTTTTGCGCGCGCTAATGTTAATTAGACAAAGAGGGTTATTTAGGTAGGGAGCTCGTTTTATTCAGGTCCGCGATCGACGCTACTTAGGTGCGCTTCGATTTTATTTGGGTTAGTGACCTATTTTTATTTAAGTTGGTGATCTGCGTTACTTAGGTTGGGCGTTAATTTTATTTAGGTTGGTGAAGTATGTTGTTTCGGTGGCGAGCTAGTTTTATTTAGATTGGTGATCAGCGCGGCTTAGGTTGGGTGCTAATTTTATTTAGGTTGGCGAAGTATGTTATTTAGGTTGAAGGTACATGTTATTTAGGTGGAGAGCTTATTCTATTTAGATTGACGATCGATTTTATTTATTTTCGGTGATAATTTTATTTAGGTCGACGAATAATGTTATTTAGGTTGACGGCAGGTATTATTTATTTGAAGAGCTCGTTTTATCTAGGTGGTCGGTTGATGTTATTTAGTTTAGGCGTCAGTTTCGAAGGGGTCGTTTAACGGGGTTACGTATACGCAGCCACCACGGGTACCTGCTGCCCGCGATGGAGACAAAGTTTGCCGAGAGGGCGTACAGACTGACGAGGTGGCGGCACGCGCCCCAACGGTGCCGGCGGTGCAAGCGGCACCTGGAGGTGGGACAGCCGATAGTGAACGCGCTGACGGCGCTCGCGGAATCGGGAGGCGGCAAGGGGGAGATCGCGCACAGACTGTTGACGGGCGCGGACGACCGCTCCAGGGAGCTCGTCGCCCTCGCCGTCCCCTACGTGGTCGGCAACGCATCGTTGCTCGCGACGTTACTGCTCAAGTGCGGCGGCCTCGACATCCTCACGACGCTGCTGCGTCGCGACGCGGACGTCGAGACGAGCAGTCGCGCCGTCGAGGCCCTGCACACGGTCGCCGCCCACAAGCTCCGCATAGCGAACCCCCGAAGCGGGCCGCCGCCCACCCGGCCCCCGATCATCGCCGACGCTTACGCCCCGCCCCCCGAAACGGGCGTCGTTTTCGTGCTGGACGACGGGGCCCGGGTGGTCGCCGACCGCGACTTCCTCGCCTCCAAGTCGGACTTTTTTCGGCTATTGTTGACCGGCGACCACTTCCTCGAGTCGGGCGCCAAGGAGATCTCGCTGCCCCAGGTGGCGCATAAGACGCTCCGCTGCCTGCTCCACCTGCTGATCAACGTCCGCGACACGGACACGGTCGAGGTCCACGCGGACCTCGACACCGTCCTCGATGTGATCCTGCTGTGCGACCGATTCCTGCTGGTCGGGCTGTGCGTCGCGCTCACCACCACCGTCGAGCGGTTCGCGATGTGCCCCCGCACAGTCCCCAAGATATACGGGTGGTCGCTCGAGTCGCGCACCAATTTCCTCCGGGTGGAGGCGATTGCGTACGCCCTCGTCGCCGAAGTAGACGAGGAGGAGCGTCGCGCCATGTTCGACGGTCTGCGCGCGCTCGGACGACCCGACGACCTCGTCGAAGACGTCGAGAGGCTCTTCGTCCGCCACCTGACGCTCGGCCACGCCGACCGGCGCGCCTGGACGAGCAAGCACTCCAAACGCGTCCGCCTTACCTTACCCCCTACTTCTGATAACTTTTAAATAAATGTTACATTTCCACATTCGGATTTTTATTTCACGACAAAGCTCGAGGAATCCTTTTCGTTTATTTAACAAGCACTAGAACGTTCGGTCGACGCCGTCACGAGTCCCCCGGCACCCGCTTCTCCTTCCCGCTGCCCAGCAGGTCCCTCTTAACCTCGTCGAAGTCGAGCTTGTGCTCCTTCATGGCGTCCTGAAACCCGAGAGTGAGTTACCGGCGCGACGCCCCCGCGTCGCTCACCTTCACGCACTGCTGGTACACCTTGAAGATGGGGGCGCACATGGAATCGTTCGTGCTCCCTTTCAAAAACTGCTCCGAGAACCATGCGTTGAAACAGTCGTCGTACTCTTTCTTCAGGTCGGTGCACGCGCGGCCGATGCTGTTCATCCTGGCGGCCCCGTTTATCGATCGGCGCCCCGTTTACTTCGTCCGCATTTTTTTTGTTGAAAATCTTCTTCTTTATTCTTTACCTCCGTTAGCCGAGGCTACTACGATCATCCGTGGTCCGTGACGTTACCTCTTCTTCTTTAAATCGCGGCCTAACATCGTTTTTTCTTTTTCCAGGGAACCATTGCACATGGCGGATGTTGATTCGGCCCGGTTCCAAGAATTTGTAGAAATCGGTCGAAATTAGTGATGTTTAGAGTAATGTGTAATTCCATGAGATGTACGTTGACACGGTTTCCGGATGTGTATAAGATAATTGCGGGAGCCGTTTGAAGAATCGGTCGTCATTTTATGACCATTTATTTGTTTCCGTTTTTTATACGTTAAATAACCTGGAGGACGATGGATTGCTCCAGACCCTTCTCTTTAGAAGGCACTCTTTGGGATATCTGAATAATGTTAAATATTGTGTAAGCTGGTCGAATGACCTTATCTAATCGTGGCCATTAGAAGTGAAGAAGAAAGAACCTCGTTCTTTTCCGCGCATCGGCATGGTGCGTAAACACAACAACCAGCTGCCGGAGAACCTGCCGCAGCTCCAGAACCTCATAAAAAGAGACCCGGATTCGTACCGCGATGAGTTCCTGCAGCAGTACCAGCACTTTCGGAACACGGTCGAAGTGTTCCGGCTCGATCCGAGTCGGCCCAACAAAACCCTCGACGCTTCGGTGATGTTTATCGCGCAGGTGGCGCAGTGCTACGCGAAAGAGGTGGCGGAGTTCCCGCAGCAACTGATCGACCTGATGCAGAGCCACAACACCGTGATGGACGGCGGCGTGAGGATGAGCTTGTGCCGCGCGCTCATTCTGCTGCGCAACAAGAACCTGCTGGCGCCGACCGACCTGCTCGAGCTGTTTTTCCGGCTGTTAAAGTGCCCGAGCAAGTCGCTGCGCGAATTCCTGCGCGACCACATAGTGACCGACGTGAAAAATTTAAACGCGAAACACAAAAACGCCAAGTTGAACGCCACGCTTCAGAATTTCATGTTCAGGATGTTGAACGACGCGAACCCCAAGGCGGCCAAAATGGCCGTCGACATCATGATCGAGCTGTACAAGAAGAACGTGTGGAACGACGCGAAAACCGTCAACGTGATCGCGACGGGCTGCTTTTCCCGCGTCACCAAGCTCATGGTGGCGTCTATCAAGTTCTTTCTCGGAAGCGACCCGGAAGACAAGGACGGGTCCGATTCGGACGATGACGACGACGTTGACCCCCGCGACGTCGCGATGGCCAACAAGGTCAACAAGAAGACGCGCAAACGCGAGAAACAGCTTTCCAAGGCGAAAAAGTTGGCGGCGAAGGCCTACAAGAAGAAGGCGAAGGGCCCCGCGTTCAACTTTTCCGCCGTCCATCTCGTCCACGATCCCCAAGGTAAGCGGATAGTCAGAATAATATATTTAACTCACATAGCCCACCATTTGTAGCCGTGTCTGATTGAAAAGGCATTATTAGCTTGGCTAATTTTCGCTACAAAGGAGAGGTATTTAAATCCAATTGATCGTTAAGCAATACATTTGAATGTCTCATTTTGTTAATCTCCATGGCTTCCAATAACTTTAATTTTTTACTTTTTGTGGCTGTGTGTAAAATATCAAAATTGTCGTCAAAAATGTGTTTAAGTGTGTAGCATAACTAGAATCTAGACTATTGTTTTTGAACGCTCTTTTGTCTTTTGTCTTTTGTCTCTGTTTGTCCAATATAAATTTTAGGACAACTGGTTTTTGAGATTTTGGGCATTTCATTTTATTGTGTTGTTAGTTCTGAAAGCTATTTTTAAACCACATTTTGACAAATGTTTTGAAAGTTTTTCACTGGGTTCTCCTATGTATGTAATTGTTTTAAATCGTTCGGGTTCTGTCTTAGGCTTCGGATAAATAGAGTTTACTGTTGTCTGGATTTGTTTTTTATTTATAATTTTATCGATAATGGACGGATTGTAGCCGTTGTTCAGTGCAATTTGTTTAATGATATTAAGTGTCCGTGTGTGAAGGTTTATGGTAAATGGAAAAATCTAATTTGTTTTGCGTTTTCGTAATAGTTAAGTCTAAAAAAATTATAGAGTTGCCCTGTTCAGTCTCGATAGTGAATTTTATACGATTATGTAATGATTTAATATAATTTAAAAAAGAATTCAATTGTCTGTCCGTTCCAACAAAGCAAGCAAAAATATCATCCACGTATCTATACCACCATAGAAAACTTAAAGGATGTTCTAATATGATATTTTCCAAATTATCCATAAAAATCTCGGCTAACAAAGGACTAAGTGGGTTTCCCATAATCAAACTTTCTTTAGAGATGTAAATCTGTCCATTAAATTCAAAATATTTATTATTATTATTTTGTTAAATGGATTTTCATCAAGTAAAAGCCACCTCAGTTCAATATGTTTTTTTTTTAACAAAGATTATTTATTTATTTTATTCATCGGCCTCATCGGGTTACAAAATAAACAAATAAAATGCTTTCCACGGGAGAGTTTCAACTCTAGAAATCTGTGTTCGTGGTGCTTCTAGTACTATCTATCGGAGCAGTCGACAAACTCTCGCTTTGATTAACGAGACCACAACCAACAAAGACTCGTTACAGGCATGGCGGAGAAGCTGTTCGCGCAGCTGGAGGCGAAGAACCACCGCTTCGAGGTGAAACTGATGACGCTGGACGTGATATCTCGCCTCGTCGGCCTCCACGACCTCCTCCTGCTCAACTTTTACCCGTACCTGCAGCGGTTCGCGCGGCCCCACCAGCGCGACGTCGCCAAAATACTGCAGTGCGCGGCGCAGGCGTGCCACGAGCTGGTGCCGCCGGACGCGGTCGCGCCGCTCCTGAAGACGATCGCCGACAATTTCGTCACGGAGCGCAACAGCTCGGACGTGATGGCGATCGGGCTGAACGCGGTGCGCGAGATCTGCGCCCGGTGCCCCCTAGCGCTCGACGAAGATCTGCTCCGGGACCTGGTGCAGTACAAGTCGTACCGGGACCGGTCGGTGATGATGGCGGCGCGCTCCCTCGTGCAGCTCTTCAGGAGCCTGCGACCCGAGCTGTTGCACAAGAAGGACCGCGGCAGACCGACGGAGGCGTCCGCCGAAATTGAGCCCATCGACTATGGCAAGATGGACGCGAAGGATTACGTGCCCGGGTCGGAGGTCCTGCTCGCCGTCGAAGACGACGCCGTCGAGATCGACTCCGGATCGGAGGGCGACGACGACGACGAGTGGGTGGACGTGGGGGATGACTCGACAGCGACGGCGTCCGACGATCGGCCCGGGAAGAAAGACATGGCGCGGGAGGTGACGTCGGCGCGCCTGTTGACCGACGACGACTTCAGGAGGATCGACGCTGCCAACGTGGGTAAGCAGATGAGGGGCGCGAAGCGCCGCGCCGACGGCGACCTGGTGAAGCTCGACGACATCGAGCTGGTGCACAAGAAGCGGCGCCACGATAAGGAGGCGCGGCTCGAGAGCGTGAGGCGGGGCCAGGAGGGCCGCGACAAGTTCGGGCACCGCGACGGTCGCGGTCGCGCCTCCGCGACGAACCGCGAGAAGAACAAGAGGAAGAATGTGCAGATGATCAGGCACAAGGCGCTCGTCAAGACCAAGCGGAGCTTCAAGGACAAGCAGATCGCACTCCGCAACCACCTGCTCAAGCTGAAGAAGATGAAGTGATCGGCCCGTGTCTCATGTATATTTATGTATAATAAACCATTCGAAGTTAGGCGGGGGTTCTTCTTCTTCTTTTCCTAAGTTTCTTGGCTTCCGCCTTGAGCAATTTGCCAGCTTCTCTGGCCTGTGCCATACTAACTACACTTTGATTGCATTTTATGTTTAGAAACTAATTGCGTTATTCCAAACTTCTTCATACATCCTTCAAGCGACTGACAGTGACAGATTATGGACTCTTCAACTGAGGTGTTGCCTCGTATAGGATTGATTTTATTATATTTGGAAAATATAACTATTAGTTTTCCTATATTTCCTTATTTTATTTATATTACAAAGCACAAACCCACAGCTCCTGTATCACTAAGTGCAACTGGAGACCCTTAGAGTTTTATTTGGATATAGCTACAGACTATGCTTTATAGATTATCGGTGTTGACCATTGATAATTAATAAGATTGCTCCAAGAATGTTCGACAGGTGAAAATGATCTTAAAATCGTAAAGAACCTCTACATGAATCAAATGGCATCCGCGAGAGTAGGACAGGAATTTACGCCATATTTTCTACTTCTTCTTATTTGGGGTTGGCCCTGCTAATAGGCAATTTACTGACGTCATATTTGAAGATCAATATAGGCAAGACGAAGGTAATGGCGGTTAACAGAACACAAAACATGCAATTAAATACAAGAGTAAACAAACAAGAACATCCTAGTCACAAAGTTCTGATATTTCGATAGTTGGATAGCTGAAGATCTAGATCCACACTTAGAGATATGTAGCAGGATCGAGCAAGCCAGAACATCATTCATTAATATGAGAACTTTACTAAGCAACCGCGGACTAAACTGGACGGAGAAAGACAATTATTGCCAATAATAAAAAAGAAAAAATGCCTATCTGGGTCACATATTTTTCGAAATTCCAATTACCACTTCTCAAAACTTACAATGGAAGGAAAGATTGAAAGAAAATGACGCATCGGAAGGAAAAACACTCTTGGCAAAAAAACATAAGGCATTGAACAAATCTCGACGTGCACGCACTTTTTAGAGCCACACAAGATCGAGAGGCGCCTTAAGAAGTCAGCTTCAGAAAGTCAGAAAAAGGATATGTTCCGGGTTTTCAATTTGTCCTGCGTAGATGTTCACCACTCGAGCAATGTTCAGTACTCGGTCTCATAATAATAGTCAAATGTCGTCTGTCTATAAAAAGGATTCCGGAAAACCGTGGCACCGTAGGAAATACCGTTTGGACAACCAGATCGCGCTCCGCGACCACCTGCTCAAGCTGAAGAAGATGAAATGATCGGCCCGTGTCTTATAAATAGATGTGTATAATAAACCGTTCGAGTTTGGGCGGGGGGTTTCATTGCCGTTCGGCGCAGTCGGTAGGATCGGGTTATATCCGCCTTTATTGGTTTAACGGCTCTCCAAACGAAAACTTAAGACTAAATACATAATTCCCATATATATATCTATAAACGACCGAAACTTATAAAGGCACGCGCGGGTATAAAAAAGAGAGATTAAACGCGTAGAATACTGGGGGCGGGGCAAACAGATTTATTCGCTCACGCCGTCGGTTAGCTGTACATCTGACTAGACGAAAAAAATAAACGCGTAAAAAAATATATTTATATATCGTGGACGTCGTCGGTACCCACGACTCACGCCTCCTCCGCCCGCTCTGCGTCCCCCGCCGGCTCCGCCTCCGGCGACACGTACATAATATTGGCCGATATGATGGTGGGGTACTCGAGCCCGGGCGCGAACGACATGATCTGCACCTCCTCGCCCTTGGCGAGGCTCATCTTCAGCACCGGCGACTGCATCGAGAAGACGATCTGACGTTGCTCGTTGAGACGCACGACCGTCACCCGCAGGGCCACGTGGCGCGTCTGCTGGAAGCTGAGCAGCTGCTCGAACTCGGAGCGATGATTGCGCTTGACGGAGAGCGTCGAGCCGTCGGTGATCATCAGCAGGTCGGTGCCGAAGTGGAAGCCCGTCCAACGCCACACGTGGCGCTCCTTCGAGGTGACGATGCGGCCGCAGCGCAGGCTCTCCGCCAGGAACACCTCGTCGGAGACGTTGGCGGGGCCCTTGTCGTCGTTCTGGTTCACCCGGAGCACGTTGCGCCACTGCTGCAGCACGACCGGGTGCAGCCACGACTTGGGGACGATGTTGTCGCGCAGGATGAGCAACACGTCGAGCTGGTGCGAGATGAGGTTGGGCAGGCGCAGCCCTTGGAACACCGGCACGAACTCGCGCCCCTCCGGCGAGTATAGGTACGGGGTTTTGTCTGGAACGGCCGGTAGTTCAAATGAACCGGTGGACGAATAACCTTCCCGCTCACCCGTCCTTGAACAAAAGTACTCGTTGACGGTCGACACTGTCGGATCGTCGCCCTCGTCGCCCCGCTTGATCAGAAACATCCAATACTTGAGCATGACGTAGATCGAATACTCGGTTTGTATGACGAAGAGGTCCGGATGAGCGACGAGCTTCGTCATGAGCGACACGGGGATAGTCCTCAGCTCGGAGTGGGAGCGGCTGAAGTAGTGCGGCATCAGGTTGACGAGGAACCACTTGAAGCACGCCTCTTGCAGTTTCTTGTCGCCGTACTGACACGCGGCGTTGTAGTAGTCCAACGCGGTTTTCGGGTTGATGGTCTCGAGCATCACTTCCGCGCAATGCTCGATCAGACCTTCAAGTTGGAACATGGTGGCGGTCGCGAGGATCGGCACGATTTCCAACGGGTTGAGGGCGACGTCCGAGTTGTACAGCGAACCGAAAACCACCTGCAACGCTGCGAGAACGAGTGGGTGACGCGGGGCGGGAGAAATAAGGACGCTTACAGTCGAGGGTGATCAGGGGGTCTACCACGTCGATATTGATGTACTTCTGGGTGGTCTCGAGCCACGAGCCGCCGAACATGCTCGCAAAGTACGGACTCTGGCACAAGTACACCCGGTGCAGGTGATGCTCCTTCCCTAACGCCCACACGGTGACGTCGGAATTTTTCCCTTCCAAAAACAACGCCTGGTATATGTACTTGGCGGTGCAGAGCAGTTTTTTCCTTAAAAAACGGAACGGCGTCACGACGAGAATGGTCCGCGCGAACTACTCACTTTTTGGGGGTGTGCAAAGCGATCTCGATCACTTTGCTCTCCTCGTCCTCCTCCGATTCCGAATGTTTACGTTTTCGGCCGGTGACGTAGCCCGTGAGGTTGTCGACGATGCTCTGGGTAGAGACCATGCCCCCCATTGTCAAGTGTAGGTCGAAGTTTATTCCCGTCGGGACTGTCAGCGCCGGGAATCGCGAAAGCCCGACGCGCCACGGAACTCTCGTCGAAAACGACTTTACACCGTAACAACGCAAAACGCGAAAAAAACATTCAAACCGCACGCACGGTCCGACTTTCACTGGTGTGTTTACGGCACGCGAGCTGCCCGTCCCGCGGGGGCTTTGACGCCGATTTCGGCGTGGAAAATCGCGACGCTCGACGCCGTTCGATCGCTTGGATTTAATAATCGGACGGATCGCACTTCTAGAACGGATAGCGCCGTCCTACTCCGGGCAAATTTTAAAATAGTGTCGACCCGCGCGGTCTCATCTCCACGCCACTGCTCCGAAGAGCACAGAAACTGGAACATCTGTCAAAATTGCGGCGACGTTGCCGGCTCACCGAAAAAGTGTTTCAACGGCGCGAGCTCGGTAAGGCGGCATCGCGCGCACACCGCCAGATGACCTCGTACGTTTGACAACGTCGCTGGTCGTTCCGGCGCAAACATAACCTTCGCTGGTTACGTCAGCGCCGAAAATATTGCCCCCGTTTTTGAATAAATTTGCGCGGCGCGAGTTTCGCAACGCGTCAGCGATGGTGCAATAGCCGGCGCGATGTTTAAAATAACGCGCCTGAGGCCGGTCCTGCGTCCCCAGGTTAGCCCGTACTCCGAGTACGGGCTGTACAAGTCTTTGAGCGAGAGCGCGCCGGTAGAATGGTGCCAGAACCTGCTCGTGACTGTGCACGACGCGACGGGGCTCCCGTGGTGGGCGTCGATAATCGGCACCACCGTAATGTTGCGCACCTGTCTCACGTTACCGCTGGCGGTGTACCAGAACCGCGTCCTCGCGCGTTTGGAAAACGCGACCCTCGAAATGGGGCCGCTCGTCGACGAGCTGAAGAAAGAGACCGCGATCGCCACCAAGGTGTACCAATGGGACGAAAAAACCGCCCGGTACATGTTTAACCGATCCGTACGTTGCCGATACGCGTGACACCCCCGCAGCGCCATCTCTTGTACTTTCGTAGGTGAAAAAGCAGTGGACCAAGTTGATCGAACGCGATAACTGCCACCCGCTAAAAAGCACTCTGCTGGTATGGGTCCAGATTCCGATGTGGGTATCTCTGTCGGTGGGCCTCAGGAATTTGGTGTACATGCTGCCCTATGGCGATCCCCGTGCACAGGTAACTTTGCTCGAGCTGACGGTGGGCGGTTTCGGTTTTATACCCAACTTAACGGTCGCCGACCAGTCCTGGATCCTGCCCGTCACTTTGGGCCTGCTGAACTTGGCCATCGTCGAGCTGCAGCTATTGTCGAGAAAGAACGTGCCGAGCAAAGTGCAGACCGCCCTCAGTTACGTATTTCGCGGGATCAGCGTCCTAATGGTGCCCGTTGCGGCTGCAGTGCCATCCGTAAGTGCTTCTTTGGTATCAGGGTTCCAGGTAAACGTTTCCATTTTCCAGTGCCTCGTGCTGTTTTGGACCACGTCCAGCGCGTACGGTTTGGCACAGAATTTGCTCCTAATGTCGCCCAAGGTGAGGAGGTTGTGCCGCATACCCAAGACCTCGAGCGAGGCACAAAATCCCTACGACGACGCCCTCGACCGACTCAAAGCCAAATTAAAAATGTCCCAGTTGTCTAAATAAATCGTTTTTAGCTTCAATAAAACAATAATTTACGAAACAACGTGGTTTATTTACAAAAACGGTGACTCTTACATCCCTTACATAATACTGATAGCTGCGACGCAAGCGACGAGCTCGTCGGTGGCCCCCAAACCGCTAATACCTTAACAATAAAAAATCTTTGGGTCGCGTGGTATCTCGGATCCTTGTCCGCGTCTAATATCACAAAATTCACCCCTCAGTCTCCAGAACTCCACATCAGCTCCCGTCGCTTTTGACGGGATCGCGAGCCGGCACCCTGGAGAACCCCGCCAGGTCCCTGTCGGTCCAGTGGACGTACAAGTACGAGATTTCGAGCACCAGCATGACGAAATTTACCGCGCAGGTGGATATTTCGAGGTCGCGCAGGAACTGCTCGACCTCGTCGCACGTTAGGTCTTCGTAGTGGTAAACGTCGTTAAAGACGGCCGAGGTCGCGCCGCCAGGCGCGCACACGCACGTCTTGTTGAGCTTGTCGAACGACTCGCACGTCGAAGAGTACAAATACGTCACGTGGATCAACGCGAATGTTAAAACCAAAACTATCGAAGCGATAGAAATGACAGTGGTGGATACGCTAAGGAACTGCAAAAGAAAACGGGTTTTTGGTTAGTTGCGGACGAAGCCATTCTTCTTCTTGAAAAACCAACTGCCTTTGGTCACATTTACCTTGACGTAATGGTAGGTCCAGCTGAGCCGTCTGCCGGGGTACGGACGCGGGCAGCAACCGAGGAATAAACACCCGACGATTCCAGAGCACAGCGCCTGGAAACAAAACCGGTTAGTTTTGGTTGTGTTCGGTTGGTTTTGGCATTCGCTCACGGGGACGGCGCTCCAGTAGGGATAGTCGGCCGCGCTCATCGTCGGCGTCCAGAGCACGAGCCACACGGAAATTAGGCACATGGCCACCGCGAGCAGGATAGTCATCACCTTCATCGACTTGACAATTTTGTAGTGGCGTATGACGAAAGGCAAATAATGCCGAGGCGTTTTTCCGTTGCGATTCATCACAATCATTCGGCTGTGACGTAGACTGTTGCGAGTCGGGGTGTGTTTGTCGCCGAGGGCCCTCGCGGTGATGTTTTGCGGCACCGTCGTCACCAGCGCGTGCGCCAGCGACGGGCTCTCGAGTATCGCCGCGCTGTTGCGCGCGCAGCCGTTTTCATCGCGACCGTCGTCCGTCGCGGCGGCGATGCCCTCGGATTTCTCGTTTCGGTTGTTGTTGTCCATGGTGGCTGACATCCGCTTCGCTTTCCGCCTCACGGCCTACCCTAAACTAACCAAAACGCAAACCGACGTTAAGGGAGCGCACAAGGCGAGTGACGGTTTTCAAACGAACTGTGCTACTGTCGCGAGATCGCTTCCATGGTCTGTGCTCGGGACCTTCGACTGTTTTTCAACGACCAAGAGATTTTTCCGTTATTAAATGTAGCAGCAATTAAATTGCCGGTCCGTTGATCACGTTTTTGCTTTTTTTTGCTCTCGATTCGATTTGCGACAAACATTTTTTTTGTACTTCGCGCCTACGACGAGAATTTTAAACCTTGCCGTCAGGTAAATCGATTATTTACGGCCGAATGTCGACGGTAAGTAACGTTTTTCGAGAACCGCTTTTTTTTTTGCGACAGTTTTTCCCACCGACTTCACGGTGTCAAGGCCGTTAACCGACACAATAAAAGAACAAACTCGTTACCCGGCAAGGTTTTGCGTTGCGGGGCCGATTTTAGGGCGAAAATCGGACTTCCGTCCGGGAAACGTGCCCACGCACTCACCTGTTGAAGGGAAACGCGGTCACGTGACGGCGGAATTTCCTCCGATTTCCACGCAAACACTCGTAATCCGCGTCGTTCACTTTCCCCGAGCGACGCGACATCCGTTACGCGCGCCCGTCGCTTCTTACCTGAACGCACTACACCTGTCCGACCACCACCTACTGTGACGACTAATGCTACACGGCGGCCCAAAAGCACGTATACGCCCGACGCTGTCCGCAACTGATTTTTCGGCCGCTCGAAAATCTCTAGCGGCGACGGCGCTAAATATGGAATCCCGATTCCGTTTTTGGGCTTCAATTTCGTCGTTTTTACAGTTACCGGCGCAGCGGTCGACGTGATCGGCCAGCGCAAAACCGGAAAGTGCTTTGTTATTGTTCTGCTTGGGCGACAGAAGCGGTCAAGGAACGAGGTTGAGCGCTTTTCGGTGACCACATAACGACGATCCAGATCTTCGAACTTGCCGACAACAGTCGCCATCGACCTTTTTTGGGGAAATACTAAAATATCCACAGAAAACCTTAGAGTTGCCGGTTTGATTTGTGCACGCCTCGCGCTCCCTACCGAGCGGTAGATGAACTTTCACGTCGCGATCCGAATCGTATTTTTGCTGTTTTTCTCCGATTCGAGTCGTATATTTATTTTTGGTTTTTCTTCCGATAGATAGCGCGACCAGCGCGAGTCGCTTGTCGATTTTATAATCTTTGGAAATAATGCGTTACCACTCGTGGTACTGCGGGGAAACATATATTATTCTAACCTATTGTTGTAAGATCGTTGACCCGGATAACTAACGTCAACAAAGGGCGCCCTATGGGTGGTAGAAATTCTTTCAATTAGCTTTCGTTCGTCCGCGTTGCCGCACTTTTACACGAGAGCACGATGAAGATTGTTACGTGCGTCGCTCCGGTGAACATTGCCGTTATAAAATATTGTAAGGCGCGTGCCGCGTTGCGACCCGATTAACTTTCGTCGATTTTTCAGGGGGCAAAAGCAACGACGAACTCATAATCCCGCTCAACGATTCCATTAGCGCCAGCTTGTCGACGGACGTCGTGAGAGCAGATCCGACGGTTCAAGGTTCGTTTCTATTGTCGTTATTTTTAGATGTGCGCCAAAACGACGATAATGGCGAGCCCGTTGTTGAACGAGAGCGCGTTTTGGCTCAACGGGGCGAAACAGGACATGAACTCGCCACGGCTCGCGCGGTGCTTAAAAAAAGGTAAGACCCCGTTTGGGAAATGGCTCTGGTTACCCCCCCCCGTCTAGTTAGAGAACGCGCCGACCCGTCTTTGCCCGAGGCCTCCTGGAATGTGGTCATTTGTTCGGAAAACAATTTCCCGACCGCCGCGGGCCTCGCGTCCTCTGCCGCGGGTTTTGCTTGTCTCGTCTATGCTTTGGCAGTCCTTTACGGCGTCGAGGGCGAAATTTCGGACGTCGCGAGGCAGGGATCCGGTAGCGCTTGCAGGAGCATGTACGGCGGATGGGTGCGCTGGCATTGCCAGGGCGATTCGATCGCCAGACAGTTAAAGGGGCCCGCGCACTGGCCCGAGATGCGAGTTTTGATCCTGGTCGTGAACGACGCCACCAAAAAACACAGCTCCACGTTGGGGATGAAGAGGAGCGTGGACACGTCCAGCCTCATCGGGTACAGGGCGGAAAAGGTCGTCCCGGACCGTATTAGGGACATGGAGGGGGCGATTTTCGCCAAGGACTTCGAGACGTTCGCCGAACTGACGATGAGGGATTCGAACCAGTTCCACGCGATCTGCTTGGACACGTACCCCCCCTGCGTGTACATGAACGACACTTCCCACGCTATAGTCGACCTGGTGCACCGTTACAACGAGTTTAGAGGCAGGAACGCGGCCTGCTACACGTTCGACGCGGGCCCCAACGCCTGCGTGTTCCTGCTCGAGCAGGAAGTCTCTAGTTTCGCCGGCGCAGTCGACTACGCGTTCCCGAGAGTCGGCGACGGTGCCGACTACTACAAAGGGCTCGGATTCGAGCGAGTGCCAATCGAAGGGGGCCTCGCAGAAACGTTGACGCCCGCGGAGCAAGGAAAATTAAAGTACATGATACACACCGAGGTCGGGGAGGGCCCGAGGGTGCTGGAAAATTCCGACGATCATCTGCTGACGGTCGACGGCCTACCGAAGGCTCTGGGACTGGTGCCCGCTTGAGCGGTTTTATACGTTTTTTCAATAAATTTATGGAAGGGGCTGCGATTTTATTAACTCAGACCCGTTCAGACTACTCCTTGCGCGACAAAAAAGGCAGGTACCATACTAAAACCTTCTATTTACGCTTTAAATTAACATAAGGTACAGTTTCGCCTTTACATCCTCGCTTAACGTCCTAGCCCTAATATTCGGTCTCCTCTGAAAAAGAAAAACGAAAAGCTCAATTAAAAGAAAGAACAGTAATATTGACCCCCCCCCCGTATTAGTCACTCAAACGCAAAAAAAAAACAAACGCCATTAACGATATTATCAAAGTTCACGCCGGACTTACGAAAAACTTATTCTTGAGCGTCTGGAAATATCAATTCGCGCATTAGCTGGGCTCAAATGTTGTAACACACTACAGAAATATTACTTACTTATCGGCTTGCCGTTCTCCCATTTCGTCACTTTGATTGCGGTCGCGTCGCGTTTCTGCGCCTCCACCCTCAGGTCCGATTTCAGGGCCTGCCTGAGCAGTTTGGCGGCGATGTTCGAGTAGTTGATGTAACTGAAATGCCCGCGGTTACGTAACCTTAACCTCGAAACTACCCCCTCGCCCCCAGCTCCCGAACGCTCCACTTACTTTAAACCGGCTTGCCTCCAGCCGCTCATTTTCCCTTAGTCGTGAGTAATTGTCTCGTGAGAAATGGCGAAAAGCAACAGCGACGTCCCAAAACCACGATCACAGAGTAACGAGATTAGCGCGAGCCCGATCACAGACGGTAAACTTTCGGGCGCCATCTGGTCGCTGCCTTATAAAACTCGATTTCAGAGCGGCCGCAAAAGATGGCGGGTCGCGCTTACGATAAAATTTATTTTCATCGTAATTTAAAAGCGGGGCTCAAATAAGACGGTTTACGACCATAGCCTTTATTGATATTCGGGATTTGTTTACTGTACCGAACGGATTTTCGCGGCAAATATTGATGCCGCTGCAATATGCGTGATAAGAGAGCCCGCGGCGCTTTAATTGGAATTGAATTTGCTCGCGTTTGATAACGTCCGCATTTCTGTTTGTTCGGATTTTTTCCCGGAAGTCTCTCAAGGATCCGCGAGCGCTCGCGTTGCATACCGTGGGTATGCAACGCGAAATACACGGGTCGGATTTCCTCAAAAACGATAATTTCATTATCGCGGCGATAAAAACAGCGGTCAAAAAAAATTGTTTCGCCGAGATTTCGAGCAGAGATAATAACGACTTAATTAATCGTCAGGAGTGCTCGAAAGTCGTTTTTTTTTTGTTTGCCTTGTTTATTAGCGGTCTCGTTATAACGGGGGAGTAAACAGCGGGTTTGATAATTCGGTGCGTACCGAGCGGCACCGCAATCGCGAGTGTCGCGGCGACCGTTACGTATCCAGCCAGCCACGGACTCGCGCGAGACATGAAATTCGCTGAGCACCTGAGCGCGCACATCACCCCGGAATGGCGCAAACAGTACATCAATTACGAAGTAAGTCTCTCGTTTTTCGTTCGTCTTGCGGATTGCGGGAAACGCGTTTCCCGTCGCCGTCCTTTCACCGCTGCCCATTTTTTCGTCTGTGGTATGACGCGTAAAGGTTAAGTCGAGAGAAAAAAAAAACAATCGGCGACCACATGACCGGAACTCGGGTCGCGTTGGCCGCGAGCTCTCGTTTGTTTTTTAAAATGTCGACGAAACCCGCAGGAAATGAAGGCGATGCTGTACGCGGCGGTGGAGGAAGCGCCTTCCGCGGAAACCGTCGACGCGGAAGACGTCCAGAAGCACTTCGCCAACTTTGACGAGCACTTTTTCCTCTACTGCGACGGCGAGCTGAAGAAGATCAACACGTTCTACGCGGAAAAGATGGCGGAGGCGAACAGAAAGTTCGCGACGCTGAAGACCGAGCTCAAAGACACCACCGACCACGAGAGGCTCGGCAAGAGGCGCGAGCGGCGCCAGGTCGCGGTCCGCAAGCGGCAGGACCTGAAGCTCGCGTTCAGCGAGTTCTACCTCAGCCTGATCCTGCTGCAAAACTATCAGACGCTCAACAACACCGGCTTCCGCAAGATCCTCAAGAAGCACGACAAGTTGCTAAACACGGACGTGGGTATGAAGTGGCGCGAGGAGCAAGTGGAGACCTCCCACTTCACCACCAACAAGGACATCGACAATCTCATAGCGGAGACCGAGAGCCTAGTGACGAACGAGCTCGAGGGCGGCGACCGCCAGAAGGCGATGAAGAGGCTGCGCGTGCCGCCGCTCGGCGAGCAGCAGTCCCCGTGGACGACGTTCAAAGTGGGCCTGTTCTCGGGCTCGTTCATTGTGCTGTCGATCGCGGTCGTACTCACGGCGATTTTCGCGGAGCCGACGAGCGATAACCTCAAAATCGGGTTCCGGATGTACAGGGCGCCGCTGCTCGTCATCGAGTTCCTCTTCCTGCTCGGCGTGAACGTGTACGGATGGCGCTCGTCGGGCGTGAACCACGTGCTCATATTCGAGCTCGACCCCCGCAACCACCTCTCCGAGCAGCACCTCATGGAGATGGCCGCCATTCTGGGCGTCGTGTGGTCCATGAGCCTTCTCAGTTTCATGTACAGCAGCAGCCTGAGCGTGCCGCAGTACGTCAACCCGCTGGGCCTGGTTTTGATCATGTTCGCGTTCGTCGTGAACCCCTTGAAGATGTTCCGGTACGAGGCGCGGTTCTGGTTCCTCAGGCTGTGCGGCCGCATGATCTCCGCGCCCTTCTTCCACGTCGGCTTCGCCGACTTCTGGCTCGCCGACCAGCTCAACAGCCTCGTCGGCGGCCTCCTCGACGTTCAGTTCCTCACGTGCTTCTACTTCACCAACGGCAACTGGGTGCACGCCGGAGGTGACTGAAACGCGTTTTAGAACAATGATAGCCCCTTAAGGAACCGACACACATCATATACGCTCAATTTTTATTAATAATAAAAAGGGCTCAACTAACATTTCAGACTGGATCTTACTTTGCTTACTCTTCTTCAAATTATAATATGCGAGTTCTTCATTTTACGTCTTCTCAAGAATGTGAAGTGCTAGCGGCTCTTAAGCAAACAAAAAATAAGGTGATGTCGGGACCTGATTGCATTCCGGCTTTTGTTTTGAAGGGCAGTGCGAACGTCCTTGTTCTACCACTTACAGTCCTACTGAATAGGTGCCTTATATATCTGCAAGTTATGCAGACCTATTTACAAAAAAGGTGACAATTTAGATATTAGTAATTTTCCTTCCATCTCATAACTTTGCAATTTTGCTAAGGTTCTAAGGATCTAAAGTTGTTCTGCAAAATTGACAGCATTCAGGGCTGCCAAAACCTGTCATTGAATGGGGGTATTGAAAACTGGTGTGTCCATAATGAATTGTCGTGAAATCCCATCAAAAAAGTAATATTATCGGATATGATTAACAAATCAATGACATCGTACTTCAGCGTCCGGGCACTCTTGCTGATATAGGTGTCACTTTTGACCCTAAACTTTTTTTCATTCCACATATTGACTCGAGACTTTTTAAAATTTTCTCCTTTCCACAGAACGGGCGATCTGTGTTACTCGCCAAGTTTCCAGCTTGATATATTTTCTTCTGTATGTGACGTTAAAACATGTTTTTTAAGGAATGGCATATAATTATTTTTGTTTTATTTTACGTTGTATTAGCATTTTTTTCTTTTTTTTTTATTTGTCACTTATGTCCCTGAGGGGTTTATCATGTTGAACAGGGTATCTAAATAAATAAATACGAAACTGAGAAGAAAAATACCGACTATAGGCAATACGCCGCTAGCTTTACGATTTTCCAAAGTAGGTCGCCCAGTTCATTGCAATGCATTTTATCTGCACAGTATACTCTCTCCAATGAGACAGTGTAAGTTCTGTGGCAACGTGTGTTACTAAATGTCACTCCCAGATCTTTGATAGAACGGACTCTTTCGCACAACGTGAATTACCTCTCTCTCTGTCGCAGATACGTCTCAGTGCATGGAGAACAACTTCGTGGTGCGGCCGATCGTCAACTGCATCCCGGCATGGATCCGGTTCGCTCAGTGCCTGAGGCGGTACTACGACACCCGCGAGGCGTTCCCCCACCTGGTTAACGCCGGCAAGTACTCGACTACGTTCTTCGTGGTCGCGTTGGGCACCCTCAAGTCCTACTACAAACGTAGGTGTCCCCGCCCACCGCCGGTCACGCCCCCTCGCGCTCACTACCGTCTGCGTTTCAGCTCACTACGAGTCGTCGCTGGACAACCCGTATTTTGTGCTGTGGATCGTCGCTCAGGTGGTGAGCTCCACGTATACCTACATCTGGGACATCAAGATGGATTGGGGCCTTCTCGACAAGAACGCCGGCGAGAACCGCTTCCTCAGGGAGGAGATCGTTTACTCGTCAACGGTGAGGCTCGCAAAAAAAGCGTTCTATATCAATTGTGACTAATGCAATAGTATTATTCTAATAAGGGCCCGTGAAGGTGGCTCCAGAAATGCAAGAAATTGTTTTTTACAAAAAAAAGTGCCTCTCAGCTCGAAAACTAACGTAGAGATTGACGATGAAAGCCACCGATGTTGCTTTAAATGAGCAGAGAGAATTAAGAAATTTTGTGAACCGCTGTGTGGGTACATTTATCCTACTTTCATGGTGCTTTTACTTCTTTTGGAGCTGTGGGTGGTATAGATTCTGGGTTTGGGTCTGCAAATTACACAATCTGGACCACTCTGTATTTAGTCGATCGTATCCATGGTATCAATCAAAAATGGGGGGTCTGGGGGGTCGGGATGTATTTGCAAAAGGTTAAAAACCACGTTTGCATGGATCTAAAAAAAGATCATTTCTCCATTCGCAAAAAAAATAAAAATGGGGTTTCTTTTTCAATGAAAATTTACCACAACTAGCAGACTGCGATTCAGAAGTCAATTTGTTTTACACCAAAAGCCAGCTAAGACTTTTGTATTTAAGTTCTACATTTAAACCATTAAAGTTGGGCACGAACAAGCGTCTAGAAGTATTTTTAAAAATTTTTGAAATTTTTGTGAGTATTTTGGTTTTCAGAAAAAAATTATATTCGCCAAAACTGTTATTCCAATCGGAAAAATGCTTTAACCGGCAAACGCGGAAGATCCAGTACTATAACTTTTATTTCAAGCGTTTTTTTGATTATATACAGGGTTTTTCAGTTATGGAGAAAAATCTAAAAGACCCTGAAAAAACTGTCCGTTATCGTGAGCAACAATATTTGTATTTATGGTTTTCCTCTATCGCATCCTCTGTTCGAGATATCTGAAAAAAAAATTTCACCCTCAATCTAGACGCGATGACGTCATTTACTGCTACGACGACTGCAAAAAAAACTACTATTTTCTCGAAAACTACTTACTCTTTTGAAAAAAATCATATACGTAGGAAACGTGGGAGACCCAGGGCTATAACCTCTATTTCGTCCATTGTTTGAATTATATACAGGGTGTGTCCTCAAAGGGCAAGAAATCTAAAATGTCCTAAAAATTTCCGTTTTTGCGGGTAAATTATTGGCGATAAATGAATAACTTTTAGAGAAGGGTTAATTTGATTTGAACAGTATCGTAAACTTGGTCGAACAGCTTTCGTCTATCACACAGGGTGCGTGAGATATTTGAAAAAATATTATTTTAAATCACAATTACCAGTAAAGATTTTAATATTTACTAAAGGTTGCCGCAACTTTGAAGTTTGACAAGGTGTGAAAGACACTTTATACAGGGTGCCCGTACATTAACATTAGATCGATTTTGCGAAAATTCCATAGGAGCGCGATAGAAAAAGAACGCGTCCCTTTACCACATGAAATCGCGAAGTTCTTTCCTTTTAACTTGCCCCGCCCACTGACGATTTTTCGAAAGCAATCTTGTTTCTTACGTCGAATTTTTCGAAAGTATACGTGTTAGTTTCATCTCCACATGGTCCACACTCACTTCTTTGACCCTTCTTGAATGGTTATTTCTCTCATAACTTAGTTCTTCTACTACTTCGCGATCGTCGAGGACCTGGTGCTCCGGTTCACGTGGACCGCGAACGTCTACCTCACGGAGTGCAACTACGTCAGCGGCGACGTGCTGACGTCGATCTTGACGCCGCTCGAGGTGTTCCGGCGCTTCGTGTGGAACTTTTTCCGGCTCGAGAACGAGCACCTCAACAATTGCGGCAAGTTCCGCGCGGTGCGCGACATCTCCGTCGCGCCTATCGACTCCTCGGACCAGATCCAGATCCTGAGGATGATGGACGACGAGGACGGCGCGGTGAACCGCGGCCGCAAGAAGACCGGCAAGAGGAAGGAGGACAAGACGCCGCTGTTGCCGGAGGCGACCATCGTCAACATCAAGTCCATCCCCTTCTCCACCATCCAGGGCTGAGGACGCACAAGGAGGGGGGGCCGGGTGTACAGTATATTATATTTTATTATTTTTTTCTAAACTAAGCAATAAAGGGTATCGCGAGTGCGTTTTTTTTTGTTTCTTTTCAGCTGGGTCATTTGAACTACTCGCGCAAATCGTTTTTAATTTTATTTTTTTATCGTTATTATTTATTGTCAATATCAAGGCCATCCCCTTCTCCACCGTCCAGGGCTGAGGACGCGGGGCCGGGTGTACAGTATATTATATTTTATTATTTTTGTTCTAAGGTAAACGCAATAAAGGGTATCGCGAGTGCGACGATTTTTTTTTGTTTTTTTTTGCCGGATCATTTGAACTACTCGCACAAATCGTTCTTAAATATATTTTTTATCGTCAATATCAAGTCCATTCCCTTCTCCACCGTCCAGAGCTGAGGAAGCGGGGCCGGGTGTACAGTATTTTATATTTTATTTTATTTTTTTCTCAGCTAAACGCGTTAAAGGGTATCGCGAGTACGACGTTTTTTTTTGTTTTTTCTCGGGTCATTTGAACTACTCGCGCAAAATCCCTTTGAGAATGTTTCCAGTAAACCTACCATTATCAAATTCAAATTTTCATTCTTCCAGTTCATAATATAAATAATTTTTTTATTGCAGTAATCACGTTATTAACAAATACATAGTTAATTCAAATCACTTCCTTTAATTTACTGTTAAAATAATAATATTTATCGCCAATAATTGCTTTTACATAAAAATATCTAGGTCGGTCCTAAAATAACTCGCAACTACTTAACATCGGTTGTGGGTCGCACCTCGCCGGTTATACACAATAGAACTTTTTTTAAAGCACTTTTTTTCGAGATTGAGATTTTTCAGTTTATCGGGAAATTCGTTAGCTTCTTGTCCGATAGCTCGTTTGATACTCGGTGGTCTACCTGAAGAGCGTTGAAAAAAAAAAAACGTTTTTATTTTTCGTCTGTTCTCTGTAGACGCTCTTTAAAAATGCGAATAACTTCGGAACGGTTCGAGGGAGGGAGCTGAAGTTTAGCTCCTTTTAAACATCCTACGGGACACATAATCCCATAAGATATGGCCTCGATCGGACCTTGCCGTCCATATTTTTTTCGCCATTTTGCACTGTTTTTCGTACAACGTTATGAAAGCCATATAATATAATAAAGCCATTGGGTTGAAATGTGGCACAGGCATAGGGATTGGTGCCCTAAAGGAACCTTTTGAAACTGGGGGCCCTGGGGAGACGCATAAGATCTCGATCAAAAAATCATCACGGATAATATTTTTTGAAAATGTACAGGGTGCGTCGGTAATTGCAAATAAAAATGGGTTCTTCTGTTAAAGATAATTGGCTATAACTAGAACTGTGTAACTTAAATATGCAGCTATCGAATTCAAATTTCGGAGGGATGTAGAAGTCCATACCCACTCCTAAACCGAACTTGGCGCAATCAAAATTCGTGATGTTCTTTTTATTTATTTATTTATTTTTTTGCTATTTTTGATTTAAAAAATATGTTTTCCTCAAAAGCTATCTAACCGATAAGCAAAATTTATTTCATTTAATTATAATTGTCGTATTTACGATATTTGAAAGAATCCAGATAAAAATCACCATTTTCGCGCCAAATCTAGACGCGATGACGCCATTTACTATTACGGCGTGCTGTATAGTTTAGAAAACAAGTATTTTATCAAAAACCATTTACCCTATTGAAAATATTTATATACCGAGAAACGAGGGCTATGAGTTTTGCCACAAAAACAAACTTGTCTGTGTTGAATATCAGTTTATTTTGATAGAGTCAGGGGTTGATGACATGACTGTTGAAAGTTCATGCTTTCATTGGTACTGCAACACCATCCGTATATGCTAACAAGATGTCTTGCAAAATCAACTAATCATGTATATACGAAATGAACAATATTGGTCCAAGTATTGAGCCCTGAGGCACTCCAACATTTGTTTTAACTTGCCGTCTTTTAATACCATTTACCTTTACAAATTGGCGTCTAACTTGCTATCAAGGTCAAACTTCCACCCCTTATTCTCACATTCTGCAGTTTGGACAAGTGCGGAAAACAAAATTACAACAAATATCACGGTGGTGCTAAACAGGATATTTATAATGTCTTAATTTGTAAAAAATGGAATATTCTATATTAAAACGTATAGTTCCAATGTACACAGGAATGAGTATTGACGTTTGAAATAATGTAGCATTTATTTATTTATTTTTAAATTTACGTTCTGTCCTTTATCATAGAAAGTACAATTAAGACGCAGTTTCTGAAAAATAAGTCGGGATCTCCGGAAAATGGGACGAAATTTCCAAAAAATAAGTCAGAACCGCCGGAAAACGAGTCAGGATTGCTATAAAACAGGTCAATAAGTCAGAATTTGTGATACAATTCCAAACCTCGTCGTCATCCCCTACTCCCTTTCCTTTGTATTTTTTTAAACAAATATTAAGAACCCTGGTCGGGCGTCTGGTGATAAAAAATTTGACGTTTTTTACTCTACTTTCCTGTGGTACTTTAACAAACATTTTCCTTTAAAAACCCGTTCTCAATGTCCCAATAAAGAGTCGTGGCTTTCCGCGTCAGTAACACATCTTAAAAAACTGTTTGCGCAAAAAAGGCTGTATTTCCGTCGAAAAATATAAATATGAGAAAAGTAAACATAAAAAATTTAACAAAAAAAGGCTAATATGTGCGAAAAATTTTAGAACCAGATAATCAGAATAAAACTGCTTGGGCTATTGTGTGAGATAAGTGGAAGGAATAAACGGCCAAAGAATTTTTAGATTAAGAATAATATTAATATTCCTAATAAAATAGTTGACAAAGTTAAGGTCATTTAACTTGCAAAAACCCTTAAAATTTGGCGTGCGGTCCCCATCTTTAAAAAGGGCGTCGGGCATTCTGCAGAAAATTATCGTCCACTAGCAATCACATCATGCTCTCCTAAAATATTTGAATACGTCATGCTTGACCGATTATGTAAGTTAAAACAAAATTTTGTCTGAAAGTCAGCACGATTTCATAAGAGATAGATCAACCCAAAGAGATATTTGGGATATTTTGTGATCTTAGCAACCACGAAATTCTTTTGAAGAGGATGGAACAATACGGAATTCGTGGAATAGCTCTGAATCTGTAGATAGAGGCGTACCGCAAGGTACAGTGCTTGGCCCTGTTTCATTTATCCGTTTTATCAATGAACTATCTGCTCACCTACCTAGTTTGGGTCTATCAGAGTTCACTGACGACTATTCAAGTTTAGTCTCCTCACACTGCTATGTCTCTCTTTATGACAGAATTAATGCATTACTTGTACTGCTATATAGCTGGTTTAACACCAACGAACTCTTTTTGAATGTCCAAAAACAAATGCGCACAAAACCAAAAAAGCACTCTAAATTTTTAGGACTAGAGCTCGACGAAACCCTATCGTGGGAAACTCAATGCCAGTTACTTTCTTCAAAGCTGCACAGTTATTGTTTTCTAATAAAAAAAAAAAAAAAAAGTTTTGACTGGATAAATTTGTACTACGCTCACGACTATTCGAGATTACTCTATGGTATTCCCTTTTGGGGAAATTCAAGTCACGCGGCATCTGTTTTCAAGTGCCAAAAAAATGTCCTAAGGTGTATTGCTGGAGTGTCGCCGGATAGTGACTTTAAAATACTCCCTTTGGCGTGTATATACATATTAGAAGTTTGTTTTTGGGTTTATAAACATAAAAATACCTTACAAAAAAACTTAGATTTCGACGACTATAATACACGTAACAAAGACTGTTTCTAAATAAAAAAAAAATAGACCAGAATTTTGAAAAAAATATTTTACGAACACCGGTATTAGAGTCTACAATAGACTGTTCAAACTAAAGTTTTTCCTCCTAGAAAACCGTATTTATAATTCAAACGAACATTTTAGTTATTAATGTTTGTCATCACTGTATTGTTGTGCTCTGTCATATATTTTTTATTATATAAATTTTTAATGTAATTTTCCGCCTCATTTGCATGATCTGTTTGACGAAATCCATAATAATCCATAATAATTGTATTCTAAATATGCGGGATAATAAAGATATTATTATTATTAATATATTACCAATAAACGCGAGCTAGGTGAAAACATTTTATTAATATCACAGGGGTTTGTTCGAGGTCCTAAAGGTCGATGCCTTTGCCGAGACCCGCCCAGTGGTCGGGCACCTCGAGGAAGTAGTTGTGCATGGCGTCGACGAAGCGCTTCTGGTACTCCTCCGGAGACACGATCGTCGGCAGCTTGCCCTGCCCGCCGATCTTTTTGAATATGTGCTCGATCCTCTTGTCCCACGTGAAGGTCCGGATATAATCTGCAACGTTCCCGAATTGGCGGCCGTTTTACACGCCCCGCCCCCTGTATACCTATGATTCCGACGACGAGGTTCCTGTCGACGGCGTCCAGCCCGACGACCAGCGAGTAGTCCATCACCGAGTGGGCTGACAAAAAGTCCGTGTCGTTTTGTATGGCGGCCATCAGCACCTCCTTCGAGTGGGGCAGCACGTAGAGCGGCGACTCGCACGTCACTGAAAACCCGCGGAAATTAACCTGGGGCGTGGGGGACGCATATTCAGTAACAGTGGACGCGCCATGTTTTCGAATAGGTCTGGAACGTCTGTTGAAGTTAACTTTCAAGTAAATGAGAAAAAGTTTTTATTTATTTTAGTTTAACAAATGATGACTTTGTTTAAAAATACATAACCTAACGTATAACCAATATTATGTTTTATTCACTTGTAAATGGTTAAAAAATAACAAACCAACGTAAGAAACTTATTTTCACCTATGTCTGTATTCATATTGACACGTTCTTGTAGAAAATGGGGTGCTTTAGCCTTTTTTTAGCCAGCTTTTCACTTTTCTACCAGCTGCACACTTCCTCTAAGTCATCGAGTTGCTTTAAAGCACACGCGGAAACACTTGTCATTTTGTAAAAATGGCTGCGTTCAAACTTCGGCGTCCATCTTTTTTTTTTTCGATTTTCGACTGGTTTTTGGACGTTGCTATGAAACGCGATAAGTGTCCGAAATCTGAAGCTAAGGACTTCAAATTTGGCAGGCGAAAAGCGTTTGGTCTCCTAAAGGATCCTATTGGAATTGGGAGGGTTGGGGGGTCGGGAAGTATTTAAAAAAAAATAAAAATCATGTTTGCAAGGGTCTAACAAAAAAATCATCTCACGTGAGCCGCATTTTCAAAAAAACTGAAAAATGGCTACCCCTAATAGTTAAAATTTGCAATAACTACAATACAGTGTTACAGTGGGAGGTGATAAACAATGTTTATTTGTCTATCATTAAACGTGGTGCCAGCAAGCAAGCATCTTTAGAAGAAACGGCCGCATTAACGAAAATTCCAACATCAACTGTATGGAAAATTGTGAATAATCCCATTTCAGGCAAAAAAGAAGCGATGCTGACATTATATGACATTAAAGACTCTGCACTAGAATGGATAAAGAACTTTTTATCTGATAGATCTCACCAGACTAAAATTAATAATAATGTTTCTAGTCATAGGGATAGCAGATATGGGGTACCGCAGGGAAGCGTGTTGGGCCCGCTTTTATTTATTATTTATATAAATGATATGCATCAGGTTTTAAAAAACTCCTTTGCTAACTTATTTGCTGATGACACGCTTATTTCAGTCTCTGGAAACGATTGCAAAGAAATGGCTATCAAACTGAACACCGAAATGCAGTATTTCTACGAATGGCTGTGTCAAAATAAACTGAAATTAAATAGCTCCAAAACCAAGTGCTTCTAAGGTTAACTGTCAAAAATTTTATAAGTCGGGGTATTCTGTGGATATACGGGGTAATAAAATTGAGTTTGTTTCCGAAATTAAATATTTGGGGGTAATCTTGGATCCACAATTATGCTTTAGTAATCATGTTGAATATCTATGCAAAAAAAATTGGTAAGAAAATAGGGTTTTTTAATCGTGTGTCGCGGTTTTTGTCGCAGTGGACTAGATATTAGTGTATAGGAGTATAATTTTGCCTCATTTTTCATATATTTGCTCATTGCTTATATCTTGTACAAAAGAAGATTTAAATAAGTTACAGTTACAACAAAATAAGGTTATGAGAATCATCCTGAACTGTGATAGATGTACTCCTATAAAGAGTATGTTAGACCAGCTAAATTGGCTAAATGTCGGGCAGTTCATTAGAAGAGCAAGTTTAATGTTGCTTAATGGAATTGCGCACGATCACCAACCAGGCTATTTTAAATTATGGTTGGAAAAAAGGTCAAACTGCTAAATAAATATTCTTACTTACTTATTTACTTATATTTTCTCGAGTGTAGATGAAAGTGATCAAGATATAATACGGCGTAAAATTTACCAGTTATAGGACAAAAGGCGAGTTTCAATGGAATCTTTTAGAATTCGGAAATGGCGACTGGAATATCTAGAAAAAATTAGGATTTACACTTTAGTTGGATGAAACCTGGTTGGACACTTATGATACCCCGGAAAAGGGTTGGGTTGATTCAACTGACAAGTCTAAAACAAACGCGCCATCAAAGACGTACATAAATAAATAAATAAATCTTGTTTACTATCTTTCCTAACAAAACCCCAAATGATTAAATTCTAAGCAAAACGGACCTGTTCGGCCATATTTCATTCATACGGCTTGCCCGGGCCTTTCCTTAATTCGTATCAGTTAGTCACTTTCTTATATCTATGAACAGACTATACCTTTGTCATAAAAATCTAAAATGTTATTATTATAGGCTTTTACTTGGACGAGGCACTGTGGATTGTACGTCAAATACAAGGAAATGCGGATGGAAGAAAGTTACGGCGGAAATACTATGTTTTGGGAATAATTATTAACATTTGAACAGTTTTACACGCGAAAAGAAAAGAATCAGTACAAATATTTTCTGCTACACCAATACAACAACAAACGATTTGGTGGAGCCAGGTCCACGATGCTGTAGATTTTAAAGCATTTGTCATGAGAGGAATGCGTTACGCCCAAGGCTCACTCGCAACTGGCTAGCACAACACCATGTTGCTAAAAAATGAATTTTCACTTATCTATAATTTGCAGTTCTATGACGAAACTTAAGAAATGTTAAATGAGCGATACGCCCCAAAAAGTACTAACCGCGACTCAGGTTTCTACCTGTCGCCAATATGGGAATCAGTCATCCGAGACGACGTTTAGCTCCGCCCCATCAAACAATATATAAGCAGTTACAGTCAAGCTTCACTCACTCTTCAGGAGGTTCTCATCGAGGAAGACGACCTCGCCGTCCGGCAGTTTGTCCGGCACGACGAGCCTGTTGCGCATCGAGCCCTTGAGGTCGAACTTTTGGCTCACGTCGCGGTCGTAGAACAGGTTCTCCATGACGAGGAGGTCCGTCTTCGAGGTCGCGTTCGCTGCGTTCCGCAGCGACACCTGGTAGACGCCGACGATTTTCGCGAGCAGCGACGGCTGCCCGCTCGTCGCGCACTTCTCCACGTACGCGAAGTAATGGGCGGCGAACTCGAGGAACAGCTGCACCTCCGTCTTGGAGAGGTCTTTGAGGACGAATCGGTCGTCCCACGTCTTGGCGAAAGTCGAACCGGACTTGCCGCCCCTCACGTTCCAGCGCATCGACCTGGATAGCGAGCGCACGTAGCCGTCTTCGCCCGAAGGTACCAGCGCCGACCGCAGGGCGGCGAACTTGTCCGCCAGATAAGCGGTGCAGGAAAACTTGGACGCGCCATCTTGGAAGTGGACCTCGACGTGCGCGTTGCGGGATTTTCGGGCGTCGTCGGGCGTCGCCGGCTCCGCCTCGCTGCGCAAACGAGTAGTTCAAATAAAAAGCCACCGTCAAACCATAATCCTAAACTTTTACATCCGTCTAAAGAAGAGGACATAATTTATTTATTTATTTAACCGACCGTCCATTATAAAATAGGATTCGGGTTAGCCAAGGGGCCGACCAAATGAGTAGTTCAAAAGTACCGACGCGATCTCCCCACCGTTCGACTCACCCGTCGCTGCCGCCCTCCTTGCCGCGCAGGAATCCCAGCAGCCCGGACGCCTTCTCCTCGTCCGTCTTGTCCGCGAGGTTCTTCCTCTTGGTCGCGGGGCTCGGGCTTTTCGACGTCAACTCCTCGAGCGCCTTCTTGTAGTCGGGCGTGGCGAGCGCGTGCGCGACGATCGAGCTCAGCTCCGCCTCGAAGACGGCGCCCGCGGCGTCCCAGTAGTGCTCCTGCGGCCCGAAGGGCGCGGCAATGGGCCCCGCGTTGGCCGCGGGCGCCAGCAGCTTCTCCAAAATGTTCTTCGCGGCGACGTCCGCGTCCCCGTCGCCCTCGTCCGGGCTGGCGACGGGCGAGCCCTGCTCCTTGTCCCGTTTCCTGCCCTCCTGCAGCGTCACGTTCCACGCGTCGACCGTCTCGAGCAGCGAGAGCTTCGCCGCAGCGAGGGCGCGCGCCGTCTCGCCGCAGGCGGCCCACGCGGCCTCCGGCTCCGCCTCCTCGGCCCCGAGCAGCGCCACGACGTCTTCGACGCGCCGCTTGAACTGCATCTGCTCCTTGACGACGGCCTGCACCAGGTGCCCGTCGGCTTCTTCGACGCACACCGACGACAGACGCTCGTGGACGGCGGCGAACCTGTCGTGGGCCTTCCGGGCGAGGGCGCGCGCCTCCTCCGCGAGGGACTCGCGCGCGCGCGTCACCGGACCTCGCGCCAACCCGATCCGGAGGCGGGGCAAGCGAATCTCCCACGTGGCCACGCTCGTGTACCTGCGAGCGCGACGAAATCGTAACGGGAGCGGCGGGAGGTGGTCGCGGCACTCACTTGAACGACGCGACGTACTTGCGGTACCCGAAGTACTGGTAGTGGTCGTGGTGGAGACTGTGGCGGCACGGGCTCGGTCCCCGACGGCCGAACGCGTCCCCGTGGAACTTGAGCTCGAGGTATTTCGCGAACGGGTACGACCACGAGTCCGCGGACAGCGGCGCCACGGGCGACACGCTCTGGCACCGCGTGCACCACGTCCACGTGACGATCGCCTCGTCCGAGAACTCGTGGTCGAAGTCGTCGAGCGAGACGGTGACGCAGCCTGCGCCGTGCACGAACCTGCGCACGTGTTTCACCATGGGGGAGTCGCACGTCTTCGACGGGCACGCGTAGCTCGGCCGGAAACAGTACCGCTCGAGGAAGCAGCCCAGCGGGATGTCGTTGCGCCCGTAAAAGTCCATGTAGACCACCCTGTCGACGGAAGTTCGGGTGGCTACGGCGACGGGGTTTTGCGCCGCGGCTTACCACGGGTTGACGCAGAAGGAGGGCGCGTTCGCCGACTCGTGGCTGAAGCTGCAGAAGAGCACCGCGAGCCTCTGGTGGTTGGCCGGGTCGAGGCAATCGGCGGCGGCGGCGGCGGCGGCCGGTCGCTCGGACGGCTCCTTCGGCGTCGGGACGCTCAGCGTTTCCTTCTTGGGGTAGCGGCCGCCGCACGCGCGGAAGTGCGCCAGCTCGTTCTGCACGTCGCGCAGCTCGACGGCGATGATCTTCAGCGCGAGGAACGGATGGAGCGCGACCGTTTCCTTCACGTCCGACGTCACGACGTTCGCCTCGTCCCGACGCTGCTGCTTCCCGGACGCGGGGTCGAACTGCGAGCTGTGGTACATATCCTTGGGGAAGAAGCGGCGCAGCTCGCACTTTTTGCCCGCGTCCGTCTCCAGATACGGCACGGAGAAGACGACGTACGGTGACACGCACAAGATGGCGTCGCCGAGATGCTTGCGGAACGCGTTGGCCAGCGGCAGCTCCGCCACCGCCATCACCTGGTCGTTGACGGAGGCGGGGCCGTCGCAGTGCAGCGGGTCCGTGAAGTCGTCGATCGCCTCGACCACCGCCCCCCTTTTGGATTCGGTTTGCGGCGGTTGCGGCGAAGGGTGTTTGGCGGGCGACGGCGGCGGCGGCGGCGACGACGGCGAGTCCAGGAACTCGCACTTGGGGTCTGGCGGCATCGCGAACTCGTCCATCAGGAACGACTTTTCCAGGCGCCAATTGTAGGCGGCGAGGAGAGCGAGCGACGCGACCCGCTTCAGACGGGCCAGCTCGCGCTCCGCCCCGCCTCTCAGGAGCACCGTGCCGCCGAGCCACGGACGCGGCAGCCCCTCGAAGAACATGAGCCGCTTGCCGTCCAAGTTTCGCGAGTAGAAACGTGCGCAGGTGCCCAGACGGGGCCGCCCGATGTGGGAGTCGACGGCGGCGACGACGTCCGCCCCCGTGCACCGGGCCAGCCGGTCCATCACCGTCCGCTTCACGTTGTACACGAGGACGATCTTGCTCTCGCGCAGCATGTCCTGCGCGAGCCTCGACACGTTCCGGTGCACGACGACGACGTCGGGACGGAACGCCACTATCCGCGCGCACACGTGCCGCAGGTACTCGTTTTCCTGCATGAGAAGGGGCTCGAGGGACATCAGACGACCTTCGGTCCGCTGATAGACGACCGCGCACTGCAGCAGCAGCACCTTGGGGTCGACGACGTCGACGTCCATGTCGCGGTGCGCGACGTGCTTGCTGCAGACGACGCCCGGCACGAGGCGGCTGTCGCCCCGCCTCCCGCCGGCCACTTTCTTGAACTGCACGTAGTGCCGCACGTCCAGGTCGATCGCGTCGTGGTGTTTGTCTGCAAAGAGACGCGCGGTACATTTGAACTACTCGGCGGGCGGAGCGTACCGGGCCTCACGACGGCGACGGCCTCGCGTATCAGCGGCGACACCGCGTCGATCCACGAATGCGACAGCCCCTCGCTGGACAGCAACTGCTTCCAGAGGCTCTGCTCGTGGCGCTCGTAGGTCTCGGTCAGACGCTCGTAGGCCTCCCGTTCGCCGTTCTCGTCGCGCAGCGACGTCGCGTCGAACCAGCCCGACTCGGGCGCCGCCCCCAGCTGCTCCGTCGGTCTGACGACCACCGCCGACTCGTGGATGCGAGGTTCCGGTGAGCGACGACGATCCTCGTCCGCCGGCTTAGACAAGTAGACCGTGCTCGCCTCCACGTCCAGGTCCAGGGTGTACGAGTCGGAGGAGCGCAGACCCGGGGAAGCACCTTCGTGGGGTATCTGCTTGACCCAGCTCGGCTCGAAGGGGCGTTGCGTGCCGGCGCCCTTCCTGTATCGGGCGTCGCCGTCGACGAAGGGCGAGGGTTCCGCGAGGCACTCGACGTAACCGCCGTCGAGCAGCGCTTGGCAGATGGCGACCGCTTGGACCCTCGTCGTCGCCTTGTGGCGGGCGATGAGCCAGTCGACGAGCTCCGAGCCGACGAAGTGGTCGGCGAGCGTGCGCCCGAATTGCGCGCCGCACACCTCGTCGTAGAGACCGCACAGCGACGCGGAACTGCGCAGCGCGCGCAGCTTCTCCTCGGGCGACAGGTACGCGCTGAAACCGCCATTTAAAAATAACGGCAAACGCATGGACTGCGAAAAATCAAGTGTAGCATGACCAAAAATGTAGTATACTTATTACTTTGACGTTTTAAGTATGTCGCGGTACCTTAAGCGTAGACCTTCGCGGGACCGTCGTAAAAGTATTAACTAAGTTTTACCTGAGATGGAGCGTAACAAATACATGTTTAAACTTGAAATTTTTATTTGAAACATAAACGGACCGTTTTAAATTTGATGCCGGGGGACACTGTCGAATAAGTAATAAGTTGCAATGGAGTAAATGGTTTTCTGAAACCATGGAGTGCGTGGTAATTGTAAATGACGTCATCGCGTCTAGATTGATGGCGAGAAATGGCGATTTTCATTTGGATTTTTTCAAATATCTCGAACAGCGCATGTGATATACAAAAACCGTAAATACAAAAACAGTAGCCGTTGATACGGCCTATAACACTGTTTCAACGGATTAGGTCCAAAAAACAGTCGAAAATCGCGAAATAAAGATGGATACCGGCGTCGGATCAGGGCCATTTCTTATAAGCCTATGTGCCTCGTGGAGGATTAAAAAGGACACAAATTTCAATTTTGTAGCTTCAACGGTTCGAAAATTATTCAGGAAAAACCAAAAGATGAAAACGGAGAAAAAAAACATGTTTTTTTCGACGGTGATCATTTCTGTACCAACGGCGATCCCGTAAGGCTTACCGTTACATGCAAAATTTTTATACGAGCGCAGATACTTTCGAAAATCGATGAAATGAAAGTGACATAGAACGCAATACTTTGCACAATTTTTTTTATGTACATATTGTTAGTGTAGATAGATAAATTCCTAGGACGGTCCTGGACTGATTACGGGTAAGCGGCTGCTCGTCAGGATGTTCTATAAGGGGCGGCGGTTTTGGAGTAATAAACATTAGGCAAAGTTAATCGCGGAGTCGGTTGTAAAAGCACTATATTTCTGGTCCACCTATAACCTTCGGCCAATAACACACATGTGAAAATAGTATATTATACAAATACGGTAAACGGCATTTGAATCGCTAGTTTTTTGACACGAGCGGAGCGAGTTTTTAATAAACGAGTGAGTTAAAAAGTTTACCGAACGTGTTGCATACTCTTTTTCTACAATTAGTTGTTGCAGCAGTGCGGTAAAATCCCGGAAATGTCCTTAAGTGCCCCCGATTCGTGGGAAACGAAACTGATGTGGTAGTGACTGCAAAATACCTAAATTGCGCACCGATCTAGCGTGCGCAGTCACTTTACCACGTCAGTTTCGGACATGAATTGTTGAGTTTCCACAATTCTAATGATCAAACGTTGAAAAAGTTTTTGTCACTTTGTAAAGTATAAAACATGTTCGACAGCCCATTTAAGTTGCTATCAAATTAACGTCCGTGTCTTGTTACACTTTTTAACGGACTGTTCGGACTTCAAACGGCGAGCTGCACACTAGCGCCCTCTATCTGCCTTACCACTAAACATGTTTTCATTACTCTACAGACCTGCTAATGTCTCAGACGTATGATGTCGTTTAAGTAATTTAAGTGTCACTTAAGCGCTTGCTTTTTTCTTTTCGGAGCGAGGAAAACCGAAGGTAAATTAAAGTAAATAAAGTGAGTAAATTAAATTACATAAAACGTCTGTTGCGGTCGAGTAAACATTTCGAATGTTTTTGTGTTGATTTGCGAAAATGTGGCCAAAAACTAACGATCGTAGAAAAAATATAGTATGCAACACGTTCGGTAAACTTTTTAAGTCACTCGTTTATTAAACACTCGCTCCGCTCGTGTCAAATAAACTCGCCAGTCGAATGCCTCTTTACCGCACTTCTTGCATAATATACTATTACAGACGGGAGTAGAAAAAACGCCATTTTCAGCGCAAACGTGGGTAGGAACCCCAGGAACTACTTTATATTAGTCGTGGGTTCCTACAGAAGACAAAATTTATTGGACATGCCATTTTTGGGTTCCACCAACCTTCCTGGGGAAAACTGCTCGTCTCGATATCCTACCGAGATTTTCCTGCGCAAGGCGTCGTTAGTTTCCGAGGGTTTGTTTGGGGACGAGACCGGGCCCGACGGGTCCCCGAACTTGGCCCGCAGGTCCTTCTGCAAGTGCCCCAGATCGGCGGAGAGGTCTGCCCCGAAGTTGGACGACTGCATGTAAGACAGCACGATCTTGCAGCAGTACGTGCAGACCCGTAGGTCGCCCGTGCAGCCGAATATTTTGCCCGGGATGTGCTGGTTGCAGCACTGCGAGCAGAATATCTGGCCGCACACCCGGCAATGGTGACGCCTACGGTACACTTTGAACTTTTCCGAGCACTCGTAACACTCCTTGCTGACCGAGTCGGGCATCCAGTACTTTTTGAGCTCCGTGTCCGCGTAGTCCTGCAAATTCTGCTGAGAGATTTAAGCGAAACGTGTCGAAACGCGGCAAACCGACGTTACTCTTGAGCGCCAGCAGGTTGCTGATCCTCTTGAGCACGTTCGGTAGGCTGCGGCCTTCGCTCAGGTCCACGTCGTAGATGCTCGGCTCGCGGGCCGTCTCGGACTCTTCGGTCGCGTCCTCCCCCGAGGCTCCGTCTTCGGGCTTGCCGCCCATTTTGAAGAAACTGGAGATAAATTGGCCCACGCTCTGCGACCTGTCCTCTTGCTGGAGCGGCGCGAACTCCGCGAGCTTCGTCGGCGATTCCAGATTTTTGTTCATCGCGGCATCGTTCTGTGCCAATCAGGTGACGAGAGTAAACAAATATTATCGACCAACGTCGAAAAGTAGGGTTAGGTGAAACGTCACAGTCACCTGTTCCGTGGGCGCCATATGTTTCGGTAATTTTACCCTGAAATGTTTATTCGGGAAGGGAACTAATGTATTTTTTAAAACAATCAAATACCAAAAACCATTCGAGTGAAATACCGAAGCGGCGTAATAATTTGTTGCCTGTAAAACCGGCAACGCAGCGTGAAAGTACCCTTCAGATGGCGTCGTAGTCGAACGGTCACGTCAGTTCCCATAATAATTTTTCTGTGGTCAGTTTTCTCGAGCGTGTCGGGAGGTGACGTCGCGTCCAATTCCGCTTTGTTTTTTTTCCACTTCCACCACCCGAGTGTTTATTTTTATCGTGTTTGCTTCTTCGACGAAGAAGCGAGCGCGTCCGCCTTTCTAATGCGCGAGTCTCGCGCTAGTTTACCGACGACGAAATAATGACCGATTTATTGGTGCCCCGGGGGGACACTTTTCCGCGGGCGTTCCTGGACGCGTACCGGGCCAACAGGACCCCGGACCCATACAACGAGCTGAGCTCGAGCAAAAGCGACGAGCTCGTTCTCCAAAACCCGACCGATATCCCGCTCGGCGAGGAGATCCACCGGGGGCGTTCCGAGACGCTGCTCGATTCGGGGTGCATGTCGCCGACGACCGACGACTTTCTCGACGCGTCGCCGGCCACGGGCCACCGTAAACGGACGTCCGTGTACGATCGGGTCGATCCCGAGGACAGTATCCGGGACATGGTCAGCGAGAATGACTTCTACAGGTTCGTGCTGTTCAAGAAGCACTACGACAAGTACCTGCACCTGTCGAAGAAGTACGAGGAGGCGCGCGACATCGCCTATTACCTCGAGGAGAAGTACCACGAGGTCAAGGTGAGTGTCGGGGTGGCTCGTTCCCATTTTCGTACCCCACGATTCGCGTTCCAGACGGAACGGGACGACCTGATTCAGCAGCGGCGCGAGTACGCGAGCCGCCTGGAGTCGAACGAGTCGCTGCTGCGCGAAAAAGAGGACGAGGTGTTCGTCCACCTCGAACGGGTCGTCTACCTAGAGGAACAATGCGACAAGGTACGCGATTTGAATATTTTCTAGGCCGCGTGTGGCCGAAATCGGCCCCGTTTTCGGGCGGGCGACGCGGCCCGCATAAAAATTAAACGTCGTTTTCGCAGCTGAGGGCGGAGAAGGAGCGGTTACTGGAGCAGAAGGCGCTCATCGAGAAGGAGCGGGACGCGACCTTAAAGTTGCTGCGCGAGCAGGCCAGGGAGTCTGAGTACACGCGACGGAAGCTGGAGAGGGCGCGCCAGGAGGTGGTGCACCACCTGACGAAGATCAAGAGCGAGAAGGAAAGCTTGGAGCGCGAGGTGAGTGATTTAATATTCTCGGCCGCGACTCATGAATATTTACGACACGGTTTACTCACGCATTAATGTGGCGTTGCGTCAGAGATATTTTTTATTCTTTTACCTAGTTTTTTTTTTTTGGAAAATGTGGATTTTATTTAAATGAGAATTGCAAATTACAGCCAACGGGACCCGCGTATTGCGCAACTAACTAACTCATATTTTAAAAGTTAATTTCACAGGGACAGTCAATTCGACAACTAATTTAATCTAAAGGCTAGTAAATACACAATAATGGAAATAATAAGTACCCATACGGTGTCAACAAAGTCCAGATAGAGAAAACAAACTCAGAAGATAAGCTTATGGTAGTTCAAAGGTACAGCGGTACCTGTTGTGAAACGACTAGGTTTTCGATGACTAGCACAGTCCAACGTACTTATCTAATTGCTCTCTAAGTACTTAAACAACTAGCTACAGGTATAGCAAATTATAAGCAGTGAAGTTTACTAGATATGACTTCAAAAAATGTATTTTGTAACTCGGTCGCCCATCTCTCGCATCCTCTCTTCAAAGTTTTTTTTTTTTCTCCAATCTTTGATTTTCCACGCGCCTGACTAGCCCGTTCTTCCTGTGTCGTGTCTCCTTTTTCTTTCACGTCAGCATTTTCATTCCATACAAGCGGATTTACTTTGGAAACGGTCCGCATGGCTTGATTTAACTGATGAGATGTTTCTTTTCCGCTGGATCTCCCACTTGGAATCTTTACACCTAAATATTTATTCTTCACAGCCATAAATTCAACCGGGGGCTTGACAAAACTGCATAGGCAAGCTATGCTAGCACATTTGTTCTGCCAGTTCTTTGTGTAGTGCAATATATAAGATTAGTATAACCTTGCTTTTTGCTACGTCTCAAAGATTACATTTCTTTCAGAACGACCAACTGAAAGAACAGCTGGAGGCGGAGCGCAAGGAGGCGGGGCGGCGTCCCTTGCGAAGGCGGAGGACCGACGCTTCGGACTATTTGTCAGGACAGGTGAGTAGGTTTTTTTTTTTATTTTTTTAACTGTATACAGAAAGGGGGACGAATCCAAATTATACAGGGTGTGTCTGCTGCGTTTTTCTACTTAATATGACATTTGAACATATCTCTTTTCTTCCCGTTTGGGGAAATATTTTAGGATAGATTTTAGAACCACCTTGAATACTAACTTACTAATACTTTCTTACTTGTGTTTCAAGTTTCACATGCCTCGAAATAGTTGAAAAATCTTAAGAACATATTAAACGGTTTCCATTGTTTTCAACACAAATATTGGTCTGTTTTGGTTGGGTTTTCGTAATTCTTGGTGTGGGTCAAGACTCCATGTTAATGGTTAGTTGGTGTCTGGATACCTTTAACTCCAATTTATCGTAATTTTTTTAAAGAAAATAGTTATAACATAATTGTAAAGGGAAATTGAACGCAGCAAATGTACAGCAACGTGAGACTTCAGCCCAAAGTCAAGGTCGGACCGTCAAATATCGCGTAAGCGTTGCGTAACGTCGCCATTAATCAGCGTCTGTTATGAATAATTTTTGGTTGCGTAAGGCGGCAGGTGCGGCGCTAAAAATAAAAATGTCGGCGGCGCCCGATCGATTTTCACGCGGGGGCGGTTGTTACAGGTGGCGGCGCAGCTCAGGACGGATCACCACCGCAGCTCGTCGCTGACGTCGCAGTTCCAGAAGGCGGTCGAGCACCTGGTGACGTGCAAGCGGAAGAAGTGCTCCGTGTGCAAGTACACGCGCGCCACCTACGGGAAGTTGGCGCCCAATCAGCACCGATACGAGTAAGTTTGGACGAGTAGTTCAAATGTACCGCACCGAGTTTCCTGTTACTGATATATTTGTGAGGTCCTTTGGCGTATTTTCTCCAATGCCGAGCTCTTCAACATCCTACGATGGCATTATCCATTCAAACGCTGCGATCATATTGATCATTTGATATGGTGGTTGTTCCGGACATCGACCAATGCTTCTTTTATCATCCCTCCCTTGATTTCTGGCTCGGGGCCACCCTTGTCGTCCACCATTAACAAACGTTCGGTCCTATTGTGGCCCTCATTCTGGACTAGCAGTTTCAATCGTTTCCTGTTCATTCTGCCCCAGAATGTGGGTGCTTATTGAAAAGGAAAAAAATGTGATTATCGCAAATGTGTTTGATGACGTTTTAAGATACAATCGCAATCTTATAAGAAACATTTTGCGGTATATTTTAAATGATCGACAATTCCGGCGCAGGTTCTAAACGAGGTTTTTCGCGTGGTGGTTATTATGGCAAAACTGTAATGGTCTTGCGACTGCATTTGTATCTTTAGATTACTCTAAAGCCTTTGAGTTACTACGGCTTCGATGATGTTTCGACTCGATTTTTTGAAAACTACTTAGCTAACAGATATCAGAGTTACCCTTGACAACGTAAGTTCTGAATTTCTCTCTGTCTGATCAGGTGTACCGCAAGGTTCCGTCCTTGGACCTATATTATTCGTAATTTATATTTCTGATACATCCATCGAATATTTGACTTCAGCTTAATGCTAAAAAATGCAGTTCTTTTCTCCTAAACCTAACATTGAACGAGTATCCCAAATCCCAATATTAATTAACGGCGAACGTTTGCAAAATTGTGAATTGTCAACCTTGGTGTTATATTTGATTGTGGACTTAGATCCGTGGAATATGTATCTTTGTCGGTAAAAAAGTCTTAGAACGATTTACGGAAACTTTTAGCTCAATCACTTGTCCTTTCGATTATGAACTATGGTTTAGTCCTCTGTTACCCATTTCTTCTCAATTAAATTTTTTAAAAAATATTTCAGGTTTAAAGTGCTAACTTCTCAAATAATTCGATTTCCATTGTTTTTTTTGTCAAGTGGAGTAGCTTTTGCTGGACTTCGCCTCTTCTCTACTGTATATTTGTATATAACAATATAGAACAATAAAGGCAATTTATTATTATTACTGACAACACCGCCTAGACTTTAAGCTTTAGTAACGGGGCGCTTATTCGGCCCTAGGCAATGTTGAACTTTATCGATTGATAAGAAGGGACACGGTAAAAAGGACGGCAGAATAAGAGGTGCGAAAATTCTCCGTTTATCTAGATCCAAGCTGCGAACGTTTTATTTATTTACAACAGCGAAAAAATCCTTGTTAAAAAATATATATAATATATATGTTAAAAAGTATATAGTGTATATTCAATGATATCACAAAAAAGAAATAGAAATTCTTTGTTTTTTTTCTTTTAATTTTCGACAAAAGAAAGACTTATAAAGCCTGAGATCATCTATTAAAAAAGGCCTTCTTCATACAAAACACCAAAGTCTTAACCTGTTTAACTACTTTTGAAATATGTGTCTCCCATTTCAAGTTGGAAGTTATCACAATTCCCAGATCTTTACGTTCTTCTACATGTTGTGAGCTCTTTTTATTAAGGATACAAAGATACTCAGTTTTCTGTTTGTTCCAATACATAAAACATTGCATTTTTCAAAGTTCTATCATTGTCAGGTCTCTCTGAAGGTAGTTTCCAGTAGGATTCGCGTATAGTTTTGTGTCATCTTCATTTATGTCGTTCACATAAATTAGAAAAAGAAACCGCCCAAGAACAGATCCCTACGAAACAACACACCTTATGCCTATTTGACAAACTGCCATTTACTCGTATTCGATAGTAACGATTTTGCGGAACTTTCTCAAAAGCCGCCTTTCGAAATCTAAATAAATTACATCAACTTGTTGATTTTAATCGTAGCTTCTCGTCCAGTCATCTAAGCATTTCGTTAAGTTCGTGATAGTTGATCACCGAGGTAAGAAAGGCGCTAATTCAGATACAATAATTTTCTCCATGCATTTACATGGATGACAGGTTAAGCTAATTGGCCTATAATTGTATTGCATTCTTGTGTAATGCTGTTACAATACAACGTTGTAACTAGCATTTTTGCCATATACGAGGTCATTTCAATAACACTCCGTATAAATCGAGGCGGGTAGTTCAAATGTACCATGACCGTGTCTGCGCAGCCGGAAGCTACTCGGCTGTCTACAGACGCCGTTCCTCGAGATGCGCAACATGATCAAGCCGCCCCGGTCGCCCATCCACGGAGAGGGCGGCGAGAGCCTGTCCGAGTGGTTCTGTCCCGCCGCCGCCGCCGCCGCCTCCGGGGACCCGTCCGAGTGCTCGTCGCTAGGCAGTCTTCCGTTCGCCGAACTGTCCATCTCGTACATGGACGACGCGTCGGACGCGTCGTCCGCCCTCCTCGGCGACGACGTCCACGCAAACCGGGACAGCTTCGGCGCGTTCGGCAGCGACTCTGGCTTCTCGTCCGACTTGTGCGGCGACTACAAGAGCAACGCCGCGACGCCCAAGGACAAGTTTTGTCCGTCGGCGGCCCTCGACGAGGACGACTGCGCCAAGCTGACGCGCACCAAGTGGACCGCATCGTTCCGCAAGATCATCAGGCGCATCAAGAAGTAGGCCCCCCCCCGCGACCGCGCCTTTTTTTTTATTGTATAACGTGTAGCGGGGCGAGAGATAGCGACGTCTTGCCTTTTATGAGGGTGTGGGGGCGCCCTTCTCCAGTATTTTCCATTTTTATGTACTTAACACTAGTGGAAAAAAGTATGGAAACATTTGAATACCGCGAGCGTATTAATTTCCGCAGGTTATGACTCCGTTCACGTAATATTAACGTTTAAGTTTGGCTTATTATTTTGCATCTTCTAGGCATAGGATCGACCAATTTCTGTAGTTTCTAATTTCCCATTGGATTTTAAGGTATCCAATGGGGTCGACACAATGGAACCAAGAACTAATTTTCTTCACTTTCCCCAACTTAAATGCCAAATTTTTCTACGTTTTAAGCTTTCCATATTCCGTAACTGATTTTACCAATCCTAAGGGTAGTTTTGGGGCCCCTTCTTCACTTCCTTTACTTTTATTCCATGTTGTATCGGCTTGAATGGCTTTACCAATCCTAAAGGTAGTTTTGGGGGAGGGTCTTTTTGGCCTTTTCTTCACATTACTGACATTTAAAACCAAACCGATGCTTTTTTTTAAGCCCTCCCTATACCTTGAATGAGTTTTGGGGCCTCTTCTCCACTTCCTTTGCTTTTATTCCAAGCTGTTCCATGTTTTGGGTAACTTTTAAGCAAATCTACAATTTTTAATTACGCAAAGTATGGAAATGAATTTCCATGCTTTTTTCCACTAATCTATATCGAAGCTCCGTCGCGCACATTCCACGTCCTTGTGATAAGTTTTAGGTAAATAAACGTTTCACGTAGTAGCCGTGGTTTTTCTTCCCCCCTTCCCGAAATGAAACCCCCGCGTCTATAAATATTACTTTAATCAATTAAGGTCTCTGTCCTCCAGGTATTTGTATTCGAAGGTGAAGCCCTCTTTTTTGCGCTGGCCCCACTTTTCGTAATCGAAGTAGATGTAGGTGCCCTGCTCGTACTCCTCGTTGATGATCTTGGGTTCCTCGTGCCGCTGGAACCACATCATGTACTTGGTGTGGAAGCGCCAGCTCTGCTTCTTGAGCGCCTTCGCCGCCAGGTACTGCGCCTTGGTGCCCTCCATGTAGTAGAAGACGAAGAAGAGGGTCTCGGTGCCGAGGCGCTGGTAAAACTCCAGGGTGTCGGAGTGGGCGAGCGGCGCCTGGATGTAGTAGGAGGGGGTGTTGTAGGGGTTCCGAGGCAGGTACGTCCGGATGCGTTCCGAATCGGACGGGTGCGGCAGGTGATAGAACGCGGACTCCATCAGCTGGAACTGCTGCTGGTGCTCCTTCTGGAGGGGCACGGCGCCGAGGGGCGCGACGCCCAGCAGCGGCGGGATGTGCGCCTCCGACTTGGCCTGTAGGCTCTTGGCGGCCGCCGCCGAGTCGAGGATCGCCTGCTGCTGGTGGAGGTGGGGCGGCGTGGGGGGCGGCGCCTCCGCGAGTTGGCTCTCGAGCCCCGCCCTGTCTATCACCTGCTGCGCCATCGACTTGAGCGACGTCAGGCCGTCGATCGAGATCTTGTCGCTGGGCGTCGCGGCGGGGACGTCGGGCGCCGGCGACGGCGTGCCCGGAGGTGGCGCCGCCGCCGCCTCCGGACTGACGCGGCTGTTTTGTACGGGCGTCGTGACGTCGGCCGGGTTGAGCTTCTGCGGGCCGCCCGTCGTCGAGACCGTCGTCGTGACCTGCGCGCATCGCGGACCAATCAACGTTCGCTTCCACCCCCACCACATAAAAAAAAATATATTGCCCGATTCTCGGACCTTTTTCGTACTTTATTATACATTTTTAAACTGGCGCCACCTGGTTCGAAAACACTAGAAATACACTGACACGCGACGTCGGAATTTTGACATAACCTTATAGGTGCAGAGATGGATTTTATTTTCGAAAATATATATCGACGCGTGAAATGTGCAACTTTTAATTTGACAATAGGTAAATGTCTGGAAAATGCAGATTTCCGACGCAGTGTTTCCGATCATACGAGAAGTAATTTAATTTATTGGTTTTAATCAATATCGCGGGTGCCTTGATTGAAATCTAATTGGAATCAAAAAGGAAAAGCTACCATAAGACCCAGAAAAAGAGCCCAGTGTTACGGTTTTTGTTACGGTAAGTGGCGGTGAATCCGATTTTGATCTGATCCGATAATAAGGCACGGTTTAACGTTGATATATATGCACTGATGTAGATAAACATGCAAAAGCCCATCTGGGTTGGAATTTGCTCGAAATCGGCAACTATTTGACCCGGAAAGTGAAGTTTTTAGCTATTATCTGCAGATTCGATGCCTTTTTCCTCATTCGACAAACATCCTGTGTAAAATTTAAGACTTTGGCATGAATTTCGTGAGTTTTTTTTTACATTTTTAGAATTATACTCCTTTTCGGTGGATCGTAGACAAAAATTCGTTTTACTATAGGTTTATGGACCTACAGCGGGATTTTTCCGAGGTGGGGCTCTCACTTGCGAAAGTACGCGCACATGCTTTCCGTTTATTATTACGTAACTTGAAAGGGTTTTCCGACACGGAAAAACTTTAACGTAGAAAGTTTCCCCTTTTTTACTCACTTGTGCGGGCGTGGGGCCGTTGGCGGCGGGTATCGCCGCCGCCCCCGAGGTTTGCTGACTAACGTTGGGTATCACAGACGAGGGATTGCTATCTCCGCTTGTACTAATCTTGGCGGTGCTGGCCGCCACCGCAGCGAAATTGCTCGCCCCTAGGGGCGGGCTCGACGGCGGCGGCGGCGCCTTGGGCGTCGCGCCTTGCGACGCCGCCTTGGCCGACGGCGTCGACGTCGCGCAGCTGCTGTAGTTGAGGATCGAGCCGGTGCTGGTGTTGAGAGTCGCCGCCGCCGTCGCGGGGGCGGCGGTCGCCCTCACGGGCGTCGGCTTCACGGGTTTCGACGCCCCGACCGCAGCCCGTTTGTCCGCCTCCCCGCAGCTGTTGTTCGCGTCACTGGAATGGTTGAAGGTGGCGGGGGGCGCTCCGCAGGGCAGCGGCGACGAGATCGGCGACGACCCCGATATTATCGACGTCGGCGTCCCTGAAAACACTGACCCATCAATAAATACCGCCCGCCGCGCCGCCTCCGGCTCCCTCCTACCTCCCGTGTCGTTGCTGTCGGTAGTCGCCGACGACGGCAGCCCCACCCCCGACAGTTCGACGTCGTCGAGCCCGATGATGTCGTCGTAGATGAACTCATTGTCCTCGAAGTCGGGCTCCTTCCACGACTCGATGTAGTACTCGACGTTGTCTTTGATCGGCTTGATCTGCTTCACCTCCACCGACTCGTTCATCAGCATCCTGAGGAGGGCCTCCAGCTTGTGTATGTGGAACTTGTGCCGCTCGAGGCGCGCCTTCAGCTCGTCCATCCGCTCCTGTTTGTCCTTGTCCAGCTTCTTCTTGCCCTTGGACTGGAGCTGCTCCATCTCGCTCTCAAACGAGTCCCCCTGGATCGCTAGCTGATTGATGGACGATCTGAGCCACTGCTGCATCTCCTCTTTCTCTTTCTGCGCGGGGTCCAGCTTCTGGGCCGCGCCCAGACCCTCTTTCGAGTACGCTTTAGTTTTTGTCTCGCGTTCCACCACTTTAAACCGCTCCATTTGCTGATCGAGCGGTAAAATCGCACGTAAAAACCCGGCCGCGACGCCGCAACCCCCTACCCACTCACCGTTTCGATCAGCTTCCGGTTCTCCATCAGGATACTCTTGTCTTTGATCTCGCCGGACGCGATCCAGCTTTTGATCTGGTCCCGAAGCCTCTGCAACTTTTTGATTTCCTTCTTGAGGTCCGCCTCATACTTTTCCTTCTGGTTGGTATTGCCGGCATTGCGGACCTTCGCCCAGATGTCTTCGAACGTGTCCACGCCTTCCGACACTTTTTTTAAACACCGATCTATTTCGCCTAAAACACGGGGCCAAACGTAACGGCGGGAAGCGCGGGGCCTTGCGGTCCGGCGTCCCGAGGCCCGCCGCCGCCGGCGACGCGCCGCCGCGTCCGTTTACCTTGTAGTTTTCTGGTAGCCGCCATGTCTGCCACCTCAATTCATCCTAAAATCTATCACTTAAACCGTCCAGACGCGACTAAACAAACACCCATCAATTCGACCGGAGCCTACGTCTCGCGCATTCGTACCTAAGGCAAATATTTTCCGATTCCGGATAAATAATTCGCGCTAAACATAAATAAAACTCTTCCTTTATCGTACGTGTTTGCTCACAGATCAACCGTGTGTACGTCCATAGATGTGCTGCCGCGTCGGTCGTACATTGCTCGCGGCACGTTCGCCCATCAGCGTCGTTGCCGTCGTGACCACCATTCCATTTTCTAGGGTCCAGCTTCTAGGTTTACGGACTCTTGCTTGAGCAATTAAGTGGCTAGTGGGATATGATTGGAGAGTTAGTTTCTAATTTTGGAGCACCCGTAATCGGCAGTGAATTAAACAACTAGTTCCACAATCAACCTCGACATTGACAATTACAGATAAGTTTCCGTTTTTCGAAGAGCGGATGAGGAGACACTTTGCCACTGAACACGGACGTTTTTTTCCTAGAAAATTCGTCGTGAATCTTGGGCGTATACGAAGAGATTCGCTGATAAACGAGTTCAATAAATGTTAATAGTCTGGATTTTGCTCGATTTATTACCTTCGCCAGTTAATCCGGACCGCCGGTGATTTGATTTTGATTTTTCGGGTTAAGCGGTTCTTAATTGCCGTGTTTTATTGCCGCTCCGCCGTAAATTCGGGATCAGTCGACATCGTGCGATACAAGGTTGAGTTGAGTGGCCAGAGTTAGTGCAGGTTGAACCCGTTCGTTAAAGAAGCGTTGACGTTCAGCTACCATATCATAGATGGGGCACGGCGATTGTAATTTTAAATGATTATGTGACGAACGGTGCGCACGTTTTTCATCGTGAAAGAGATATGACTCGATGTTTTACTATCTGATTTATCAAATAACTACGGTGGTTGTATAATCTGGCGGCATAGAAAGAGGAACGGAAACTGCGGACTGTCAAACCCTCAGAGAAGCAAAGCAGTTCTTCTTCTTAACGTTTCGAAAATAATTGGGTAAGTCACTATAATCAACGCACAAGCATAGTTCATCTGTTTGTGCTCTGGTTAACTTTGCAATAGTTCCTGCGTTAGTGATTAGCGTATGATAATGGTTCTCGGGGAAAAAAACAAAAATAAAGAGATAACGTAAAAAAAAATGAAAATCACAAAGCATAAGCTCTCATCTGCAGCAATGTAGATGTTTGTCGTTGCGTTGCCAAGTTTCTGTTAGATTCAATTGTGTAAAAAAACACTCGGATGAATTCGTAAATCGAACTATACCGAACGAACGATTTTTTTGAACAAACATCAAATGAACCTGTGGCGCCAAAATGGCCGCTGACAGTTGAATATTGCAACGTAGGAAAATTTCACAGATAAAATTGCCCAATTTGTGGGCGTAGATCGTTTGTTTTCGAAAACGTATAATTTTAATCTCCCTGAAAAATGCGAATCACGAGAGACTTTACAATTTGTTTCATTTTAATACTAAGGTTATGGATTTTCCTTATACGTTATTGTACGCGTGGTATTTTTTTTGTATAAAGATTAACAAAATGATTATAAATTCCATCTAAATAATCAAGGCCGTAATGCTCGCAAAATTGCATCAGGCTTATACAGTAGATCTTTCCCGCGTAGCAGAGGGTCGTCAAAGTGACGTCACTTTCGAGTCATAAGTGGTCGCTACTCGTCAGTGGTCGAATGTCGTCATAAAATAACGTGTTAATTCCAGATATTGACTTTAAACTCTTATCAAATTCTTCTATTTATGGATGAGATTTAAAGAAATCCATAAATGTGTTGGAAAACAAATTTAAATGTTTTAAATGGAACACCCTGTATATTATGGAATTAATAGATACTCCATTTTATACAATCACCCAATGTGTTGTTCTTCAAAAATGCTCCGCGTTTAATACCCTATATTTTTGACGCCGTTTCCGACAGCTGTAGTTTTATTATTCCAACAAATTTTTATATTTCTATACTTGTCTTGAAATTAATTCGAATGGTTTGTACACGGTCGCTTAAAATGAAAAATATTGATTTTCGTGAACAATTATACTTCCGTTATTATTATGCTTTATGCGTCTTTATTTTTTGCGCCACCGCAAAAGACGTTCTAGGTCATTTAATTTAATTTACTCACTTTACTTACTGTATTTTCGCCACTCCAAAAATAAAAAAAGCAATCGCTTAAGTGACACTTAAATTACTTAAATGTCATTATTCGTCTGAGATATTAGAGTATTCACAACATGTTTAGGGGTAAGGCAAATAGATGGCGCTAGTGTGCAGCTCACCGCTTGAAGCCCCGGCAGTCCGTCAAAAAGTGTAAGAAAATGATTTATTACGCAGGTGCGGTAAAAGGTACCTGAGTTGCTAGTTTACTTGACACGAGCATTTAAAAGTTTAATGAACGTGTTGCATACTTCGAAAAACACAAATACTTTCTATGAAACGTCAAAATTAAAAGCGTGGGAACTTGTGCGGTAAAATCCCTGTAACGCTACTGATGCGGTAAAGGGGCTCTCCCCGCACGCTAGATCAGTGTGTAATTAGGTATTTTATTGACAGCAGTAGACAAAGACGTTTAAACTCTATGGTTATTATCGTCCTCTCATTTTTAATCGTCATGTATAATTGAGAGCGATTGAATGGCTTCCAAGAATTGTGAATTAGGTATTTCTTTGTTTTCAAATAATAATAATAATAATAAATTGCCTATATTGTTGTATATATACAGTAGAGAAGAGGCGAAGCCTTGCAAAAGCTACTCCACTTTACCTCTTAAATGTTTAAATTGGGAACTAAACAGGAAGTTATAATTACATTGATAAATTAAATATGGTATAATAAATAAATGTAATAGTAATATGGAATAATAGAAAGTTAATAAAAGTAAAAATAAAAAGAATAACATTGAGAATCAAATTATTTGAGAAGTGAGCAGTTTCGACCTGGAATATTTGTTAAAGAATTTAATTGAATGTGATTTCATGGAATCGGGTATACTATTAAAAATTACAACAGCGTTATAAGAAAATCACCTGCGGAACAAAGATAAATGACATCGTAGCAGTGAGAGTCTGTAGGCGTGTTTAAAGCCACTGATTGAACATTACGAAACTCTGATTTAGCTCGTAAATAGGACATATTGGATGTGCTAATAATTTGCAAAACCATAGACACCAAAAAGTACTTGAAAGTACTGTCAATTTTTGTGGGAAATCCTATCAAATTTACGCAAGCCGAAAATAAATCTGCAATAGCTGTGCTGAATTTTTTGCAACCTATATTAATTAATACTATCAAGGCATGGACGATAGAGGGCTAAACCATAGTTTATGATCGAAAGGACAAGTGATTGAGCTAAAAGTTTCCGTAAACTGAAATTAAGAACAGTTCTATGCCTGTATAAATGGCGCGAAATCAATGACTTGACTTTTTCACCAACAAAGATACATATTCCACGGATCTAAGTCTACAATCAAATAAAACACCAAGGTTTTTATTAATTAATTAATAAATACATTTGGGATACTTGTTCAATGTTAGGTTGAACGGAAAAGAACATTACATTGCATTTTTTTATCATTAAGTTGAAGATTATGCCTAGAAGAATATAGAAATGAGTTATGCAAATCCAAATTGATATAAATTGAAGCAATATCAAATAATTTAGGATCGATTGGTGAGAGTCACCAGCAAATGAATGCAAATTCAAATATTCGAGGGATTCGAGTAAATATCAGAAATATAAATTAAGAATAATATAGGTCCAAGGACACCTGATGAGACAGGAACAAATTCAGAATTTTCACGTCCAGCTGATATCATATATAAAGTCATTTTCGTCATTCGGTGACCAGATAACGACGTCATTTTCTCTCTTTTCAGCACTCGATGGCAACCGCGGACCTAAAGGCCGCCGCCGCCGAGATGGCGTGCGCGTTGTGCGGCGACCGCCTCCGGCCGCCCATACGCGGCTGCGTCAACGGGCACGCGATGTGCCCCTATCATTTCCACCGCGACGCTCCCTGCGACGCCTGCGGGACGCGCGAACGCGGCGACAGGATCGTCGCTTTGGACAACGTCTACGCCTTGTTGCCTTTCCGCTGCAAGTTCGCGGACCAAGGTTGCCCGACGGAGACGTGGGGCGCCGGGCTGGCGCGCCACGAAGCCGAGTGCCGGTTCCACGTGACCCTTTGCCCTTTTAGTTTCGAAAGGGACTGCGGCTTTCGCGGCACGGTACTTGCAGCGACGCGCCACTGCTTGGAGGCGCACCCGGACGCCACCTTCGCAGCTATTGACGACGCCTGCGTTTACTCTCGATCGGTCCGCGTGCCCCACTTCCTGCAGGACCGGTTAGAGGGCGCCTCCGGCCCGACGCGGACCTACGTGTTCCTCGCGAAGGGTACCATGTTTAGGGCGGTCTGCGACGTGCACCTCGGCACGTTTTGGTTCGCCGTCGCCGTCGTCGGACGGGTGGACAGCGCGTCGAGGAAATTCGAGTACGAGATCGACTTCTACGACGCCCGGATCGGCCGGACCGCTTTTACCCTGGGGAACGCGTGCCGCGTCCTCCTAGACGACAGGCTACGGTTCGTCGAAGACGCTTACGTCGTTACCGACGAGTTGGTCGCTATGCGCCACTGCGACTTGTTCGGCGATTTGCATCTGCGCGTCAGACTATTCGAAATTGTAGACGGCGAACGCCGGTAGGGTTTCAATAAAATGATCGATATCTTAGCAGCAGTCTTTTTTTGCGATTTCGCTACCGTCTAGCAGGCGGCGCCGCCCATAACGAAAGAAACAGCACGTTTCGGCCACCATCCGATAGATGGCGCTTATTATCTTACGAAGACTTGCACGTACAAGATTACTTTCGAGTAATTGATCGCTGGGCGGCACAAATTCGTAGCGCGTAGCAGATTTGTATTTTGAAAAGAATCCGCTTCGCGGTTTCTTGTATTGTTTTTCTATCGTGCCCCTGCGGATCACTTTGGAACTCTCGCAAAAAATGTTTTTCATTTTTCAATTTACCCACACTTTTATTTATTTATTGGTATATGATTTTTTCTAATAGAGTAAGTGGTTTTCAAGGAAATACTGGTTTTCTGAAACCATGCAGTACGTGGTACTCAGGGTCTTTTATATTTTTGTGAAAAACTCTGCAAATAATTGAAAAATTGCTTAAAATTAAAGTTATAGTACCTCATCTTCTGGTTCAAGAATTTTGTCGATTGGGTTAATAGTTTTTGAGGAAATAATTTGTTTCTGGACGGCAAAATAACCAAAAAAAATTTTCAAGAATTTAAAAAATATATTTGATTGCAACCAATTTCTACTGTTTAAATGCGGCTACGGACCTTTATGTCGCTGCCAAATTTACGACATTTAACACATTCTTATGTTGCACGGAATATCGGGAACACCCTGTACAATTTCGGTTTCGGTTTGGTAAACGGTTTTCGAACAACGATCTTTTTTGTAGACTCTTGCACACGCGATTTTTACTTTTTTTAAAATACTTTCCGACCCCCCACCCCACCCATTTTCAATAGGTTCCACATATGTGCAAAAATATGAAGTTGATTGCTTCTAATTTCGAAAACTTATCTTGTCCAACATCCAAAAAACAGTCGAAAATCCCGAATCAATAAAACGATCGATCTCTTAGCTGCAGTCTTTTTTTTCCGTTTCCGCTACCGTCTAATAGGTGACGCCACCGCTAATGGATGTAGACGCTTGCGGTTTCCGCCAAACTGCACGTTTCGGTCATCATCCGATAGATGGCACTTGTTAGATGGGTGAAACGAGCGAGGATAGGAAAATAGTTACATTCGTTTATGGAAAAAGCGACAAATTCGCAAAATTAAAAGAGCTACAACCTCCACTGATGAGTCAAAAACACCTCGTTTGATCTGCAAGTAGTTTTTTATTTATGAATTTTTTATTCAGTGCGTATGATACACTTGCGTGCATGGAAATAGGCACGTTGTAACCTTTTTTTTCTTCAGAAACCAGTCATGCTGTTTGAAAAAACAACTGCATATGCTTTGAAACGGATTTAAATGATTCTTTATCCCATAGATGTTCGATCGAAATGAGGTCGGGACTACACGCTTGCCACTCCATAACTGGAAAAACCGACTTCTGCAATGTAATGTAGCATTGTCATGCATAAAAATGAATTCTTCTCCAATGTAGTCAACATATGGAGTCACCGCACCGCACCATGGTGCCCGTACGGATGAAATCAGGAAATACCTCCATAAGGGTTCCCTTCTTCAATAGAAATCGCTCTACTGGTTTTCGGTATACTTTTTTCCTCGATCGTTAGTTCTGGTCTGATCTGGAAACAGAACTAGCGTGCAATGAGTAGGTGGGCTTGTCGGACCAATTGCAGGTGTTTTTCGGGTCAGCTTAATTTCACGCAGTGTTCTTCTCGCTGTCCACTGCTGTCTAAGTCATTTTCTTTGGCAAAATTAAACAGCATGTTGCAAGAAAGTCCAAAGTTTACAAGCATATAACCTGTCCCTTTTTTGAAAAGTTTTGTTAAAGCCGACTTGTAATAATCTGTTAAAGAATAACATTTAATTTTGTATTAAAAATAGGGTTACAAATATGTTCCTAACAAATAAAATAAAAATGTTAAACTTTCTATGGATAAATTATCTATTCTACCCGTATTTGTATTACATTTTTTCTACTCCCTTCTGCAAAAAACCTAATTATCTAAAGATCTAGCGTGCGGAAAGTATCATTTTAAGTTTCGTTTTTCATGGATCCGGGTCACTTCGGACATTACCGGATGTTTTCGGAGATTTTACCGCACAGATTCCTTTTTTTCGTCACTCGTTTATTAAGCTTAAACCCGCGACTCAAAAACCGTTTACGGCACTTGTTGCATAATGTACTATTATAAAGGGTTCGCAACCTCAATAGTTGCGACGTAGTAGGTGGTGGTGGTAGTTTATTGAACACTATTCCTTTTTTCCTGCACTTGTGGATGCCTTGAATGATGATTCACTGCTGGATCCACTCTACAGGAGCCCCGTCCATCCCTGCCGAACCTGTCAAGCCATATTCAAATTCGGGACTTGAAACCAAAGAAATATAGCAATAACTCCAAGTTATTTGAAATCAAGAAGAGTGAGACTTGCACTTAGTTTTTACAGATAAAGAAGCTCGTGTAGGTTTTGGTGTTTACGATTACAATACGAACCTTAAAATGGGACAAGGCCTGCAAAGGGATCTATCCATTTGCTCTGCCGAGATTTACGCTCTTGAATGGATTGAATTCAATGATATCAACAAAGCAGTCATCTTTTCAGACTAAAAAAAGTGCCCTTGAAGATATCAATAAAACTGGGACGGTTGCAAAGTCCCTTGAAGGTCAAAAATAAACTAGTACTAGTATAAAACAGATCGCCAACGCTGCTCGCAGTTTTTTCCTAAATTGAAGCGTAACATCTGGAATGCTTGGAGCGACAGATGGAAATCTATAGGATTAGGGAAAGGAGTTAGTTCCAGCTCACATTTTTCATTTTTCATACAACTATGTGTAGACTGAAAAGCAACACCTAAATAGAATTAAAGTTAAAGTTAGTTCATATAATTTAACTACGCACCAGTTTCTTTCTTCGATGAAATTTTTGTATTAATATTTAATAAGAAATTTCACAGATGAGGAAACAAAAACTAAAAGTTTAAGTTAGGTTAAGCTTTAAATATTGTTTTAACATTTTCTGATTCTTTCGTTAATTTTTTTCTGTATAGCCGTCCAGTGGGACGATGGTATCACCCAGACACTTTACGGAGGCATTCTTTGCACCAATGCCGATGAGCTGGCCGAATGGTTTTAGCAGAAGCGGCCAAAAAAAAAAACGTAATTAAAAAAAAAACCTCGTTTATGGTCGATAATAGCCGAAAACGTGGGATCGGAGGATGCGGGAAAGAAGTCGGGCACTCACGTCAATGGCTCGTTTATTTACTCAAATATGTAGGTTACATGGTTTTAACATTTAGTCCGCCCAATCGATTTACTACACGCCCAGCGGTTTACGGTTATTGACTCGGTGTGCGACTTTAAGTTTGACAATTTTATGCATTGCCCTTATTTACACTCTCGTTTAGTTATACGCGTGCGGATGGCGTCCGAAAAAAAAAAAAAAAAAAAGGTCGACGGGGAAAATGGGAAAACGGAACCGGCTCGACTTAGGCCGAATTTCGAAAACGGTCGCCGGGTGGCGACGGCGGCGACATCTACCGAAAAGCGATACGCGGGACGCCGACGAGGCGCGCCTTCTGTATGTACATTCAAATTACGTGAAAAACATCAACAATTATTATATATAACAGCAACAACGATTCTTTAGCAACAACATTATCATTATTATATGCGTTATTATTAATAGTAGTCATTTTCTTCTTCCCATAGATCCGTGCCCGTCTTAAACGGACACTCCCGTTTATTATTTAATTTTATAGGATACGCTAGTGATTTCTTTTTTTGTTTGTTTGTTTGTTTGTAAATGCACCTGATTCATAAGAGATTTTCATTCGCGATACGATTGGGGTGTGGCGAGGGGCGGGACGAGGTCGAACCCCGATGCCATCACAGCACAGTCTCCATCTCCGCTATTTCGGTCTTGGGTCTGAGAAAAAAACGGACGCCATTTTTACTCGGCACCTACGACGCCTGCCACACTCACCCGTTGACGTCGGCGTAGCCGTCCGGGTCCAGACTCCGCATCCGTGCTCTGCCCTGCTCCCCCGACACCACGATGCTGAAATGCGGACGGGGACGTCGTTTTTTTTAAATCGGGCGGACGCGCCGGGCGAGCGGGTCGGGCAATAATAGACAAAGAACTCGCAAAACTCGATTATCCGAGGACTCCCGTTTCCGATACGGTCTGCTAATGAAAGGCGGATTCGCCGGAGATGATTTAATTTCGGCCCGACCCCCACCCGGGGTTTCGCTCGCGCGTCAGCGTCGACTCGTCTATCTCGAAAACCGATAAAATCGAACGTTTTCCGATGATGTTTATATTGCAAATCTTTGCTACTCATATTACAAGTAATGTTTCGAAGCTTGATGTTATGGATTTTTATTAACAATCAATAACATCGCTCATTTTAATATTCTTAATTCATTTTTTATCCTACCGACTACGCCACTTATTAATTATTGTACCGGAGTTTTATACTTGCTACTCCGTCAGTATAAAGATTTTATAACAAAGTCCTAGTCCAAAAGTCACCGCGTTGCCGTCATTTACTTTATATTGTAAACATATATGCATTTGTTACTTATAGATATTTATTAATAATTAACGAGGTCGATCATTTTAATAATCTAAATGCATTTTTTATCCTACCGACTGCGCCGTGTGGTATCATTACATCGCGGGAACGTCGACATTTATATTTACTATTTTATCAGTATAAAGATTACATTTTATAAAAAAGTCCTAGTCCAAAAGCCAAAGCGTTTCCGTAATTTACTTTTTATTGTAAACATGTATGCATTTGTTACTTTCATTACAAATGACGTTGGAAAACTTGACGTTATAAATATATATTAATAATTAACGAGGTCGGTCATTTTAATTATCTAAATGCATTTTTTATCCTACCGACTGAGCCGACATTTATGCTTACTGCTTTATCGGTATCAAGATTAATTTTTATAATAAAGCCTTTATATTGCAAACATGCAAGCATTTGTTAATTACATTACAAATAACGTTTAATTTTATAAATATTTATTAACAGTTACCGACGTCGGTCATTTTAATATTCCAAATGTATTTTTGATCCTACCGACTGCGCCGTGTATCATCACTACTTTGCGGCAATGTCGAGATTTTACCTTACTGCCTTATCAGTATCAAGATAAATTTTTATAATAAAGGCTTTATATTGTAAACATGTAAGCATTTCTTACTTACATTACAAATAACGTTTGAAAACTTGATTTTAGAGATTTATTTTTTTTTTTAATATTTTTTTATTTTTTATTTTATAGATTTATTAACAATTACCAACGTCGCTCATGTGTGTTATCATTAATTTGCATTTTATTGCTTCATCAGTATAAAGATTACATTTTATAGTAAAATCTTTGTTATTTACATTACAAATAATGCTCGAAAGCTTGATTTTATACATATTTGTCAACAACTAACAACGTCGGTCATTTTAATATTCTTAATTCACGCCTGCAACGGCGCGAACGGCTAGGCGAAGAAATAAAAAGAATTAACGCTCGTAGTTTTGTATGCGAAAACGATTAAAAGGGTATTTAAACCGGCGCAGGCGGTAGGATACGGATACGGAACCGGTGACAAACCCAAAGTGATTGGTTACCATTTGCTTTAAAAAGCGGAAATATTCGATTTTGCGGGTTATCGCGATCCGCTACGGCGGCGTGAGGAGGGCGGCTACTTGGAGACGCGTGCGCATGCGACATACGTGCAACTCTACCGAAGGGACTTACTCGGGTGAGTCGGAGACGCGAAGACATGAAGCGACGCAGCCGCGACGTCTACGACGCCATTCGCGGGAACAAAAACAACAGAGGGTGAGGTGCGGGGCGTGTGACGCTCTCGTGAGAGGGGTGATCATGCGACGAGGCGATACGTAAGGGCGACTTACCGCTTGCAAGGGGGCGGCTTGACCCCGTGCGCCTCCAGCTCCTTCTCCAGCTGTTTGACGCGCATCTGCGCGACGTCCAGCTCCCGCTTCACCTTCCAGAGGTGCGTGTCGCAGATGGGATCGCGACACCGGTGGTTCCTGAGGATGTCCTGCGCCTCGTAGACCGCCCCCCGAAACGTCAGACTCTTGCCCATCGAGAGGCTGATGAGGGCGCAGCAGCCGCCCCGGTCCGTCTTGGCCAGGTGCTTGCGCACGTACTTGAAGTAGAGATGCTCGAGGAGCAGCAGCAGCACCGCCATGAGGATGCCGGCCATCAGGAGCAGGAACGCGGACAGGAACTGCTCGAGCGCGAGCGGGTCGGAGCTCTTGTGCTCCTGCTTGCCGGGCCGACAGACGCCGGTCATCCAGTAGCGGCGCAGCCGTTCCAGGTCGCCGTTTTCTCGGAAATCGAGCAGCCGCCTGTTGAACATCTTCAGGTACTTGGAGTTGCGGGGGAAGGCGAGCCCGTAGCCGGTCATCGCGTACCACGAGCCGACCGTGAGGAGGCGGCAGTCCTCGTCCTGCGAGGTCAGGTAGTCGAGGACGGTACCGTCGTAGATGAACGAGTCCATCTCGCCGGAGAGCACGGCGCCGACGCCCTGCAGCACCGTGCTCTTGTTGAACTGACGCATGTACGCGTGCATGTCGCCGAAGTACTTGGCGAGGGTCGAGTCCGTGTGCGACCACGGGATCGTGCCGAACTTGATGCTCGGCTTGTGCGAGTACGGCCTGCATAGCCGGTGGTCGTCGATGCCTTCGGAAGCACGAAAACTTTGACGATTAGTACCGAAGTAACCGTGTTATCGATATATGGACGTGGGAGCCGTCATCGTGACAGAGGATGCCATCTAGCGGCACATATAAATTACTCTATACAACATGACTTACCACAGAAAGTCTTCGATAAATGATCCACCTATATACCGGGTAACACAGAATGTGTTAATATAGGCTGAATGTTCGATTTTTTGACAATACATAGTCAACATATACACTTCCGGTAACTTTCGAATTTTAAACTGTTTTTTTTGCATTTTTGGATCAGGAGATCTTTTTTTTTGTTTTTTTAAAATTTTTATTTAATTTTTGAAAATTGCTTGTGGGAACAGTTTGAAATGTAACAAGTAAAAAATTATGCAAAAAAAATTAAGCGCAAAGACCAAACTGAAACAAAACTTCAAAAACGGAATTAAAATTAAAAAAAATAAAACTAACCAAATCTGTTTAATATCGTGTATTCCCTCAAAAAGACCATGCTCGATCGGATGTCAGCCAATGCTTTTTCCTGGCCTTCGTGGCAATAATGTTAACTATCTGGAGGTGGTTGGTATCTAGTCTGGCATCAGACGTAAAAGTGACATTGTCTCCTGTATATGGGCCAAATGGGTTAAACCTCGCCACGTACATAACGGCTTCTTCAGCAGTTAAAAGACGATTTACGAATAAACGAATATATTCTTTTTATTCCCTTTTATCGTTTACAATTATTTGAAAAAATGAACACCTTACATAGGTACAAAATTTTCACAACGAAGATGTTGAGAGATTTTTGGACAAATGGTAAATCTGGTTTTGACGTTATATTTCTTTGGAATTTTTGATATGTGATCGGCGATGGTTTGAATATAAGGAAGGACAACAGTGGCAAGTGCGGGAGTACTTTGAAAAAACTAACGTCAACACTATGGAAACCATCAAACACTTCTCAACTACCAAACACTGTGATAAATGTAAAAGGTTCCAACTTAAAGAAAAAGAGGAAATCATTTCAAATGTCGAGTATATCCTAAACAAACTACCAACTCAAAAATCTAATGAAATTCGATTTGAAAAGGCAAAAATCCTTAAAAAATCAAAACCCCCTAAATCTAATATTGCAAAGCCTGAACGCATTGCCCTAAAATATATAAAATCTAATCCCGACATTGTAATCCTAAAAGCAGACAAAGGAAATGCTACGGTGATCATGAACACAAATGAATATCAAGAAAAAAATATTCTTAAAATTATTATTAAAACCCTTTACAGGGAAAACTGACTGTTTCGTAGTAAATTCCTTTCACTTCACAACAACAAATAAAAAACATTACATTAGATACAGACGATATTCTGGTTAGTTTCGACGTAGAATCCTTCTTTACTAAAGTTGCTGAAACTCTCATCATCTGAAGCTCTGAAGAAGCCACGAGGATGATCGGCGAAACGTTAGCTAGTTGTCAACAAAAACAGACGCGAGAGAAATCCAAAAGTTTTAGAAAGAGCGCTACGGTGGCCTGTGGAAGTTTTTTTGAAAAAAACTATCCTTGTTAATTTTAATTCGTTATTCAAAAACCGCCCCCGACCCGCGTCCATCACCGCGCGTGTACCGTCCTAAGCGGGCAATTGGTGCCGCTTTCGAGGAAGACCTCGATCGGGATGAGATTAAACGGGACGCGACGGTAGTTTTGTTCGTCTAGTTCGATCAGGACGATCGGAGGGTGCTTCCGTCCCCTTCGCCGCCCTCTTTGCGTCGACGGGGGCGGCCGAACCGTCGTCAACGCTGACACGGATCATTGGTACATCATTGAAACGACATCGCATCATTTAATCCTACTAGATTTCAATAACACTCTTTATAAGCAACAACCGGCCATATTAGAATATATAGGTTTTCTATGGTGGCTTCATACAATACCCGTGCACGTAAGTAAAAAAAAATGGACATTACAGCCCGACCTTTAGCAACAAATCTCGGTCGTTTTTCTTCGAGACCGAAAAAAAATTTTCAAAATTAAAAAAAAAAAATACTTGGCAACCGATCCCGTCCAACCTTGGTGGCTCCTATCCGGGCATATAACTCAAACTTTTTACCGAATTTCGACTTGATCGGTTGAAATTTCGGACGCTTACGTTCTTTCGTGGCGACTTTCCCACACAAAAACCGTCAATAGCTGATAAAATGGCCGCCGATTGTAGGAATTCGTCGATACTTTGCGGGCCGCTGCCCATCGTCCTGTACTAGAACGCATTAGAATTTGAAGTGCGTAACTGCGACCGTTAGAATGTTATCCGGCTTCAAACGCTTCCCGTCCGTCCTTGGTGGGGAACAGAGAACAGACGTCACGTGATGACAGACATCGTGATGGTTACCGAACGCGTCAGAGAAACGTTTTAAATTTCGACAGCGACGATGAATGACCTGCCATTGCCCCAAAAATTTAGTGAAGAAATAGTTCCAAGGTCTGGCGATAATCAGTTTAAGCAAACCTTTAGAATGAGGGAGTCAAGAACAAAAATTTCGTGGAGGTTAACCACAAAAAGGCAATAGAAAAACAACTTATGATGGCAAATATGGAAGGTTCTCGGTAAGATAAAAGACATATCATATATCTTCAAAAACTACACTGTTGAATAGGAGAGCGAGCCACAGACATCACATTACAATTTACATTAAACTAAGTATCAAGATAGACACTGTATGCACACAGGACCAGTGACACACATAATGTCATCGTGGAATCTTTCTTGTAATATTATATAAAAATATAAGCAAAAATTATACCTAGTGTCTGAAGTGATCGATCCTATTATTTCTGGCTTCATAAATAGAATGTCATGCCTTATATCAAAAAAATCTTTAGAAGAAATAACTCCTTTGTATAGTTCATCGTATTAATTACACGTTGGTTCTAGAAAAAGTTGATGGAGGTATATTTGACAACCAAACGATCGCTTTGATGAAGCCTCATCAATCTCAAATTATGTAAGGTGAACTACTACGCTAGCATATACTAACTCAACTTTTCGCCTTATCTGATCATCATCCATTCTTGAAAAACATAATGTAATTTTCACTTTTCATTTGCTAAATGAGCGAAGTTCACAAATATACTACCGAAAATTACGAATTTAAATGTTATACTCGGACGTAGCAACGCAACTACAGAACAGCCGATCGCTTTCAAATAAATTGCTCTGGACCCTCGAACAAAATATCTCGACGCCCTCTATTAGCTCTGTGACGCAATAAACGAACACGCTTCAGACGAATCCGGCCCCTCTAAAACCTAATTTTATAGAAAAAAACGGGATGTCCCAGATTTTCCAAAAATAGTAAGCGCCGGCTTCAACATATCATGTCGGATCCCTCTCTTCTTTTTCGATTACCATTTCTTAATCATTGCGGGTTGTAATAATACCAGCCAAGATTTTGCTTACACAAATTGTCTAGATCTTTTCGTTTTTCCTGGCATTCGGAGAAATTTAGCGTAAAATAAAAAATAGTGCGGTGGAGGGGGGTCGCGTGACACTTAAGCGAAAGGGGCGGCGCGTTCGCTCACCGGAAAACTCGAAAAACTCCTCGCGGGTGATCATGAAGGCGGCCAGGTTGGCGGTGTAGATGGCGAGGAAGACGACGGCGAACATGGCCCACACGTTGGTCATGAAGCGGGAGGTGAAGCCGCGGGGCGAGTCGACGTGGACCGCCGCCTGGAAGAGTACCGCCCACACCAGCCAGTAGGTGCGGAAGAGCGAGAAACGGTGAGCGTTCGACGGCACGCCCTGCAACAAAGTCGGCGGTCGGGGGGGCGGAGGAGGCGGCTATTTCGGCGTCGTTACGTTGTTGAAGGCGACCTTCATGTCGAAGCCGCTCGGCGAGAGCCACTCGAACAGGAAGATGGTGAAGGTGGAGGCGTGGATCGCGACGACGCCGACCAGCATCCACGACGCCGCGTCGAACGGCTCGAGGAACGCCGTCGGCGATATTATGCCGGTCCGTTTCGCTACCACGATCGCGATGCCCGTCTCCATGAATGGAACGCTAAAGTCCACCTGCGGAAACGACGCGTCGCCACCATATTGCCGAGAAAATGGCACTGTTATAATGCCGCCAGTTTAGTTCGCACTGCCATCTGTCGACGAGCGGTCAAATTGAATTCGATTTTTTTTTTCGCAGAACTGACGCAAGTTTGGCACACATTGTCGTTACTTATACACATGCCTCGTTACATATTAGGTATAATCAGATATATACAGTCGAAACTCTATATAGCGAAATATATGTGTTCTGTTACATTTAATTATTTTATATAAACACATCTTCCCTATGACACATGAAAAATTTCTCTAGCAGCTTAACTGAATATACCGCTTGTTGAATGGTTCTTCCTCTTGGTGCTCTTCCTCATCCTTTCTTGCTTGTTGTAATACGGCTTCCTCTGTCAAGTCTGCAAAATCTTGCAACTTCTCACTTGCAGACGTAATTGTTGTTTGAAACTGCTTAGTGGCTGATCATCTTCCAAGTCCTGTTCGCATTCTGTCTCGGTAATAAGTCCTGCATGACGATAGGAGTGTTGAATTATTTCTGCTGTCAACTCTTTCCAAGCTTCACTAATAAAGTTGACTGCATCTAGCATATTAACGGAAAATTTCTCTTCGGACTCGATCATTTCCATTAAAATCTTTTCCTGTATCGACTCTTAAGACTTTTTATTACGCTCTGGTCCATCGGCTGGATGGAATATGGGGATGTGCAGGGCGGCTATCCCCTTTAATTCCGCATCCCATTTCCGTACATCCCCTTCAAAAATTTGCGATGTCATCGATGCAGACCGAATGAATTGAACGAATTGAACCAATGGTGTACTTTTATACATACCGATGAAGGCACTAACATAATCGCTTATTAGGAGAAAAATACTGAGGTTCTCGGTGATTAGATTATTAGGGTAAGGAATTAATTACAAGTCGACCTACATTCCTTACTTTGTTACCTGATGTGCCCTTTTTCCTTTCGGTATAGAGAGTGCGAAATTCGTTATACAGAATGGATTAATATGGAGACCTAGTAGTACAACAAATTTTGTCGTTAATACAGATTTATACGTTATACAGAGTTTCGCTATATGTATTTTGAAATTGAAATCGTAACGGGATGAATTTCGAAGACACGCTTCTTCTTTCGCGTTTAAAACCTCGTATACGCCGCCCTTTGCTCAATATTTGGTGTGTGGGGGGGAGCTCGACCTCTCCCGCAACCCCCCCAGGTGTAAAAACTTCGCGCCGCCCCCGCGGGAGCACATAAATTCGCCGAAACGAGGAAAAACAGCCGTAAATATTGTTTTCCGGAGTAGTATCGATCCTCCGGGTCGAACGAAAATAGTGGTTGTTCTCTCACCACCGCCTCCCGTTCCGCGTTGATCGTCAGCGAGGTCAGCACCATGTCCGTTTTGCGGTTGACGAGGTCGGCGATGAGGCCGTTCCACTTGCCGTTCACGTTGGTGCCCCAGCGGCCGTCCTCGACACGTACCAGCTCGTACGTGAACCCCAACTCCTCGGAGAACTTCTGCAGCAGGTCGATGCAGAAGCCGGAACAGCACTGGTAGTAGCTGCCGTTGCGGTGCGCCTGCGCCATATCCACCCTGGGTCCCCAAAAAACGACCGGATTGAGAAGCCGAGGATCGCGCGAATCCGGGGGGGGGGGGGGGGTCTCGCTCCGGGTCCCGGAGGAAACACGCGCGTGCCGCATAATTTCCCCATATAAATGTAAGCGAGGGTTGATGGCGGCCGAAAACGCGGAACACATTCGTATTAATAATACGCAGGGCGCGTAATAGTCCGGTGGCCGGCAGCCATTTTTGATGACCGACAGTGAGAAAGCTAACTTTTATGTCACTTTCGATATTTTTCTCGAACCGTTTCTCAGGGGTGTTCCAAATAACTGAGAAAATCGACACTTGACACAAAGTTTCCATTGATATAGCAGTTCAAACCGGGATTGTCCTTGCCAACATGCAGTACAGAGTACAATAACCAAGATGAACAACACTTATATTTAAACCAAAGTGCGTCGATTCGCGTCCAATCTGAAATGACGAAAGCAGTGGAAATCAACGTCTACTCAGAGGAAATCTTCACCAAAGCCCTCGAAAATGATACCGCTGGGATAAGAATTAACGGGATTCCACTGAACAATCTGCGTTACGCGGATGATACAGTACTTCTCGCCAAGACTAGTCGAGAATATGGTCTGACACTCAATGTTAAGAAGACCAAGTACATGATTGTCACCAAAACCAAAGTGCTCCATGGACATATGTATGTTAAAAACCAAGAGCTGGACAGAGTCGAGAGATATGATTACCTGGGTACGAGTGTCGACTGCAATGTGGATTATTCTTCGGAAATAAAGATCCGCATTGAGAAAGCCCGTGCAGCCTTTGTGAAGATAAAGAAGCTGGTCTGTAGTCGCGATTTGAGAGCTCGAATGCTCAATTGTTATGTATTCCCGGTCCTTTTGTATGGTGTGAAAGCTTGGACTCTCAACCTATTTTGCGAGCGGAAACTGGAAGCCTTCGAGATGTGGGCATACCGTAGGATGCTGAGAATACCATGGACGGAACATATGACGAACGTGGAGGATCTGAGAAGAATGAAGAAAGGTGTAGAGATCCTACAGGAAGTGAAAGAAAGGAAATTGCAATATCTCGGCCACATCATGAGAGGACCAAAGTATGAAATTTTACAACTCATAATCCAGGGAAAAATTGTGGGAGGAAGATCTATTGGAAGAAGAATATCCTGGCTTAGAAATCTACGAAAATGGTTTAATGTTACATCATCAGCAAAGACACTAGCAAAATATGAAGCAAATTCATTTGAAATGAAGTTCTGGTTTTAAGAGACTTCTCCCGAGGTATGACAAGAAAGGATACCTTAGACGATACCTGTCTAACATAGAAATAAAAATATTAAAAGCAATTAATTATTTTTTTTTATTTGGACGACGCCCCAAAAAAATGGCGGCCGGCGTCTTCTGGACTATATAGAGCCGTAAATCAAATCTCCGGGATTATAGTAATTTACGCGCGAGGTCTATCTCGTTTTTGAGGTTTATTAATCAAAAGCGTTACGACGCAAAACCTGGCGCGGCTAATCCGCCCCGACGCCCGGATCCGCGTCGCGATTCCGGTCGAATAACGGCCCCGGAAAATCACACCGGACCCGGCGTTATTTACGCAAACAAGAGGGACCGCGTCCGGATTATCTTTAATCGGGCAATTTGCGTTTCGTCAAAAGGGGGGGGGGGGAGGTGGAAACTGCAATTGACGTGTTTCGAAAGGGTCGCCAGTGACATAATTAAATCCGTACGTCAAAATAATTAGGAAATGTTTCCGCATATTGCGTAATCGATTTCCGGTTCGCGCGAATAAATTTTAAATGTCGCGGCGCGCGCCTTCCGCAAGGAACGGCCCCCGGCGTCGGCCACGGACGCCCGTTTGGGAGGTCGTCGAGAGTAACGTCGTCCGGTGGTGAAGAAATTTAACACAAGCCGGCAACGCCGCTTTGTTGAGAAAGAAGGCAAACACGGCCAAAGAATTGGCAATCTCTAAATAGTGTAAATTTCTGAGAAACAAAACGGAATTTCGGACTTGACTCGGAATTTTCGAAATATAAGTAAAAATTCCTGAAAAATAAATAAATAAGTCAAAATGGGTGGCAGAGGCTTCTCATAATTTATAAAGAAGGGGTAATCTCTAAACTGTCAGAATTTTGAACTTAAATCTGAACTTTTGAAAAGTAAGTCAAAATTTGTGGCAGAGGCCTGTCGTAATTCATAAAGAATGGACAATCTCTATACTGTCAGAATTTTGGGCTAAAATCAGAACTTTTAAAAAGTAAAACAAGTTTGAATTTGTGGCGGAGGCCTCGCGTAATTCACAAAGAATGTTCAATATGTAAATTGTCAAAATTTCTGAAAAACTAATCAGAATTTCAGACCTAAGTCCGAATATCTGAAAAAATAAGTCCACATTTCTGAAAAACAAGTCCGAATTTGTGACATAAGTGTCCCACAATTCATAAATAATGTTCAATCTATAAATTGTCAAAATTTCTGTAAAACAAGTCGGAATTTATGACATTAGTTTCGAGAACTTTATGGTGAAACTTGCTCTCTCTGGGAGCAACGTCGAAAAAAGTTACAAATTCGTAATTGTTACGTCAAAAAAAATTAGGACTCAATTAAAACGTTAAACACCTTGTAGCTTCGAAACTAGCGATATTCTTTATGAATTACCCTATATATTTGATGTTTCGATTGGCAATGTCCCTTACGAGAGAATTGTGTCAGAAATTCTAATTTAAGTAAACAATTCCGACATGTTGTCCAGAAATTTTGACAATTGTAATTCACGTCAAAAATTGTTACTTGTTTCTCAGAAATTCCGACTTAACTCATAAGTCAGAAATTCTTAAATGTTTCTCATAAATTCTGATTGAAGTCAAAATTTCTAGCTTGGTTTTCGGAAATTATGATTTAAGTAAAAAATTGTAATTGTCAGACCTTTTGAAACTATTTTTCAGAAATTCTGAATTTACTCAGAAGTAGGAAATTCAGATTTGTTTCTCAGAAATTCTGGTTTTAGTCAAAAATTGAGACTTGTTACTCAGAAATTTTGAATTAATTCAAAAATTCTAAAATTACAGAAATTCTGATTTAACTCAGAAGTCGGAAATTCAGAAATGTTTCTCACAAATTCAACGTTTTCGTGTTTTCATTATATTTTTTAATATTATTTTTAAGAGCTTAATTAAATAATCCCCTTTCTGCCAAAAAACAACAGGATACTGCGCTTCGTAGTAGATTTTCAATAGTGCCCCATCTCGTGGGGCTGAAAGTGAAGATCACACACATTAAAATGAATAAAATTGACTAACTGGCTACGTCATCTCGTGATACATAGATTCCGTTTTAAAAAGTATAAACAATTCAAACAGATTCTTTGCATCGAAATAATAGTAATTAATATCAATTTAATTTTTAAATATGCTCGTTTATCTACGAGCCCGCGTACGTCATATTGCAACACGTGGTGGTGGGGGATGAACCTCCGGGTGATTAATGACAGCCCTGAGTAACTCGAAGGACCCGGGAAGGGAGGGGAGGGGTGGAGTTAAATTTGACGCTTATTGACGCGTACGAGTCCATACATCACGCGAGTTACGACAAAGAATTAATGGCGCTCAAATACGGCCATCTGGGATTGTGTGTTTTTTTTTAAGCGATCGGGATCCTCTCCGCCCCCGCGTACGTGGGGGAAGTTTAAAGTCGTCTCTAACGACCCACGAATTCCGGATAAAACCCGGATAATTACCGCGTCGAGACGGTTTCATGTTCCGGAGCCCCCCGCCCACTCGCAACCCGCAGGAGTTTTCGTAATTTTTCCGGGCGGCTTCCGCCGCGTCTTTAATGGACCCGCCTTTGTACGGACCTCTAATATTATCATTCGATTTCGTTCCATCGCGACGTTCCTCAACCGCGAGACGCGTTCCCTCGGGAACAAGGGAAAAAGGAAGTTTCGTCGTCGAAACGCAATTACCGACGACGTCGTCCCCGTGCGGGCCCCCCGTTTCCGATTATCCGGAAATTCGGTCGAAATAATCGCGACCACGGAGAAGTTTTCCATTGTTAATTAATCTACCGACCCTACCAAGAGGGGGATTCATCGGTTAATTTGTTATCGCGTGGAGCGCCATTAAAATAGTCCGGGCTACGGTGAACCGACAACCTTCCACCCGCCCCACCGTGGTCTGAGTCTCCAGAAAACCGGTCATAATATTTGACTTTTACCACCTCAATTTTAGTTGTAATTTAGTGTGTTTTTCGAGAGTGGTAGTGTTCAGAAAGTTATAGATTGTGACTTTTTTATAAAATAAAGAGAATTAATTTCACAAGGTTTAAACTACCCTCCAGATACCTACGAAATATTGAATAATAATTGTCAAAATTTTGTTTCTCAACATAGCCCTTATAATCAATCCGCCTGCAACCTACCCCCTTAGATCATTATTTTTATTACTTAAATGCGATTCTTTTTGAGCATATTGAGAATTAATTTTTGAGACCACTGTGCGCCCCCGTGAAGAAGGGGTTAAATCCCCAAAACCCAATTTAAATTGAGAAGGAAAAAAAACTCACTCGGTGATGGCCTCGTCGCTGGCCACCCTGCACAGCACGCCCCTGTCCATCGAGCACTTGCCGGTGACGGGATCGGGGGGCGCGAGCTTGATGTACGGGGGCTCCTCCAGGAACGTGATCTTCAGGTGGAACTTCTCGGGCACCCCTTGCGGCGGCGTGTGACTGTTGCCCGGCCACACGATGTCTTTGATGTCGAGACCCTCTTTCTGCCACGACTTCCACACCCCGATCTGCGAGCACCCGAATAAAATATAAAGTATAATTAGCGGTCTTCTATTGCCAGAATTAGCGACCATGACAATTGAAACGATTATGATTATCTCACGATGTCCACAGACGCGGGATGGACGTAGAAGTTACCCTTTCCTTCTACCGAAGTTGCTGAACCCCTTAAAGTTTAAAAAAAAGCTAAAATTAACTAGCTCTATTCAAAATTGTCGATTTTTTGATTTTGACATCTCGAGGAATGGTGGACGCAGAAGTTACGCTCTGCTACTACTGAAGTTCTTCAGAACTCGAAGGTGATTTCTCCTTTTAAGAGTGTTTTATAATTATAATGATGACTGCGATGGGTGACCAATTAAACCAAAATCTTTGATTAGAGATCTGTAATTTTGACATCCCAAGATCTTCCACACGGGAATGGTGGACGTAAAAGTTACGCTTTCCTACTACTAAAGTTGATTTCTCCGCATTAATTAAGCCAAAATAAAAAAAAAACAAACCTATTTTCCCAGTTTAAGAGTTTTGATGATTTAAAACAGCTAAATCAGAATCTTGATCTTTGAACGCATTCATTGTGCCAAAATGAAGTAATTTGAGAGTTTTGACGTTTCAAAACTGCCACACATTTGAGTCTTTTAAAGTTTCGTAGGCACTCTTGATTATCACGAAGAGTGGCCAGTTAAATCAGAATCTTTGATTAGGAATACGTAATTTGTACATCCCAAGAAGGCCACAGACGAACAGTGGACGCGGAAGTTATGTTTTCCTACTACTGAAGTTATTTACAACGAAAGGGCGGTTTCTCGCTTTTTCTTGAAATCCAATTTCTTAGTTTGGGCGTTTTGAGGATTGTCGATTGTCGATTCTTTGAGTCTATCAAAGTTTTGGAGCGAAACCTATGCTTCACTATTGAGCGTTTTACAATTATCATGAGTGGTCAGCCAAATCGGAATTTTGATTAGTAAAAAAAATGCTATTAATTTTATTAGACGATGGACCTTTTAATAGTATAAACCATTTTAAATACTTTGGTAGCTGGATCAACGGAAGTGCGAGCTTTGATCCCTGGACCTTTATGGGTACTCAATCTAGACTTTAAAGTATCGCCTTTCTCGCCGTTTTTAAAGATTAACACCAACAAGACTTCCATTAAATTAGGAATATGAAAACCTATTTTCCTAATAACTCAAAATAAGAAATGCTAGTTTTGGTTATCGCGTATTGAAGTGGTCGAAGTCGAAAAGAGGAACCGTAACGCGCGGAGGCCGCCGCTCACCTCCTCCCACACGAGCTGCTTGCTGACTCCGGGCCGCAGGTTCATGATCTTCAGCTCCGCGGCTTTGAGGACGCCGTCCTGCGTAAACTCAAGGTTGGGCCGGCCCATTTCCGCTTCGACGCTCACGTTCCGCAGATACTTAAAGAAACGATCGCCGGTGTCCCAGCGGGCCGCCCCCGCACCCTCGCACGACAGGTGCGTGTTGAGGGAGCGGTGCTTGTTGGCCGGGTCGGCGATGAAGTCTTCCACACCGTACGCGTACACCTGAAGGCGGAAGAAGCGAAAAAAAAAACGTCGGCGAGGAGGCCGAATTCTGCGAACTTACCTTGATGGCGGCGGTGATCTCGTTGACCAGGCTCTGGCTGGAGGTGTCGAAGTGGACGCCTGCAAGTAACCCGCAACATTATACGTAAAAGGAGCCACGTGGAAGTGATGTATTTCGAAACAAACTATACTAAATTGTTCGGAGATCAAACGGCGTTTGATATTGACCTTCGTTTTGGTAATATCCCGCGTTAATTATTGACAAGCGACCGGAACAATGGCGACGGAATTTGACCCGCCCCCCTTCCGCCCCGTCGTCGACGTCAATAAAAGCTTCCGGCGGGTAATTCGAGAGTCGCAAACGCGCGAGCATCGCTTTCTAGGGTAAATAAAACCATTAATAACGGTCGCATTGATAAAATTATGTCCCGAATTAATAATGGTAGCAAAGAACTAAGAATGTCAGACATGGTACAGAGGAACAGACAACGCCTGGATTGTCCCTAAGTATAATACGACCAAAAATATAGTGCATATGTATATATATATATATATATATATATATATATATATATATATATATATATATATATATATATATATATATATATATATATATATATATATATATATATATATATATATATATATATATATATATATATATATATATATATATATATATATATATATATATATATATATATACATATATACATATATATATATATATATATATATATATATATATATATATATATATAATATATATATATATATATATATATATATATATATATATATATATATATACATATATACATATATACATATATACATATATATATATATATATATATATATATATATATATATATATATATATATATATATATATATATATATATATATATTTATATTTATTTATATATATATATATATATATATATATATATATATATATATATATATATATATATATATATATATATATATATATATATTTATTTATTTATTTATATATATATATATATATATATATATATATATATATATATATATATATATATATATATATATATATATATATATATATATATATATATATTTATTTATTTATATATATATATATATATATATATATATATATATATATATATATATATATATATATATATATATATATTTATACATATATATATATATATATATATATATATATATATATATATATATATATATTCTTAAAACGTGAAAGCAATAAATGCACTATATTTTTGGTCGTATATATATGAATTATTATTTATATCGATTCAAGAGCACACCAAAACGGACATGAAGTCTTGAGATGACCCCCGAATTATTGTTTATTTAACCCGATTAAGATGACTTGGTCTGAGTTAAAAGCGCATATACGAAGGAATAACACTCCACTAAAATTTAGTGATAATATCATAAACGTAATTCGGCAAGAGGTAGCTAAAATATTAGTCTAGTCTAACTGTGAAAAACGAGTAAAAAAAGAAGAAAATATTTATCGAGAACGATTAGTGGCGGTGTTGATCATCCAGTAGCGATAGTGACGATTTTTTAAGTGACTGATACTTTATTATTATTATACTTAATATTTTTTATATTAATATTGACACTATATAGAAATGTAATGAAATTTTTGTTATATTGAGATTGAAAACATACTTATATCCCGCTTATTAGTGTAGGTAGATAAGTTCCTAGGACGGTCCTGGAACGGTTAAGGGTAAAGGCCTGCTTGCCAGGGTGTTCTATAAAGGGTTACGATTTTGAAGCAATAAACAATAAAAGCACTATATTTCTGGTCCAAGTATATCTAAGTATTTTAATTAGGTGGTATCTACAATTTGGTAAGAACCAGACCATTTCAAACACCATGTTGCTGAAACGACATCATATAATTTTAAGATTTGCCAAATTTTTGTTCTGAAATGAGGTCCCGCTAGTTTCAAACGTATTTTTTTATATTATTTATATTTTAGCAATAATCCCTAGCCCAAAACGCTGAGGAAAGAAAAATTTTAAGTACCCGAGTTGACAAAAGGTCACAAGGCTTTACTAATACAAATTATTTAATATTTGCTTTATCAAAATTACAAACAATATTGAATACAACTAAGTTTGGACAAAAAAAAACTCCCTTTCACTGTCTCCCTTCTGTCTCCCAAGCTTCTTGGATTATCCTTTCTGTGTAGTTGCTTGAGATTGCTCTTATTTCCATTTAAACTCAGACCAAACACATTTCAAGAGAAAATCTAAGTATTTTGCGACCTATAGATTTCATAGATTGGTCCAGGTAGAACTTTTTTATACAATGCTGTCAAAATCAACATTCTTTTCTTTTATCCATACAATGACCAACCTCTGCTGCTTTCTTGGAATATCCTCCAAAAGGCCAGAATGATAGTTTGCGTAGTCCATCACTATAAAATTCTTTGGAAGAAGTTTTTGTAGCAGCTGATTTTTGTTTTGTTTGATCCAGCGGTACAAGCATCTTCTCTCATACATTTAGATTTTTCATTTATTCCTGCAAGAAACTGATCTGCATCGCATATCTCAGTCGCAGTCACGACAACAGACACGATTTTTGTCAAAATTGTCAATAACCAAAAATTTTAGGCCACCGTCAGTGCGCTTAAGCGATCTTACTACTTCGCCCGCTGAAAACACTTGCCACAAAGCTTAAATTATCGTAAATCCAAAAGTCAAAACAGTTCTTGCATTTAACGAAATCACTAACGCATTAAAATTATAGACAAATTGGCATAATTCTCTCAAAAAAATTTATTTGCGACCCAAGGAATAACCTACAAAATATCGAAGCGTCGCTCGAGCGTCATAACGCGCGTGCGAGCTTGCCGCGACGCCCTCTGGCGGCGACGCGGTTCGTCTCCGTTTCGATTTGATTCGCTTTTCCGAGACTAGATGGCGCCAGCTTGACGGCAATTTTAAACCAATTTACGCGTTTTAATGCGGTGCTATTATATTTTATTTTTAAATAGGTAGCCGGAGATGGTTTAATTTTCTTTTTTGTCGGCTATTCGGGGTCCAACTTCGCTAATCATGTGATATGACGTCGCTTCGAGGCGAGATTGTCGATCTACGCGCTTTAATAAAAATGCTGCTTGAGAGCGTTCCCTCGTCCGGGAAGACTTTTAACCGGAAATAACAGCCCGGAAAGTGCGGGACGTCCCGCGACGGCGATAACTTCAATTTTCGGCAGAATGATTTAACTCCCCACGGAAACTCCGGAATTCTTCTTGGTGACCGCATAAAATGCGAAAAAACTGAAGAACAATCATCCGTAGCTGTGCAATCGGCTTTCAAACGGGTACAGCGTGTTATTTTCGACGACGTCTCCGACGGCGGCAGTAGCACGCTGGTCGATATCGCTGTGACGTGGTGCCAGACTATCCCGAGGGACGAAGGGGACTACAATTACGCCCCGGAATGGGATTTGCATCCGGTAGGGACGACCCGGAGTTCATTCCGGCACAAAGCGCCGCGAAAACACGGGGCGACGGCCGAATCGCCCACCCCCCCAAGGATTCGTCAAACTCTCGCGTCGAATTAAACGTCGCTTCGCAATTTCTAACGAAATTACGAAATCGGTGAGCAAGAAAAATCGGTAAGCGAACGTATTTCCGGGCCTCCTCTCCGAAATGCCGGATTTTCGTCGCTCGAGCAAATCGAATCAGACGTCGAAACGACGTGATTTATAACGCAAACGTGCGTCCCCCCACACCCCGTAAACCCATGAACGATGCATATAGGAGACGCGACGACGGTTGAATTGGAGGCAAAGTCGCGTCTAATTTCGTCCCACGCGAAATCGGGCATCATCTAGCGGGCTTTGAATCCGCCAACTACGAAGCGGAAAGTGATTTTCAACCAATCGGAACGCGTTTTTTGACAAATCACCATGGTAACGGCGAATTATACCGGAAATTGTTATTACCACGTGCGTTACTACGGAAACTTGTAGACAAGTTCAAGAAAAGTGATGTGGGACGTCGATACGGACTTACAGCGTCGACTATATCCACGATTTGGAAGGGCAAAGAAAAAATCATTCAGGCTGAAGCGACAGGCAGTTCTAGTAAAAAACTGAGATAGCCAAAATTTGAAGATTTGGATCGGGCAATATTGCAGTGATGCCAACAGCAACGCCTTAACAATGTAACATTCTCTGGACCCATCACAAAACTAAAAGCAGAAAAGTTTGCTGATCAGCTTGCCATTATAGATGCAGTCAACTTTGTCAGTAAAGCTTGGAAAGAGGTAACAGCAGAAACAATTCAACACTCCTATCGTCATTATTACCGAGACAGAATGTGAACAGGACTTGGAAGATGATCAGCAACTAAGCGAGTGAATAAAGCAGTTGCAAACAACAATTGCAAGATTTTATGGTGATACATCAGGATTAGCCTGCAATAGCAGACTTGCCAGAGGAAGTCATATTACAACAAGCAAGAAAAGGTGAGGAAGAGCATCAAGAGTAAGAAGACGAAGAAGTTGATCTGGGGGCACCACCATTCCACCATTCAATAAGCCCTATATTCAGTTAAACTGAAAGAAATGATGAAAATACAATCCAAAGTACGAGATGCGTATTGGCATACTAAAAAAATTCAAAAGAAAATGACCGATTATTCGAAACATTTAAATATTTATATAAAATGCTCCTAACTAGATGTTAAAATATGGGCGTTTTTCAAGTACCTATATAGCGAAAAAAAAACAGTCCCTGAATTTCGCTATATAGAGTTTCGACTGTATTTAAAAAAAAAGTGTTTAATAAAAAAAACGTTACTGATCAGTAACTACGTTTCTATTATTTAACTATTTATAAGATTTTCGAAAGTTCTGGCTTTAGGTCGCCTTGCCACACCCATCCCTATATAATGCGTTGCCCGTCTCCACGTACCTCGTGACGTCACGTTTTTGTATGACGTAACCTATCGTATTTTAGAAGGCGATTAAAACGTTTTCTTGACATCGACGGTAATTATTATTCGACATTTTCGATAAAAGAGAAGCGTGACGCTCACCCAACATGCCGACTGGAAACTGGTAAGGCGCGGTGAAAGCGGTCTCGATGACGCTCTGCGTGACCACCCACACGTAGTTCTCGCCGGTGAGGTGGAGGTCGCTGGCGGCGGTGAGGATGTCGATCGCCTCCTCCCTGGTGCAGTAGAGCAGCATGACCCGCGCCTCTGAGTCGACGAGGGCGGCGAGGTCGCCCTTATTGGCCACCAGCACCGCGTTCAAGATGGTAAACTTGAAGCGGTCCTGCATGGCGATGACGCGCTCCCTCACCGCCTGGATGAAGTCGTCGTGGCCCGCGATCAGACTCGTCACCACCGAGAACTGGTGCCATTTGTACCGCTCGAGGATACTAAGCATCGCGGCGGTCTGGTGCTCCAGCGAGGGCGCGAGCTGCAACTGGAGCGACGACTGGGAGGCGCGCCGCTCCAGTCCCGAGTTGTCCGCGTTCCACGCGATGACCGGCACGCCCAGGTACCCGGCCAGCTGCAGGAAGTACTGCGCGGACGCGGTACTGCGTCCGTACTGCTCGTAGTTCATCAGGTAGAGGATCGCGGACACGTTGTACGAGAGGAACTCCTTGCAGATCGACTTCAGGATCGCTGCGGGCGACAATACGGCCTCAAAAGCTTCAAAACATGACGACGCGATGGAAATTACAGCGGAAAGACCGAATTCTTGGATGTAATAAAGTACAACTGTACCTTTCTCATTCGAAAGAAAATTTTTTCACCAAACCAAGGGACTCCCCATGGGTGGTGCTGCTTCTCCAGTAATAGCAAAGATTGTCATGAATAGTTTACTTGATTATGTCTCCATTAAAGTTAACTCATTTCCCTTCACTTTTCAATACGTAGATGACCTACTGACGGCAGTACCGAAAAATCAAATTCAAACGGTACTGGGTACCTTTAATTCATTTAATGACAGTCTAACTTTCACGATGAAGGAGGAGTCGGACTGTGGGGTCCCCTTCCTAGATACAAAGCTATTAGAACGTCGTGCTGCTGGATTGGTACCAAAAAATTCTAGTTCAGGGAGGTTTATCCCATTCACGTCATATCATCAGAATAGAATCTTGAGAATTTGCCGTCCTAAGATATCCTAATCTCAAATCAGTACCCTAAATCTCTCATCAATAAATTACTTTTTTGTGAAGACGATACCACTTTGCGTAACAATCAACAACTTAACGATGATATCCCAGCTACACAACAACAAAAATATTTTAAATTACAATACATCCAAAATCTCACTCCTTCGTTGTGTAGACTATTTAGTAAATACAATATTATCATTTTCTATACTAAACTAAAAGATAAATACCAATTTTTTTAAAAATCCAATGTTGTTTATGGCCTACCGTGCCATTGCGGCCTCATGTATATGGGACAAACGTCCCAAAAATTTTCAAAAAAAGGTTGCAGGGCACAGAAGTGACTGCAGAAACAAACCCAACGCAGCGAGTTTGAGCGAACACGTGAATGAGACGGGACACAAGGTTTCCTACGATGAGGTTTCCGTTCTGGACGTAGAGTCGAGTTTCTTCAAGCGTAAATTCCTTGAACTGTGACAACAGCATAAATTTAATGTTGTCAATATCCATGCGTAGTGAATTTAATTGTTTGGTTATTACCAATTGTCACCCCCTCTACTCAAATGTCATCCCGACTTGGAAAATTTGTTGTTAACGTGGTGTTAATATTTTAAAGAAACAAAAAACTATTTTTAATCTGTGATCATCCCTCTTTGTGTTGTTTAAACTAATTTTAATGTTGACAAGAACATGCTGGCAAACTGCTTTTGGATTGATAATTTATAGTTAAAATTAACTGCTCATTCTGTAAATGAAAATTAACAAAATAAATAAAAACTAAAAGTTCAGATTTTCACGAAGATTATATGGAAAATATCATATTAGAACATAATTTAAGTAAAAGTTTTCTATGGCGGTATAGATACGTGAATGATGTCTTTGCTTGCTTTGTTGGAACGGACAGACAATTGAATTCTTTTGTAAATTTCATTAACTCATCACATAATCGTATAAAATTCATTATTCGAGATTGAACAGGATAACTCTATCAATTTTTTAGACATAACTAAAACGGAAAACAATTTAGATTCACACACGGACACAGTCACACATAAAAGCTCAAATCACCCTTATACACACACAAAATGGTTGCATTTAACTCTTTTATACACAGACTTCTTCATACGCCACTCTCGATAGAAAATTACAACATCATTAAACAAATAGCACTGAACAACGGCTACAATCCGTCCATTATAGATAAAATTATAAATAAAAAACAAATCCAGACAACAGTAAATTCTATTTTTCCGAAACCTAATACTGAACACGAACAATTTAAAGCAATTACATACATAGGAAAACCCAGTGAAAAAGTTGCAAAACATTTGTCAAAGTGTGATTTAAAAATAGCTTTCAGAACTAACAACACAACAGGACAATTTTTAAAAAACAATAAAAGGAAATGTCCAAAATCTCAAAAATCAGGTGTTTATAGGTTGAAACGCGGATCTTGTCCTAAAATTGATATTGGAAAAACAGGTAGATCCTTCAAGACCGAGGGGTCCCCAATTAGGGACCAATCGGGTCGGCACGAGTTTTCCGTTCGTAAAAATAGCGATGCGGAAATCTCGCGACAGTTTGATTAAATTTTTTCGCCGGAACGGGGGAAAAGTAAACGTCCCGGATTGCGTCCCGGAGTCGAGGGCCCTCCGGTCCGGTTTACCGCGGCCGGGAATCGATTTGGCAACATGCCTCTCCAATAATCATTTAAAAATTCGGCGTATCCGACGGATGGGATAAGCGTGTCGATCCGCGATCGCGATGCAGCTGGGAGTGGCTGGAATTGCTTTCGGACCCCCGGCAAAATCGAATTACACCGAAAACCGACGTCGTCGATTCTCTCACTTTGCACAGATTATCGGTATCGGACATTTTGCAATCGTTTACGTTTTACGTATTGTTTACGGCCCCATCCAAAAGTTCAACATTAAAGGAAAAACTTACCGGTTCTAATCCAAACGCAAAACAAATTGCTCTGTCGATTGGCGTCCCTCGAGAAATATCCGATAATGGAAAAATGTGTTGCTTAAGTTTTTTTTCTTGCAACGGCAATTAAAACTAACGCCTCGTCTTCTGCAAAACTCCGGCTTTCGCATTACACTTTAAATATCACAAACTAATACACACTGCAAAATCAGAGGCACTAACGACGCTTAACATGAAAACATTTAGTTTAAAAGTCAAACGGCTTCCCTTGCTTATGTTTAGCAGCGCCGTCATCGGGGCATAAATTTATGAATTCTTTAATGGCGGCATCTAACGTCGAAACAGCCGTTGCGTTTTCTTAATTTCTAGCTGTGACGCCAGATGGGGGTGTGAGTTTACATTTTTTAAAAGAGATTAGGGATATTTGTGGCCCGATTTTGTAAAGAAATAAATACTAAAAGGGGGATCTACTGGTGGATCAAAATCTTTCTGTTTTTTCTTCATTCCATAATACGACCCTTTTATTTTTCTGATTATTTTAAGCAACCTAACTTCTTGCAACGGAACCGTAAATAAAGAACTTGGCGAGCGCGTCCCCCGCCAGAACCAATTTTTTCGTCGGCCCGCGTGAAAAGGCGCGTTTTACGGAATTATAAGAGGCGCTTCCCGCGAATATCAATTCCGCCGGAAGCGACGTTGCCGGATCGCGACTTTTTCCGAAACTATTCTTCAAAAACCCGTCCGATTCGGAAATTGCCCGTCCTAGATTCCGTTCCGGAGATTAAGGACTAAGTGGGTTTCCCATACTCGCACCTTCATTAGAGATGAAAATCTGTCCATTAAATTCAAAATAACTTTGGTCTAAGCAATCTAATAAATTTTGTTTCGCCAATGATATTCTACATGCAGCCAAAAAAAGTAGATAATTAAATTTATTGGAAGCCATGGAGATTAACAAATGAGACATTCAAATGTACCGCTTAACGATCAATTAGATTTAAATACCTCTCCTTTATTGAATTTACATTCTCACAACAACATTAATGAAGGATTTATTGTCATTTTTCGGTATATACAGTAGCGGGTTGTTTGTAAATATGACATAAGATAAAGACACGGTGTTGTCGAAACAAATATCACGTAAAAATATATAATTTCGTGAACATCCGAACTTTTAGTTCATATTTATTTTTATTTTTTATTTATTAATTATTAGGTTCCAGGAGTAGTCGGACAAACATCCGAGAGTTCCATCCAGAGTTCTGCGTAGTGAATTATGGTGACGTTCCGGTAGAGAGCGCTACATGTCACTCCATTGTGGTGCACGATATACAATCACACTCACATGGCATCCATAGTACGTTGGTAAATATTGTAAAGTAACCCGGAGCTGAGAAATAAGCGATGGTGTTGGAGACATCGCTTTGCAATTGAGCCGCCAGAGAGGGCAGAGTAAGTCTTCTTGACTTTTTCACCTATTTTGCGATTTTTGTAGAGTTATGCGTAAAAGGAGTTAAACCCAAAGGTCATGCAGGGTTGAGAGTGGATGAAAATTACAGAAATGATGCGATACCACATCGCAAGAAAGGAGAGGCATTAAACCAGCAGCAGTTCCCTGTTTGAGTGTGAGACTGAGTTAGTTATACCGATGGAAGAGCAAAATATTTTTGACATTTAAATAAATTTTCCACTGAACCAGATTCACGATTGCGAAGAGAATAAAAGTAGCCGAGGGTATGTCTAGATTGACATTTCCATCTGGTTTAGTCTGATTTTTTTCTTAAAAATGTAGTCATCTTTTTTTTTTCTTTCAGGTACAACTGATGTCGGATACAGCAAATGCATGAAACTCACACAACCTGGTAAAGTATTAACAAAAAATTGAAAGGACAGAAGAGAATAAAATTAAAGCGGACAGCGAAAATTGAAAAAGAAGACATAATTTCTCTGCAGGCTTTTGATTTCATAGTTCCCTGTCCTGTTATTTTCAATGTCCATCGTAACATCGTAACTTTGCCACAATAAACTAACCAAATTCGTTAAATTCGCTCGTTGGCCGATGGCCGTTGGCGGTCTATTTTATTCTGTGGTTGGGCGTTGATCACGTAATAGACACCATTTCATAAAGCTACGTAAAAAAAAAAACGTGGACCGAGGATGGTTCGGTTTGTGTTTGTCCGATATTAACGAAAAATGTGAACGTGCTTGGGCGGCCGTCTAAAAAAACATTGAGCGACTAACACTTGTATGACAACACGGACCGAACCTGTGGGGCTCGGCGTGAGCGTCATCAGCACGTTGTGCACGTTCTTGGGGTTGAAGTTTTTCTCCTTGACCCAGTTGAGGGTGCGCGCGCCCCTGCCTCGATGCAGCCCCGAAACCGCGTTGTTGATGGCCCGCGTGTACTCGCGCACCCCAAAATTAGTGTGCGGCAGGATCAGGCCGACGTTGAGCGGCTCCTTGGAGGAGGCCCGGGGGCCCTTGCCCCCGGCGGGGTAAAAGGAGGCGCGCGACAGCGCGAGCTGAAGCAAAAGAAGCAGCGGCGCGGTTCGCATGCTCGCCTAGCATAGTATACGC